TGGTTTTCGATTATCGTCGTCGTTCATGGTTGGTTTCTTTCGTCTTTTCTTTTTGACAGACGGCGGCATCTGCACTCCTTCCGTCTAACGCTCCTCCTTTTTCCGGACTTGCGAACGGCACAGAAATCACTGGATTGTGGTCCCCATGGTGGAGTTAACTGTAATACATAGTTTCACAAAACAGAGCAATTATATTCTGTTTTTGGGACTATGACTCATCGACAACACATGTATGACAAGCCGATGATTCGTTCGCGAGGAATATTCTTATAAAAGAGGACAATTGTGTTCTGTTCTATGAAACGATGCATTATAGTTAAAACTAATACTTAATTAATGCAAAAACTTTGGTATTAATATATTCTAATGCCAGTAATACTTAAGTGTTAAGTTAAAAAATTAACTCTAATGGAAAAGCATTAGTATTAGCATTACTAAATGCTCGTGCTAATTCCAATCTGTCATCCTAGTTAAGACCGAAAACTACTACATGGATCGTGAATCCTTTCTTAATAGTCATTACTTCATTTGAAACTACTTTCTTGCGAAATGCTGGATTCCCAAGCAACAATGATAATTCTTTTAGAATTGAAACAAGAGCTTCCATTATCTGGCCTAAGTCGGAATTTGCAGCCAAGGAAACTTCCTGACATGGTATACGATGCTTCCGGTCTCATTTGTCAGGCGGACGAAAACGACGATGTCTTACTGTCAGAGATCAACAGTGCTACCATCGCTACATATGTCAATATACCAACTACCACCTGTGCAGTATCTTCAAAAATAGGTTCTACGTCTTATGCCAATGCAGTTGCAGCTGTATTTCACTCGGCTATGAGTCGGATAGTAGTTCGGGAGAATGGAGTTCCAGGTTACGATAAAATAAGAAAAAAGCTGATAAAGGACTATGGCGAACATGAAGTTATCATTGAAGATGTACTCAGAAAGTGGTGTCCGATTTACCGACTGCGATATGAAAGAATTGAAGAGCTCGACGCTAGACAAACCATCGAAGCCGAGCGTTCTGTCCTCGCCACATTTAGTTTATCCGAAGAAGAATGGATTGACTTCTCAAAGTTTTACAAGACATATCCAACAGGTATCCTTGAAAGGAAGGATTTAGGCATGCATAGCTCGCTAGCAAACGAATGTAATCATGCTGTCGTTTTGACAAAATCCAATACCACATATTTGACATTCATGAACTCATGGGGAACGAGTTTTGCTGACAATGGATTTTTCAAAGTTCGAGACCAATCAGTGTTAAACCTATCTTTCTATGATGTTTATTGGACTTTGGAAGACCTGAAAGAAAGCGAGATAAGAGCATTTCAGTCAATGTGCGCAGAAGTTGAACGAGAAATCACATAAAATTTACCAAAAAATTTAAAAGACCTGCTGTACAAATGCCAAAAATGTCAACAGTCTTCTTCAGTAGAGCAATAGGGTGTGGGTGTGGGTATTGATATTTTTCATCCACATCCACAGCCTATAAACGATATGACAATTAAAAATTCAAATGCAATTATTAGCACGGATAAATTTTAAATAAATTTTTCTCGACATCGACAGCTGGTCTTAGAAATGGATGCTTATAAAAGAAAATCAAGAATTGAAATGATAATATTTTTGTCGGATAACAAAGAAGCAAATGTCGAGACATTTGTCAATGCTAAGGGACGAAATCTGAGTTATTCGAAATATTTTTCAATGTAATGAGATAATTTTATTGAGCGTAGAGAACGTATTAAAACGCATTCTATTTTTCTAAAATTGATTTTTCAATGCCTAAGAAAGCAGTCGGCAATTTGGAGAATGACAGAGAACGCGTTCTTTTCTTTATAAGAGTGCTATTGGCATATCTGGAAAGATTCCATGAACTAGAAGAATCCGTTCTCAGGTAATTCTCAAAAGAACGTTAAAGAAAGTGATCTCTTTTTGATGGAAGCCGTTTTTGACTGTTCCATAAAGAACGAAAAGAAACACATTCTAATAATTTTTGGAAGGGTTGGAAACGATTTCTGCTGGAATGAAGAACAATTTTTGGATAGAGCAGAAAGCATTCTGTAATATTGTGGAACGGCAAAGAATGCGTTCCTTTGAATGTAGAACATGTTTGTTTTGTTTGTGAACGCTTTCCCTAAACTGCAGAACGCGTTCTTTAAGTAAAGGACAAGCTTCTATGTTTTCATGAACGCGTTTGTCTCCGTTATTTTTCATCAATATTTTCCACTGGGTATGTCTCTCATTGAAATTTGTGGAGAAATTTGCAACTAAAATATGTTTAAAAAAAGATTTCGACTTAGACGAGCATATGCATGTCTAAACCATTGTTATCACTTTCAATGATAAGCTTCGAGCATTTCAAAAGAATTACTGTTTGATAACTATTTCAAACATCATAAAATCACTTTTCAATTTTATTCAACAAATCTTTCAAGGTAAACTTCTTTTTGCATAGGTATGCATTCATAAATATTATCCAGACAAGGATTGAACCCCATAATTAGACCAAATAATCAATTGTTAAGTAATTCGATGACATGTGTAAATTCACTGGCTCAAACGATGATAAAGTTTAGTTTTGTAAGATAATAACCAAAATCAATTCATATGGCAAAAGCGCTTTATGGGAACAAAACCAGACTTTCAATCCCGCATGTCATCTCGTAGATGACATGAAGAACACGAAACAAGTTTTTTTCGTTCTGTCGTCTTCTTCGACGACGTATATCATATGTTGTATTCTAAGAAAAAGACGAAGGGGCTAAATGGCACCAAAATGGGTTTACACTGGAATTTTTTTTAAATTCTATTTTGTAGAAAATCAACTTTAGTAACTAAAGCATTCAAACTTTTATCATTTATTCATCGAATTTCTATTATTTAGACAATGCTTGATTTTCTCAATAATTGAAATTTAATTTGATTTCCTGCATTAAATTGAAACTTGAATGCCAGGCTTTTATTTTCAAAAAAGTAGAAATCTATCACTGAATTCGTATTGGCATTTCTAGAGTATCGCTTGCAAATTCATATAGGTATTCTATATTTGACAGTGTATATGTATATTGACTTCAATATATATAGAGTCAAATACAGTTGATCGTGACGACAGAACGCAAAAGAGAGGGATTGAATTTCTTTTTTTCTTCTTCATACAGAACGCAAGAAAATGACTGGATTGAAAAGGTTAAAGAAAAGAATAAATAACGATACAGCTGCATTATATTAATTCCATCTTTCTTTATGTAACCATGGATTTGCTTCTTTTTTATTCAAAGACGAAGACAAAATTGGCCTAACCGCGCATTCACATTAATTTAATTTATTATTTTCTCCTATTTTAGATTATATAAACTACTAGTTTGCATCAGTCAATCTTTATTAAGCTTATTTATTTCTCGTGAAGGAAAAAGTAAGAACGAAAAAGTTTGCTTTTCACTCATAGATTTGTATTTCTTTTTTGACCTTTTTGAAATAATCCAGCAAATATTTTCTGCTTTTTATTATAGAGTCCAGTCAACAGAAGTTATTTCGATGACCGGAATTATCAGATTGTTCTCCAAATTATGGAATTCGGAGAAAGAAATATCAGAATCAGCTAGTTATATTGGGGAAGTTTTTGATGATAATAGTGAGGGACAATTATTTTTTGATACAGTTATTTCTAGGTTCGAAAATTATGATATATCGAACCGAGCTCATCAAAACAAATATTTTTCGACAGATATTGATTATATTATTGAATGTGCACTAACAAGTTTAACATCATCGGAACATTCTGAACGATTGTCAAAGCAAATTGATGCATTTTTTTATATTTATCGTCGAGTTGTAGAATACAATTCTTATCATAAAAAATCTGACTCTCAGTTGAAAGAATTTCAAGAAAAACTACTTCAGGAATCAGGAAATGCGTTCAAATCAACAAAAGGTTCGAAACCGTGTCTTTCTATAACAAACAAAGATTTGATAGAACGGATGAATATTCAACAACATCTAGCTGCAATTACAGAAATCAAAGATATAGAAAAATTATTTACATTCTTCGCTCTTTGCAATTTATCATTCCAATCATCGTTACTGGTCTACGGTGACATTCGTCTTCAGTGGATTAATATATTATCGAAAATACGCCAGTGGAAAATTTCACTCGTTAGTTTTATTTCCCATTACATAGAATATAAACTAGTATTCGAAAGATTTCCATTCGACATACCTGCGTTAATACATCTTATACGGGTAATCCATCACTCAAAGAGCACTGATGTATCACCGTTTGATATTTTCCATAGCATTCTAAATGAATTGAATTTAGATCATAAAGAGTTCTTTAATCTATTTCTGACTACATTTGGTGAAGGTGTAAAAAATAAACGTTACAAAGAACCCCACATTTGCCAACTACTTCGATTGCTAACCGAACGAGAAGATTTATTAAGCATGTATTTATCTACATATGCATCACATGTATCAATATATGATTTATGGGACATGTTTTTATATCTGAGCACGGCTGGTGAGATTAATCAAACAATGGAAAAACAACTTGTTTTGATTTTAAATCAGCGAATTGAAAAAGTTTCAGTTGTAGCTTTCAAAGCAAATTATAAGTTGGCTGATACATGTTTAAAAGAAATCAAAGATGAAAATCATCCAACTTTTATTAGAATAGTTGACACAGTACTATACACATTTCTCAACAAACAGCTTAATGATGATCAATACTCCTGGAAATTCACGTTGTATGATTTACAAGACTTACTGGGTATTACTCTTAGATTTTTGTCGACAATTGATCTTCAACAACAATCTTGTTTACTTATTATCCAACATTTATTTAAACTGGATAAGAATGTAACAACAAAGTTTACAAGAATAAAAGATCTATTTAAAAGATTGAATGATCTTGATCAAAATTTATGTGAAAGAAATGATCCTGCTTGTATCATACGGGATGAATGGTTAAATGACTATAGTTTTTATATTCCCCAAGATTGGTTGACGTTAACCAAAAATGATTATCAAACTCTTAGAGCTATTCATCACAACAATCGTTGGTCAATTCATATTTGGTCAAGACTTATTATCTTGAGTCTGTCGAAATTAGAAGCCAATAAATGGAACGAAACGATTTCACAACTAAATCACTGGATGATCAGTGTCAAGCATGATATTTTCGAGGTCAACGATACTTTAACAATTATTTTCGTTAAGAATATATTTGATATTGTTATTTCCAAGCATACAAAATCTGTTTTGTTTGCTTCGAATATCGAATCGATCCTGAATTATATTCTGCACGCTAGCCAAGACAAGCATTATTTAATCGATATAAAACAAGTAGATGATTTCATTCAGAACGTACACCATTCGATCAAGGACATTTTATCACTCAATAGTAAGTTCAGTTTATTAGAATTTCTTATCGTAAACTTGTAACCTCCAATAACTTGAAAGAAGGTGAAGATAAATAAAAATGGATAAAATGCTACCTAGTCCAACTGTTGATTAATATGCTAGAGAAGAAAACACTTCACTCTGAAATGAATGAATATATCGCTCTGTAAAGTATACACATTGTTCAATTGATCACCAATGTCTACCAGAAAGCTAGTAGAGTATCAATTTTGACTCTCAAGGTTTCTTTTTGTTGAAAATTATTTCTGTTCTATGAGCGTTTATTCACATAAAATTTTGATTGAATCCCATATTCTTTTCAATAATATTCTTCTCAGAACAGTTTAACCATATAAGTGCTACTGTGTTAACTGATCAAGTTCGTCTTGCTAGTAAAATTATGAAAATGGAGTTAGTTTAAGAAAAACCACTATTTTACAACGCCTAAAGTATCTGTTAAGAAAACAGTGTATGGTGAAAGTGTTCTTTTTTAATTATAGGCGCACGTACAACATATCATGGGATGTTATCTATGTCAAACGTTATTTATTTCCTTCCGTTTTGCGATTTGAAAAACATGCTCACTTTATCAGATCTGCAACGTTATAAATTTCCTGTTACAACAGCACAAATCCATGCCATTGTTTCTATAGACAAGCCAAACGATATCGATATATCTGTGACTGATCGAAAAGAGGAATTTTTCCGCCGTTTTATACAACAAGTTAATGTATGGTTAGAATGGTTTGACAAATTTATCGACATTTTTCACCATATCACTGAATGGCTTAAAACCCGGAAATTACAAAGGGCTGAACAGTTGCTTAATGATATCCATACAATAAAAAAAGATTCAATGGTTAGTGTCATTAAAATAAAAACAATCATTCAAGATATTGTGGAACTACTAAAACCTTTCAAGAATCTTCATCGCCTTTGTGATTTATTCAATTGTATGAACTCATTCGAGAATATTGATTCTGGTACTTTAAGCAATGAAGAACAACGGAAGTCTTATATTGAAGACCTAAAAACATTTCACACGAACAATACATTCACAGTCAATGCTAAAACTAAACATGAACATTGTCACCCGATTGGTGCTCGTCGAGTTGTTCGCTGGTCGCTCGCTTGTGAAAAACTTGAATGTAACATCAACATAGAATATCGAATTAATACACCTCGTATTAACAGTTACACGTTGTTTTCCAAAGAAAAAATTCCTCTTGATAAAAAGGTTTTACGAGGTGAATTTAAAACACAGCGAGATGGCGATTTAATAATCACTATTAACAATCAAAATGGAGGCGCTCCACGGACAATTTGGTATCAATGTAAAACAGCGCCATTTTCAACGTGTCATCTATTTGATGGCATCTTTTTTATGCTTCGTCAACAGTATTTCGAACAATCAATTGAAAATATTAAAGATAAAGATTTGAGTGATTTAATTGATAAAGTTTTCTCTTTTATCGATAGGCTTTTAAATGGTGATATCACTTTACAGGAAATGGACTATCTTAAAACCGTTTTTCACGATAAAAATATCGATGTTAAAGAAGAAGTCAAGATATTGTTTGCTAACCGTTTAATCATAGACAATAAACGAGAAACAACGAGAACAACAACAACAGCAGAAATTATATCACAAGGCCAAAATGACCAAAAAATTGAGCAAGTTTGCGAGTGGTTACGAACTTATCAATACTATAGTTATCTTAATATTATAATTGATTGTGTACAAAAATTTGATATAATTTTAAATAGTGATAAAAATGATGAATCAATTGATAATTTACAAGAAATGAATATCAACGAAAATTGTTCTCTTAAAAAAATCTCAGAAACATATAAAGATCTTTATGAACGTTTTCAAAAGTTAACCAATCATCATTTACAATTGATTAAAGCGATTTCTGAATGTTCCCATGTCGTCCAAATGATAAAAAAATTTGATTTATATTCTACCCAAGGCTTACGTCGATTTCTGGAATTACGAGATAATTTAACAACACAATTTCAATTACAAGAACGCAATAATATGATTCTTAATTCATTGATTATTAGCTATGCTTTATGTGAACCATTTGTTCGTCAAGTAGAAAATTTAGAAGAATTTGTAGATAATCTTGCAAAATTATCAAATATTGATGAAACTTCATTGGAACATATTAAAGGTAAAACAAAATGCTTTAATTTTTTCAAAAATCGAAATACTTTTTAAGCGATTAAATAGTTTTAATCTCATACATCGAGTTTAAACTACTATGGATTTCTCGGTAATTGTATTGTAACTATCGTTCTGAATTTAATCTTACTCATTTAAAAAATGGTAACAATAACAAACTTTACACTTTCAACCAAGAGTCATCCTATGATAGATTAATATAGAATTAGTATATCCTTCAAACACAATAAATATGAAAACTACAATGAGTCATGATATGAAGCAAAAGATGATTAGAAACTGAATAAGAGAAGACAGAGTGACATTGTACAATTTATTTTATCCGCTGCTCAAGACAAACCGAAGCTTTTTCTATTTCAACATAAAAAATAGACATGTACCTACCAATCGAAGAGCACGATTACAAATTATAGGCTATTTTTGGATGTGGGTTTGGGTGGCTTTTCAACTGAAACATGACACACCCACACCCGAACATATCTTTTAAAATTAAAATTCTTGTTTTTATTCAGACAGATACTTTGAATTCTTTTGTATACGAGAAACAAAGCATAATTTTACTAATTTAATCGTTTTCTTTTAGTTGTCAATGAAAATATACAAGTTGTAAATATGTGGTTATCAGCAGAAGCAACAACGATGTTAGATAATGCTCTGATCACCATGGAACATTTATACAAAGCGGGAACAGTACAAATTCGTTTACGCAATTTAATGAATGAGCAATCCTATTTTGAAATCGTACATTCAATTGATACATTATCAACAGAATTCAACAGTTCAAACGAATCCAATTCTGGTGAAAAAGATAAACATATACAACAGAAAGAGACAATAAAATTCACATTATCAATGGCTGATATTGCCGATCATAAACGTCAATTAACATTTTGTAACGTCGATCTAAAGCAACATATGATTGACAAAAAGATATTATTAGAAGAACAATTGAAACAATTGGATACTATTGAAAAAATTTACTTAACGCTTTTAAAACTTGAAAAAGCTGGTCATCCAAATTTTCAATTGAAAGAATACAATTATGAAATCTATGATCGACCAGGTAGAATTTTAGATAGACAACAACTCATATTGTAGTTTTTATGTTTTGATTTTAGGTACACTTAACACAATATTGTCCGATTTGAAAAGTAACGAAGAGGGTAGTGAACAAAAACTTAAACAAGAAATTAGAAATCGAACACAATATTTTCAAGCAAAATTTACTAAATTCGAAGCTGATTATGACATATGGATAAGAGATTTAGAAAAATCTCGATGTCAAAGTCCATTATTAAAATTATTTTCAAATCATCAAGTTATGATTATGTTCATTTTATTGACAACATCACCACGAGAAAATAAAGTTCAACTGAAGTTTTTAGAGAAATTATTTTCATTAAAAGATCTTGACCTTAAAAACGACGAACAATTTAACTTAACTATTCTCTGTTTATTTCATTATTTACAATCATTGAGAATCAAAGATTGCAATTTATCTAATGATCATATAATTAATCTTTATAACAAATATAAAATAGAATATAATAATTCAAAAAATGAAGATCTACAACCAGAAAACTTACAAAAATTATGTTCTTTTCTGGAAGATTTATTCAATAAAGGAAAAGAATTGTTAGCAGAAAATGCTACAAATAGTGAAAATCTACAATTTCTAATTACATTAAATTCGCCAGAACGAACACAAGATAAAATTGAACTTGAGAATGACTTTGATATGGATACATGTTGTATTCTTTTAAATATTTTTAATGATCGATTACCAGCTGATTATCAAATACTGTGGTGTTCTGTCTCAACAGATGATGATATTAGATTATTTTTTTCACGTGTACGAACTTTTCCATGTTTGACATTTGTTGTCATGGATATTGATAAAATGCATCATCGACTTCGAGAATTATTATTAAATGAACAAGATTCATTAGTAAAACAATCTGAACGACATGGAACAATTTACTACTTTTCAAGAGAATTAATATCTTTTAGAAAAGGTTTACGACCATTTTATATAAAACAACAATATCGAGATTCATCTAATACTTATTCAAAATTTATGACATTACTGCGAAACAATAATTTTACACCACCGCAAATCAAAATTATATATGGAAAAGCTGGCATTGGTATGAAATTCTATTCCATATTACTTTCTTCGTTCATTTAAAATTCGTTGTTTTATTTATAGGAAAAACTCATTTCATCAAAACAAAATATAAAAATCATAACACATCATGTGTAAGTATTAATGATAAATTAAATCTGTCATCATTGATCAGTACATTTTTATCGTTGGAATCGAAAACATCAAATAAGCAGCTGTCAATCTATTTTAATATTTCTATTCATGCACATTTTAAACAACTGAATCATGCATTTTTTTCTTTATTTGCATGCAGTTCATTAAATGATCATAGTACTGGTCTTACATTTTCACCATCGATAACAAAATCATGGGAATTTATTATTGAAGTTCCGTATATAGATAAATGTAATTTAACGATTAAAAGAAACTTTGATCAAATATTACCAATACTATCGATTATGTCATCAAATAGTTTAGAAGAAGTTACTGATGCTAATTATCAATTATTTATTGGTGAAGAAGAAGAACTTGTTGCAAGATTTCTGAAAGCTTATGAAAATCAAACGATTGATCGCTTTTTAACAGAAGATGATTCTGGTGAAGAGCAATCTGTGAATTTTGATCGATTAACAGATCATAATGAATGTCGTCAACATATTTACAAATGTATAGAAAAATACGCTCCAGAACTGCCAAGAAATAAAATTTTTGAACTTTCGTTTACTAAATTTCTGCATCGTCGTATTCGATTCTTTACTGGGTTCCATTATTGTCTTAATATGACTATTGAACGTCTGGGTTCAACTACTATGACACAAATGATAAATGAAGCAAAGCATCTAACCCAAATAAGCTTTCTTTCAACTGATTATCCTCGTATTTATCTTGTCTATGATCCAGCATTTTCATTACATGTATTACATAATGATTGGAATACAGTTCCTTTAACATTAAAAGCTCTTTTCAAAAATGACGATCCATCAAAAAGCAGTCAATATAAAAATAAAAATTTTTTTATCATATGTTTATCATGGTTAGTACATATTCCTTATAATTTATTCGAAAACATAATGATCCAAGCAAATTTTATTTTGACAGAAAATTTTTCTTATAAACTTTTTCATGTTCATGAAAGAAAATTAACAAAATTAGCTCTAATTATTGAAGGTGAGACTGGCGTTGGAAAAACTTTTCTTCTTAAGTTTTATTCTTTATTACTTAATGCTAATGTAACTCATGGTACACTGGATAATAAACTTGCCCCAAGAACTGTTGAGCGTACTGGCTTGTGGTTATTAAGATATTTTTTCGAAGAACCCATAGAAAATAAGCAAACGCGAAAAGGAATCTTAGAAAATCATACGAATTTATTAAATATATTCCTGCGACAAATAGAATCAATCTTACATGGTTCAAAAAATAAAAATGATCATGAAATAGATGAGCTTCTAGAAGATAATGATCAAGTCAATTCTCAATTGTTAACAGAAATAAAACAATCTTTAGAAAAATTAGAATATAATGATAGCATTTTACGATGCATTTGGAAAACAATTATTACTATTTTACATGAAAATGAACAAAATCTTGCGAAAAAAACCCTTATTGAAGTACATCAATTTGTAACATCACACTTAATCGATTATCCATTAATTGAAGCTAGTCCACAATTGCTAAAGTTATTAGAAGAATCAAATCCACTGACAGTTGAATCATCAATTGACGTTTTCAATGAATTCATAAGTCATACTCGTGTTAAACCGCTATTTTACCGTCTTCTCTTACATCCTGGTGTAACTGAAGAACAAATCAAAGATTTCATGTTTCCTATTTCTCAACTAGCGGAACAAATGCCTGATATTGAATTAGTCGTCTTTTTCGATGAAGTTAATACATCTTCTTGTCTTGGTTTGTTTAAAGAAATGTTTATGGATGGTACATTACATGGAATTAGTTTACCGAAAAATATCTTCTTTACTGCAGCCATTAACCCATCAATAAATCCTAATGAGCCTCACAAACATTCAAAAGATGATTTTCATGTTCATCGTCGTGATTATATTGTACATGAATTACCACAATCATTAGATAATCTCAAAGTTTCTTATGGAATACTAGATTTAAATACACTAGAAGATTATATAAAACAAAAAATATCAAAATTCACTGTTAATTCAACAACAGATGCTCAAAAACAAGTTTCATTAGATAAATATGCACAAGATACGCTTACTCAATCTATTCTTAAAGCACAACAGTTTTGTGAAGAACATCTCGGTATGCTTTTTTGTAAACAATTTCAAAAAATAATCGTAACTAAATTCGTTTGGGATAAAAATTTTGTAATTTGCGTGTGAAATGAAAATGAGATGATTTCGAAAACAAAACCAATGAGAATCTGCATGACAAATAGAAACCTACACTCGATCATGATTGTAACAAGGGGAATAATCAGTTTTCTGACGCAAAAAAGCTTATTAAATAGTTGAAAATGGAAAAATTGATTTTGGCATTATATTTTCTAAATGATTCTCTTTCTCATAATGCATAGTATAATGAAGGAAATCTTTCTTCTTGATTCAGACAAATGTTGTGATTCAAGGCAAGCGAAGATTTTCATACATATGTATCCTTTAGTCCATTTTGTGATAGAAGCGTTAAATGGCTCCAAAATCATAGTTTACATGCATTTCCACATTTTTAACGAGCCTAGAACAATTTATGGATTCTCATATCCAGGAACAAAAAGCTGAAGCTGACAATCGTAATCATGAAATTTCTTGTTTATGATGAGTGTTCTATATATTTTCCAATCAAGAAAGAGAATTTTCTCTATTGTCATATTTTATTGACTACGATCGTGAACGAGCGCAGATGTCGAATGAGGAGATACAATTAAAATTAAAAATAGTTTAATAATAAATGTTATTGTTATTTAGACAGTTAATCTTTGAATTTCTATTTAGGACGAAATTCTGTGTCACAACGAGAAATTCAAAGATGTTTTAATCTTATTGACTTCTTTTGGAACATGAAATATGACGAAAATGATAACGAACCAGATCCCATACGATGTATTGCTTTATCATTAGCATTGATTTATTATTTTCGACTTCCAACCGACGAAGATAATATACATCGAGCAGATCTTAGTACACCATCACGTGAACAATTCGGTGATCTTATTTCAAAACACATACCAGATTTTGTTCAAATTATTCAAAAAGAACTTCAAAGATTCGTTAATACTGATCATTTTGTTATTCCACATGGGGTAGCTGTTAATCAAGCCGTGAGACTCTTATCATTTATTGTTCAAAGAGTTTTTATGTCTTTATTTTTCTTATAGATTCGAGAACATATCTTTTCAATTGTTGTTAGTATTGTTACCCAAACACCATTATGTATAATTGGGGCACCCGGTACGTGTTTTTCGACGAAGATTTTAAAATTCAATCAACATTGTTCTATTTTAGGTCAATCGAAAACACTTTCATTCCAAATTGTTCTACAAAATCTTCAAGGTTCTCAATTATCAGCAAAAGAATTTTGTAAACGTTTACCTGCCGTGGATCCATTTTTTTGTCTTGGATCAAAATACAGTCGATCTGAAGATATTGCATCTATGTTTGAACGAGCTATCAAACGTGAACAACAATACAAACAAAATCGAATAGATACGCGATGTGTAAGTTTTTCTATTTTCTTTCAAGAGGACTCATCTATATTACATATAAGACTATTATTAATTATTGTTAGGTTGTTTTCTTGGATGAAGCTTCATTGCCTGATGAGAAGAAAATGGTATTAAAAGTATTACACCCTTATTTGGATGAATGTAAAGTGGCTTTTGTAGCTATAGCTAATAAATCATTTGATGCTGCTAATGCTAACCGAATGATTTGTATATATCGATCTGTACCATCAAAAGATGATCAACAAATACTAGCATATGGTTGTCTTGGTATACAAACTGGATACGAACAACAAAATATAAATAAAAATCTCGATAAGATCATATATGGTCTTTGTAAAGGTTATCGTCGAGTACTTTCTAATGAAAATATTCCGAAAATTTTTCATGATCGAGACTTTATTTATATGTTAAGAGAATTACGTTTTGAACTACCAACAACAATAACAGACGATGAAAACACCAGCATAGGTATTATAAAACCGATTAGTTTAATACGTGCTCTTGAAGATAATTTTAATGGAATAACACGAAAAGAATTTCAAGAATTAGTCGAGATCTTTTTCAAAGCTGTTCAAGAAGAATCTCCTAATTTTGCTTTACCAATTGAAGCACGACAACAAAAATGTTATCGTGATATTCCAACTGTTCTTCGGGATTCAATGAAACTCGATTCAAAACGTCGACGTTTGTATGGCCGTTATAAACTAATTATCGATGAATCGGAAGGCGAAAGTGCTATAAATCTTTTATTACAAACAGGTATTATAGATTCCGACCCTACAAGAACATCGATCTTTCGAATGTCCGATTTTCCGGATGATATTAATAATGAATTGCGAAATGTTGAGGTACTATCAACAATAAAATTATGTATGGAAACTGGAAGAACAATATTAATGGTAAATACAAGTCGAATTCATGGTTCATTATATGATGTTTTTAATCAAAATTTTTCAATAATGGCAACAGGTGACATGAGAAAAATATTTTCAAAAGTTGCCATTGGCCCCAAAACAATTGATGTTGCTGTTCATGAAGATTTTCAATGTATTGTTCATGTTAAAAGAAGGGAATTTAAAGATATACCAGCACCATTCCTTAGTCGTTTTCAAAAATATTCATTAAGTGTCAATGATTTCTATCGTATTCGCTTACATAAACTTCCTGGTAATGAACAGGTTATTGTAAGAAATGTCGAAGAGAAAGTTTTATCATTTATTGAACATTTCGGGCGACAATATTTTTATGGTATCAATAAAAGTACTCTTTATTCATGTCTGCTATCATTAATTAAAGTGAATGAGAACGAAGAACATTCTTTATTAAATGTGAATCAACACTATACACAATTAACCTTTAAACTGAAATCATTTATTGAACAAAATCCTACTAATACTCAACAGTGTCTTGTTCGATTAATACTATCAAGATTGATTCAACTTGTTTCACCTGAATCAATCATAGTGAAGTTGCCAGCATTTGAAGAAAAAGTTGAACAATGGCTATGCAATTTATATTTTCAACAGCAAGAACATTTTAATTTGGGAAATTTCATTCGTCAATTGATTTCGAAACCCTTGGTTAATATTGACAACGACACACTTTCATCATCAGAAAATACACACCATCAAACGATACAGAATTCTATTTCAGCAACAACAAAAGTAATCCTATTTACACGAACATCCTCTTATGTCATTGGTTTAAATCAACAATCAAAAAATGAATTATTTACTACTAATAATAATGACGATGAAGCTTCTAATTATAGTAGACAAATAGAAATTATAAATTTGGTAAGTATTCAACTTTATAAATCAGATTGTTCAAAATGAAAAGAACCGATTTATCATTAACTCGTATATCTCTTTTCATTTTCATTCTGCTTCTTATCTTTACTTAAAACCATAAAGATTGAGTTGTAACATTGATGCTTTTTTCTCGTCCAGTCCGGTGGAAAATTAATGCAATATTTATCTTCTCGATTCTTGTGCATTTCTATTTCAAATGACAGTAGATTTCATCAAAAGATTGAATATTTTTCACAAATCTACATGACTAATTTTTCTCGTTTCGTCAATTTTGAGGAAGAACAAAGAATTCAAATAAATCACTATACTTCGACATAATGTTTCGAAAATAAAAATTGATGAAATTATAATAAATTCTAATTGCAATCTATGACTATTCAATGAATAATACTACAACGTTACAGATTAAATATTGATGATATATAGATAAAACTTCTTTGGAGTTCCACTTTGGCACATGCAGGGGGATTGATTTTAATCTGAAAAGTATAGAGAAATAATTAATTAATTTGTATATATTTGCGATTAGGTTAGATCACGCCATACGTTTTTCTAGAACTTGCTTATCCAATATATGTTTCATTGACTAATTTGAATACTTGTAATGATCACTTGCACTATAGAAATAGTTTTTATCATTTCGAAGTCACAAAAAAATATTTAGAATAATATCTTAGCTAATTCGCAATTACACCAAAGAATAAAATTGATGCAAAAATGCATGTCAAAATACTGAAGTAGGTACAGCTCTTGTCTTTAAGTGCATATCCTCCCTTTTTCTAACCCAAAAAAACTCCCAAGATATACACGTCGTTTTTATATTCATATGATATTCAAATCAATTTTCTGTGCTTATTTCTACTAACGCTGAATTGAATTTCTGTGAATTTTTTATCGCAGCCATTTGAGTTCAATTCCCTAGCAACAGGAACCAACAACCAAATTTTACTGATTTGAGTTCGATTCGACTGGTTTTTGACCTATGTTAGGAACTAACCAACTCAGAAAATGCGCCAAAAAGAATATATTTACAAAAACATCCAATACAGATCTGCATATATGATTTTCTATACAATATGGTAATTCATTTAAAGCCATGCAATAAACATACTCCTTGCTATTTAGCTATATCGTATAAAAGCCTTTTTTTGCCAATATTTATATAATATGTATACATTAACAAAACAATCTCCACCGACTTCACTTGAATTTTGATATACTATTAAGCCAAAAATTTGAATTCATCGATCAAAAATATCTTAATTCAGCTATGGATTCATCTTATATAGATTTCAAAGAATATAATTTTTCGAACGTTTACTGTAGTCTATCACAATCATTTCAAACTGGTGCGAATATAGTATATATATCGATTACTCTTTAATTAAAAATTCAAACTGAAGCTTTTGAATTTACTGATAAATTTCTATAAGACGTCTTAACCATTTTAATAAATAAGAAAAAAACATTCATTTCATTCTTAATGTTTTATTGTATGCTTTGTTTTTAAAAACAGTTATCCTATCTTCTATTTAGAATACAATTGAAAATTCAGTTGAATTACAGGATAGATTCAATAGCTATACGGATGATGATAATAAAAATGTTTTAATCATCATTATTGATGGCAGAAACGGACAGCAACGCTTACATATTCCCTTTGTTCAACAGCTGATTGATAAGACTGAATCTTCTTATCGTACTGCTCACCCTTCAGAGCTAAAATATTTTCTTATGCTTGTCCATTCATCAACTCAAGATTTATATCATCAATCATGCTTTCCATCAATATTTTTGCATGAATGGGAATTTTATTTTTTCGATACATGTACACCAGGTAGCGCATTTCATCTTCAAAAAATGTTACGAATTATATCTTCATCATCTCTTGATGATCAACAAACACAAAATCTTGACAATGTTCTTTGTGATTTGAACATTCTCTTCGAAGATTCTTTATGGGATTTTTGTTCTCGAGTTCAACTTCTTCTTCCTCAATTATCAGAAAATATGTTTACAGATACAATGACTCATGAATTTTATCAACCCCAAACAAATGCAATACGTCGTGTTAAATGTCTTAAACATATTCTTCATCGATCGACACAATTAAAACAACATATCGTCAATATTTATCATAAATATTTATTGAGAAAAGAAAATTCTTCAAAAAAAATCTATAGTTTAATTTATCAAATTTCAAAAGATATTTTATGTGGTAAACGTTTTGATGGTCTTATCGAGTCGATTCAATCACAAACACGAAATTCATTTACAAATTTTGCTTCAAATGTTTTCAAATTTATTGTTAATGATTATGGATTAGAAACATTACCTAAATTATCAACTGACCATAAAATCTATGGTTCATTATTAAATTTAATTGATTATCAATCATTTTCTGTTGATGATGATAAAGATATATTTTCTTCACCAACGACACAAGGAGTATTTCAACTTAGTACTCATTATCCTTGTATACCACAAACACCATTATATTATCTATTTCATCAACGTGTTAAAAAACATGCAGACGATATCAAAGAAACACTTGTTCGTACATTAACAAAGCATCAAGGTTAGCATTTTTAAAAGCTATATTACTTGATCGGAAATAGTAATATGGCAGCTGATATGAAGTCCGAAGAATGAACGATACACTGATAATAAATTATTCTCTTTCTTAAGAATCTGACATCAGATAACTCGCTCGAAAACTCATCGTTAACTATTGTTCGTCGAAATACTCGGGTGGCATTTGCAGTTTTCGCGTGTTTCCTAGGAATTAGAATAAGAACACATATATATTGAATATGGAAATACATATAACGGGTGGGGCAAAAGTTTCGCATTAATTTTGTTTTTGATATAACTCTGCGATACAATATCGTAGAGACCTGACTTCTTTTTTGTTGGAAAGAGTAAGGTGTGTAGCACAAAAATATAAAAAAGAATTTGATTGGAAATGCTTTCTCAGGACCACAAGAATCTTAGAACAAAGCGCGTTAGAAAATTATTCCACAACGTTCGTCACATTTTTCTTGTCCAAAAATATTTATTTGATCTTTTTCATTGCCCACTTTGAACGCTTTCGAGTATCATATGCATGGAATTGTTCACTACAACGAATGCTTTCGTTTTGTGTTAAAATAATAGATATTCCATACAAGAGAATAAACAGGGCACAATTTGCCTCAAAAAAATAATTGTTCGAATCTGGCTTTCCAACGTGAAAACAAATTTGTGTCTGGATATCTTACAGAGCAGTTGTGTTCCATTTGAAATAATATCGTTTGGTGGAAGACTCAATAAATTTTCTTTTTCATATAAAATATGTAACCTTTGACAATATCTCCTTGATAGTATAGTTTAAATTTTCCAACGGTATCTGAAGTGATGAAAAATCGGCGACTCGGACAATATCATAAAACTGTTCATTTCGACCATTAAAAAGCGCATAGGAAATTTCTTCCTCTTATACAGTATTACCGCTCGACTCGTGCGTAATAAAATCTGGATGGTATAAAGGAAAAGATAACCTGTTTAATTTTAGAAAATCTTTTGTAAATGAAAAAAAATTTGCGGAATGCTTTTCTAACGCGTTTTGTTCTAAGATTCATGTGGTCCTCATAAAACATTCCTAGTCAAATTCTTTTTTTATAGCTTTGTACTATACACTTTGCCCTTTCTAATAAAAAAAGAAATCAAGGTTTCTACGACATTGCGCCACAGAGATATATTAAAAAAAAATGAATGCAAAAATTTTGCCCCATTGGGTAATTGCAATTGCACCGAATCTTTTTATAAACGTGATTTCCATATAATTTGTAACAGTACAAGTCAAAAAGATTAACAGATGAATATAAAAGCAAAAGTATTTTGATCAAAACTGAAACAAGGCTCCGAGAAATACTTACGCTCATAGATGCCCATACAACAGAACAGTCATGTTCTGCCGCTTACCAGAATAAGATATGGTAGAAGGACAAGACAGAACATAATAGGACAAAAACAAAATTGTCTTATGCTCATCTATGCTACGCCTATCTGTATTTTTCATAGTAATTAGGGGTTTAAGCCACTGCTCTGGTCGTTGGTCGTGACTGAAATGTCGATCATTTTTCAAACATTTTCAGTACCGAGAAATGTAGCCATACAAAAGAGAAGAACGTTCTAATAAAAGAAACTAGATCAGAAAATCCTAAAAACTGTTTCTGCATGTCTAAAACATCCGAAAATATAACATACATACATACATGCATATATATCAGGTCTCGAAATTGGCGGTTCGGCCCGGGTAAGCAAATTGGAGACCAACTTTGAGCCAGTCCAGGCCACCAGAAAGTGGCCCAAATTCGAGGCCTGATATATATATATATATTTATGCAGTAGTGACTGGGATTCTCTTTACTGAAATACGGCATCATTTATGTGACGGATATATGCCACATTCCTATTAAACGTGACTATTACACAGACACATTTTTCGGTAAAATGCGGCACGTAAATATTTTGTATATGACCATTTTTGTACGGTATCATCTGATTAAAGGATCCATTGTAGTATGTGAACACTATAAAAATATATGCCAGTTCTGTTTCTTGAGTATGTTGTTTGAATAATTCTATCAAATAAATAAACAATGACAAAGTTAAGTTTTGAATATTTTATATATTCAGGTCTTATTGTTCCGTGAGAAATACGGTACAAGCAGAGAAGTTCTATCATTTAAATCTTTCTTTCTTTCTGCAGGAAAAGAAGATGGCTTACGTGATGATTATTATGATGCTCCACAGGTGACGACTGCAGATTGCAGCAATGAAAATGAGAATGAAATGACTCAGTATAAATTTGAACAATATCGAATTAGATTAATTGATTGTATTGTAAATGATAACGTGTTAGCTGATACAATCTCTGAACGTATTGTGCAATCCTATTCAACGGATCTTATTCGAACATTTTGTAGTGTTGTCGAAAATAATTTTGATAATAATCCCATTCAATGCCAACAAGCAGTTGAATTTATGTCACGTTGGTTATTACTTATTGATGATAATGATCGTCAATCATTAGAGAGTTATCCTAATAAAGATGTTTGGTTTCTTGCACACGTTTATACATTATTTGAATATGAACAAAATGATCTTATTTCAATGTATTCAGCATTTCGAATTATCACTCGCATTAGTTCTGGAAGTTTATCTTATGATAATTTATTCGATGAAGAAAATATCACACGTTCTTATTTACGTGAAACATTTTTCTGCTTAATTTTCAATTATTTATGGGAAAATCTTAATAAATTATGTACAAATAATGAAAATTATGAAACATGGATATATGCTTACACATTTATTTCAAAATATTATCCATCAGAGAAAATTTTACGTGGTATGCAGCTATCTGATATTAAAAGTCAGCTTGAATTTATGAATTTATCTTATTTGATATTTTTAAATGATACAATAAGTGAACCACATCAATTAATAACGATTTTGCTCAAGGAAACAAACATCAATCGATCATCTGTTTGTTTAAGATTATTGCCAAAGATGGCAGATATCATTTATCGACATTTAACAGACAAAAATATTGCTAATTCAACATTATTTATTGATCTTCAACAATGGGCAATAGCACTCTTAAAATCAATAAAACAGCCATCTAAGCAAGATATTTATTTTCTATTGAAATATATAGATCAATCAACTTGCCCATTATCTTTAGCAATGAAACAATTTTTATTCGACGAATTAATTAATATACTTCTTCAAATTGAAGACCCAAATAAGCAATATTTTGATATATGGGATCGATTTAAAATGATTCCACATTTAATTGAATGTATATCAAATGTTGATCTTGAAAATTATAAAATACCTTATCATCCATCAATAGTTTCTGATAATAATGATTTACAAACAAGGCAAATATTATTTGATTTATATTTCTTTCATCTCAGATGTCAAATGACTAATGAAAGCATCACAACAAGTCTTATCAATAAAGGAATGCTATTGAGATTGCCAACAATTCAAAACAGACGTTTAATACCTATAGGAGAAAATCTTTTCAAACAATTAAAAGATTATCTTCGAATAAAAATGATTGCTTTGTTATTATGTGAAATAATTTTGAATAAGAATGAGCTAGATGATGTCAACCGTATTATGTCAACCATTATAAATGAATTTTTATTAATTGACGAACAATCGACACAATTTAATAATTATCTTGAACTTTTTCTATCTACCATTATATTGAAAAAATCATGGAATTTTCTTTTAAATTTATTAAAATCTGAAAATATTCTACGTTTGAATCATCAATGGGCAACAAATCTATATCGTTCACTTGAATTAAAGCAAACACAAAAACAGAATAAATATTTACAATTTTGCCATCAAATTCAATTTACATTATCTTTAAAAAATGATTCGTCAATATTTCCGGGACTTCATCAACCCTATGAAGAATTAAGCAAAATTATTGATATTTGTGTTAAAAGCAATACTGAAGAAAATCAATGGGGTACTTTATCTGATTGGATTCAATTAAAACTAAATTCGGATCCAATTCAATTACAATTAAAAGAAATTAAAGTAATATTATTATTAATTATTTACTATGAATATTATTGCAATAATCAATTATCATCTATAAATACATTATTAGAAATGGTTGAGAATACTTTGCAATTATCATCTGAAGAATTACGATTATTTCGTGTTATTATAAGACCTGAACAATTTATGATTGGATATCCAAGAGATAATAATAATAATGCTGATAAGAATTTCATTAATGGTTTGTTCAAACTTGATTGTAATGATGAATTCGACTTATCTTTACGTCATATGCTTGTCAATCTTATGGCAATGATTTTGTTAGGTGGTGAAAAATCTTTTCTTTGGACATTTATGTTTCAACCGTTGACATTGGAAAATACATTCGGTTAGTAAAATCACTTCATTTTCTTACTAATGGATAACACAAAATAAAATAGATTCTTAGTAATTGTGTTCTAATACTGATTTAATACAATCGAATGATTGCCCTTGAAAATCTCTACATAACAATATACTTAACTCAGGGAATAATACTCATATATTTGTTTTTGAATCAAACTCAATTGAACTATGACATCAGATGCAGAATGTAAAACTTTGTTTTAAAATCTTGTCCAAATATATTTCAATATGTTTATTTATACTTCTTTTGTTGTAATATGAGAAAAGTTCACATATCCTTCACTAACCTGTTCTCCTAGAAAACAATGTAACGATTAAAAATCAATTAAATTCGATGGCCAACAAGTCATTGAGTTGAATATCGGAAAATAGTTAGGACAACATGCTTGATTGAAATTGTATGTGTCAAAGCGTCATAATGTCCTATTAGAGTCAGTAGTATGAAAGTCATTCATTCATCATGAGTTTCAATCCTGTTTTCGACGTTTTAACTATTGATTTCGTGGCACACGCACCAAAGCTGCTGGCAGGTGAATCGATTTTCTGACTTTATCTGGTCTCGCTTGAAATACCTACAGACAGAAGGTCGTGTTGATAGCTCTGTTATTTATGAAAGGATTCATACATTCACTTGTCATGTATACAATAAATTCTCTTTAACTAGATAGATCGTAAAATTTCTCAACCCTCGTTCTGAGTTTCGATGAAAATACTGTATGCGATATTTTTGTAAACATTGTAAGCTAGTGACGATGCCACAAGGAGACGAAGAGGATATCAGACCTCCTACCCTGGTCAATAATTCTGGCGCTGTCACTAATGTGAATCCGTGTGATAGATATCGGCTCACTCATAGTCACTATATATTGTTTTGGGATGAAGTTAACATACTTCTCTGTTCATGTTTTATCTTCCATTTGATCATTTATCTTTGATTATAATTAGGATTTGGATCAACTTCACGACATATCATTGAATCAACTTATATTCATTATGATTGTGGTTGTATTATTTCACAAAATGGTGATTTATTACAATTCAAGGGTATAGAAGATGCAAGTGGATTGAATGTACCAGCCGTTTATGTTGCTTACTTCTCGACATTCGGTGCATTGGCAAGTTTTTTCAAACTTTGATATTTTATTTTATTAATAGATTTTTTATGGTTAGGCATGGCATCTTTTATTATTTGATGAATCTGTTGAAAATTTGTATGGGCCAATTCTTGCGCCATCAGCTATTGGTGATGATGATGATTCTGATGATGATGATGATGAACCAGGTCATCAACTTGCTGGCGAAAGTACTAGAGCTAAAGTTTGCCATTTTGTTTGCACTAGATTACTGTCAACGTTTCACTTCTTGTCAACTAATTCAAATCAAAATGATGCTTGTATTATCTTGACACGTTGTTTTGAACAAATGGCATTTCTTACGAAAAATGAAAATTCATGGATTAAATCCGTATATACAACTAATGATGATGAAATTAAAGCTGAACAAGAATATAAAAATAACGTATTTTATTTCGTTTATAATAATCTAGTTGAACATAAAGCGTATATTAATCAATTAAATCTGCAATCACAAATACAAATGAATCTACAAAATTTTATTGATCAAATGCCTATTATTATTCAATTTACACATTTTAAAACTGAATTAAATCGTCTAACAGATTCAGAAATGTCTCTTAAAATTTTACAACATACTCTTACATCTTTACCATTTTTAAAAATAACTAAATTAATATACCATCTTAGTCAATTTTATCTTCTTTTGCATCAAACTTATGCAAAATTAATTGAACGCGATGAATTTTTAACAATAACATTACAACAATTATATGATCGTGGGCAAATATATTATAATAATTCTCATCAGCAACAATATCAAAATGAAGATAAGACACACCGATCGATTATTGAAAATGGAATTGAAGCTGTTAACCTTTATCATCAATTTTCTGATGGTCATATTCGACCGGGTGCTTGCGATCAAACGCAACGTTTTTCAACCATTGAATGGGAAACACCAGTGAATTATTTAGTTACGAATGAAAATTATGACGAAGGCGATATTGTTATGCGTATAATCAGGTTAATTTATTGATAAAACTTATATCTATATGTCTCACTGGCAACATTTTCCCATCATTTTTAAATTTTTATTTTTAGTTAAATAAGATTTTAAGGGAATGGTTCTATGCGTCAAAAATAAGATAAATTCAGTGTGTATGCGATTTTCTGTGCAGTTCAATTAGATTAGACATAAACTAAGTCATTCTTTGTGTGGTTTTAGTTCACGTTCTGATAAAAGTATTTTCTGATACCGAGACTTGCAAACATTTTCTGATAATACAGCTTGACATTATATTTTATTCTTGTCGGCAAATTTTGAGGACTTCACTGCTATGTTAAGAATCATTTAGTTATTGCAAAGGGGAAGTTGCTGATATTTTGATTTTTAATCAATTTTAAATAATAAAAAAACTCAGAAAAATCAATGAGTCGATCGAAGTGATACAATTTTTAATCTCTGTTATTCAAAAAATCAATCTAGGGTGAAAGAGCTTCAATAAGATTTTCTTGATTTTTATAATTTATTTTGGATTTTTTTCTAATTTTAAATCAGAAAAGTCTGATTTCAGCTGTTTCTTCCTCGCGTTATTGACATTTTCTCTATTTCAGATACTGTCACATTGATAAGAACGAAATCCACTATGTTAAATATTAATTTCATTTGAAACAATGTGTAATCTGAATCGCCCGATGATTAGAACTCAAAAAAAGATTTTTTTCAACTAATACCGAGCTTTTAGCTTTATGTTTCAGTTCATGACCCACCTGAATCACAAAATGATTCGAAATACCTGTTTTTTAGGAGACTTTTATCTTAACAATCTACTAGAGTCTAGCACTGTTAATAAACATGGCATGTACCCCCTATTCACGCTCACATCCTGAATAACTCATTCTATTCTTGGTGTTCTTTTGTATATTGCACTTGAAATAAAATGAATTGCTAACGAAAATTTATTTTCATTATCCGCATTAGAATGAACATAAAAAAGAATCATCATTTTAAATATCAACTTATCAATTATTTTCCTTAGTTTGAATCTTTTGAAAATCAAAGCAGAAATTAAAAAACAAAATATCGATTTGAGGTTTCCAAATACTCAATTAAAAATAGAATATGGTTATGCCTAGAATGCAAATAACTGTCAATCCGTAGTTTTTAGCAATCAAAACTAAACACATGGGACTATCTTTTAGTTCGATAATATATATGAGATAATTAATATGATTCCGATGAGATTTTAATTTTCACATACCTCTAGAATAAAGCAACCTGGGATTTATAGTTCGAGAAACAATTTAACTGGTTATCTTGTCACGTCCGATATGCTGAAAAAATAAAATCATAGAACTGTTCAATCGAATAATACGGTATCGAGTTGAATTTTCAAACACAGTTCCTTTCTTACTATTAAAGTTTTATAAGGGTGGCAGGCGATGTTCATAAATTTGTTTTTGAATTTTTTTGCGGCAATCACATGTTGCAAAATATTTTCATGCTACCCATTATCCAATATAAAAATGTCTCAATGTCTTTTCATTTAATTTCTGAAAACCATAAGTCACTATCTACTTTCGTTCTAGACTTATGCAAGTTTTATCCGGAGACCTTGAAGTCTCGCGCCGACACAAATCCCATTGCTAAATAAATTTCTTCATTTTTTTTAGTGTCTTAGTGAATTATCACAATAATTTATTAAACTTGATGGAAAACGAATTGAACAAAAATGAGAATCATACTGTCGGTTCGTTAAGAAATTTGATCAAAGAGTTAACATCAAAAACTGTCTCAATTTTACAAGTTGCAAATGATAATACTGGTGTTATTAATTTAAATGAAAAGGATTGCCTATGGATTGAACAGTTATGTCAAGCTAGTTTTATTGATAATGAAGAACAGTACTTCATTACATCAAATTCTCGATTAATGTTTAATTTTGTCTATATTCAATCACAGATTATTCGAACGTCTCTTTTATTTTGCCGTATTAATTATCGTCATATTATGCAAAAATATCAATGGCATACAAATAGAAAAGCAACAACAACAGATAATGAACGTTTAGATCTCGATGAAAAATATTTGGTTCGATTAAGTGATGAGCAACTTGAAAACGAATGGAACTATCTGAAAGATATTCTATTAGACAAACTTTATCATACGCATAAACTTCTAAGGCAAATAGCATTAACATTGAAAACTCATCAAAATGATTTCTCATCAAATTATCTTTTTGAATTTGTTCGCATGACTGATAAAGATAATGATATTCTTCAACGATTAGAACAATACGAAATAATAGATTTTCAATTATGTTATATTGATCATGTTATTGAAATCTATGGAAAATCAGTTTGTGGATTTCAGCATTTATTTACAGACATACCGCCTTTACTTCGAGTTGGAATTGAGTCTCAATTAAATCATGAACTTATTAAAAATTTGAATGAAAATATTCTTAACATCGATTATCACAATGATGTAGACAAAATTCAGATAACAATTCAAACAATCACAGAATTTCTTAATGACTTAAAAGCAATTGAAGATACTCTTCTTCAACAATCGGCACAATCATTAATTGAAACTTGCGAAATTTTAGCAATTTTAACAATTGATAATCCAATACGTTCATGGATACCACATAAAATAAAATGTGAAAATTATGTTGATCTTTATATTCATTTAATACGTACGAGATCAAAACTTCAAGAACAAAAATTTAACATTGAAGAACAAAAAATGAAATTATGGGATGAAAATTTAAATTCAGACGAACAACAAGATAAACAAGGAAGTCGTTTGCATCAATATATAGATCCACAATATAATAGTCAAATATCCAACGAAAATCAAAACAGTAAGGAATCAACAGATTGGAAACTTCCTGTGCCCGATGCAAATGGATTAATTTCTGATTTCACAGATAAAGATAATATACCTAATATAGATCGGCCAGTAGATCAAACACAAATCAAACCTAAAGAGCTCGTAGATAAGGACATTCAATATACATCTTTGATGACATTCAATTTAAAGTCAGTTCCATGCACATCATCCGTATTCTTTCAACAAATACATAAATATCGAGAAGAACCATCAATAGAATCAGCTATTGGAAATAAAGCACAAAAATTTACTATTGTACATCCAAATAGAGAATCGAAAACATATTTATGGAGATTTGAAAAGTTTTCGGAAGAATTAAAGAAATTATTTGTTGGAAAAAAATATGATCATAATTTATTTGTTGTTGTTGATAAAAATGAAATTTTTGTCGATTTTACAAAAGATAATTATTGTTTACAAAATCAATCAATTTTAGAATATCATATTATTGAAAAACAGTTCTTAATTCAAATTCAATTTCAATTTCGAGCACAACTATCTGAATATTTCACGACATCGAAATGTACTATTCCAACTATCGTTCATCATTTTATTGACGATAAACAACTGAAAAACTTATCAACCGATACTATCCTTTGTTTCTATGATGAATATGGCAAATGTATTGCTGATGGAACCATTAGTGATCTTTCTAAAGCAGATTCAAAAACGATGTCGATTTTCGTGACTGCAGAGACGTCGAGTGCCGGTATTCTATATGAATGTGCTTTACAATACAATAAAGGTAATCAAAAGAAAAATCCTATTCATAGAATTATTTGCTATTTTTTATAGATCAAAATGAAATAATGAATTTATTTTATCCAACAACTCAATGGCAACAAATTAATCTTTGGTTAAAAACTCTTTCATCTATAACTGATCCTTCTATCAATGATTATGCTTTTCTAATACGAGAAAAAAAATTAATTATTGATGATAATCAAATTATTTCGTCAACAATAAATCAAACAGAGTCAACGATAATCGATATTATTAATCGAAATATGATAACTAAAGTTATGTTCACCTTTGAAACACATAGTCAATCTATTTATGCATTAAAAGCAATGCCGATTTCTTCTTTATTAAATAAAGAAAATATTCTCGAACAATTAAATTTAACGGATATATCTCCGAATGCTTGTCTTTTTGTCTTGAAAGAAACAGATGAACAAGTTTTAACAAAAGATGATCTTCAAAAATCTGTCGGTACTTATTCAACTATTGAAAATGAATCAATTCATTTTCAAATATCAATCTCATTGCAAATAACAAAATATGACGACAAGGAACAAATTAAAATCCCTATACCAAATAGAAATCTAACTATTGAACAATTATTAAATTTAACAGAAAAATCCATCGATGTTTACAAATATTTAGCTACTTATGACACAAAAATAATTCTTAATTCTAATGAAATACTTTCGAATTTAAATAAAACTCAATTTATTCTTGTTAAAGAAAATGAAACTTGTCTTGTATCGATTAAAAAATCGAATGATTTACAACTTACCGATACTAATGACGAAGAAAATGAGAAATTTCAACGATTTACTGTTTTTGCTACTATAGCCAATGTTAATAAAGAAAATCAACTTGATATTTTACATCAATATCTTCTATATTCAAATGATTTTGTTCCATCAACAGATATTCAATTAACATCTCTGAAATCAGAATCACCAATTCAATTTAGAGTGATCGATCAAAATTTACCAGTTACTGTTAGCATTGAAAATGGCGAAGAAAAGAAGTCAATTCAATTTAATTGTTCACTTTCGATAACAATGGAACGACTCTGTGCGATTGCATGCCAAATATTTTGCGTTAACGAAGCTTATTATCGTTTGGCTATGAATGACGATACCGAAACTGGCGATGATATCTCTTTAGAAGATATTGATGAAAATATGACTGAAATTCAATTTCAAATTATTTCTACAGCATCTCTACATTGTTCAATCATGTATTCCAATCAGAATGTTTCATTACCATGCCATCAAGATACACCGATAGAAATAGTTGTTAAAGAAACACTGCAGAAGTTACATATGTCGAAAGAGGATATGAACCTATATGAGTTGATAGCATTGGATGACGATCGAACACAAATTGTTTTCGACTTATCAGTAAATGATATCAAGGAACTGCTTTCTATTGATTCAACAACAATATCACTTGAATTGAAAAAAATAGATGAATGAAACAAACTATTTTCAATTCCGGCTGAACTTTCTTTTAGTTCAGCAAATTTTCAGAAACATTTGCGTGATTTCTTTTTATGTTTTCAATTAATTCAAAATAATTTAATTAAGAAATTAGAGAAAAGATGATTCATGATTATAACTTTTGAATAACAGCAAGAATGTGGGAGAAATAGATCGGCAGTCTCAACTACGTACGTCCTCACGTTCATGCACACAGAGTCAAAGATCGAAACTGTTCTTCATAGTTACTGTTGTCGTTCTCTATAAAACAAAGTGTATACACTGAAATGTCTTTTTTGGCCGAGGCAAATGATTGAGTTGAAAGATAATGCTTTTCTGTCGTTCTGATATACAAGGCGAAGGGAAGAGAGTACACTTATTCTCATTCTTTTTCCTTTCCTTCGATAACCTACATTTCTATTTCGTCTTTAAAAAGAACACGATTGCATGCTGCGTAAAAGACAAATCATCTAGAAAAAAGTATAGGCGAATGAGTGCAGTTCTTTTTTTGGCATATTTTAGCTCGTCATATCTCTGTTGAGTAGCAAATCTATTTCTAAATCGATCATTTGAAGCATTCAACATGTTGCGCATACCACGAAATATTTTAATTCAACAAACTACACGCATCCTTAATTGTCCACGATTTTTATCAACGGACCCAACAGCTGGTTCAATCAATGCCGCTCATGATAAATTCGCAGAACGTGAGCAAGCTTTTGAAAATGCTTATTTTCGCAAACAAGACGAAGAACTTTTAAAAAAATTACGCCGACAGTACGACTCATTGGAAATGAAATCTAATGAGATTGAACGTGAACAAAAATGGATTGAAGAAGAAATTCAACGATTGGAGAAACAACGTGAAAAGTTGATGAAAGTATCCTTTAAATCAGTGAGACAATGAAATAGAAGAGTGTGCAAGTGGACGATACAGTTACTTCTATGTACATTTTGTTTTCGTAGACATCGATGTAATTTTTTTATTTTTGAAATTGTGTCCTTTTCTGTGAACTTACATTACCCACTATAAATAATCCCGTTACGTAACATGATTACTGGTCTAAAAAAATTAAAATAAAGCAAAACACTTAGGGGTGCGGGTTTGGGGTATGGATGTGGGTGCGTTACTGTTCCTATTCGACAGCTACACCATTAAGACGATCGAACAATGATGAATCGTTATGTTATCGAAATTCCATTATTTTTTAATTTTCGTTTTCCATGTGCAACAACTGAATATGGAATTATTCGTCAAAGTCGTGATACTACAATGAAACGTAGCCTAGACGATGAAAGAATTCAAAGCGATGAATTAGCAAATCAAGCAATGAAACAATTAACTGATAAAAGTATCTATAAGGAAAATATCAAACTTATTTTCAATAATTCAGATTTATTCACACATTATTATCATGATCAAGTTGCACTCGCTCACGATGAAGCGAAAGTTTATCAATTGCCAACTTCATTTGTTCAACGTTTGCTCACATTAAATCCAACTCGATCAATAACAAATCAACTTCAACATCTTCTTATTGATCATGTAGAATTATTCGAAATCTTGAGAATTTTTGAAATCAGCATGCAGCTTGTAGGCGAAGAAACTGTTATAAATGCTTTCAATAAGCAATCAATTCAAAATTATACCTCCGATCATCTTGTTTCATCAACAATTATTAGTCGTATCGATAATATTGAACAGTTGATAAATTGTTACAATCGTGTTATACAAAGTATTCTTCACTCAACACATATACAGTAGATAATCTCGAAAAATTACGTTCATTTGCTAGTCTTGTTCGTTGTATTACGGCTTTGTTTCCAGCTGAACACGCTAGCAATTTTTTTGAGAATGCGTGTAGTCTCGGTGGATTCAATGCGGCATTTGAGAATTGTAATGCTATTCATGAATTTATCGAATACTTACGTAATCTGTTCGTCGATAGCGAATCAACTACAGATAATGTTCTTCCGCATCGACAGCGAACATTACTTGAACTTGAAATGGAGTTTCTTAAAACTTGGCTACCAGATAACAGTGAGCAATATCCTGAAGTACTAGCATTGTTTAGTAAACCGAAAAATGATTTGTGGCAATATTCAGCCAAGATTTTGTCATTCATTGATCAAGAAGTGGAATTATTTTCAACGGTCTTATCAAAAAATGGACAACTTGAAGATCCCGATAAGATCGAGTTACTTGATGAATGCTTGAATAATATCAATGGTGATACATACAAAATCGAACGATTGCTAGTGAATCGTATTCATATGCAATTGATGCTTCGTGCAAGCGAACAAGGTACACCCGAACAAATTCTCACGGACAATTACACACAATTTGAGGAGAATGTACGACAACTTCAAGATGAACAATCCAATCACAGTTCCATATCAATCAGTCTGATTGCTTGGATTAAATATTATATTGAATTATATGCAGTTGCTTTAAAAAATCAGTGTTCGGAGGCGATTATGGGTACGATTGATCAATTTCTAACTCGAGACGAATTACCTCTCTCTTTAACACTCAAACTATTTGTAATCAAGCAAATCTGTGAACTATCAAGTGTTAAATTTGATGCGTTTTGTGAGAAGTTTTCCAATAGTGCTGTTGTCTGGCTTCGAACAATCCTTGAAAAGCCGCAAGATCAACAATCTAATCAAGCACAACACAATCTTATTTTACCAACACCACTCTTTGTAGGTGAAGACGAATTCAAACGTATCAGCGATATACTTTCATATAGCAATGATATTGAACATTTGCGACAATTGATTACAAATTGTACAACTAATCAAACTTCATCATACTGTTTTCTTGTCTGGTTTATTCATTATTATTTGCGTTTTTACACGAAAAATGCCACATCGATAGATGAAAAATGGGTTCGATTATTTACACATGAACTAAATCAGCATATCTGTAAATGTTTCGATGTAATTAGTTCCAAACTACTTATTTCTTTGTGTAAGAACTTTAGTAATACTTCGTACTTTCGACTTCAACCGAACATGGATATCAAAGAAGTCCATCAACGTTTAGTTGTTTTAAACATTGCTGTTTATCTTCTCTCGTGTAAATCACTCAATTATATTACATACGTTGGATCTTTACTTTTCGATGACAAACGTCAGATGCCAAATAACTATACAGAACGTCTTCAATCATCTATATGTTTGCCTGGTCTTCTCTCTAGCGATATTGCTATTACAAAGATGCTTTATGTGAGGACCCAAGTGAAAGAACGTTTGGATAGAAGTGAAATTGTTCCAGACGCAATGTTCATTTATAAATGCTCAGACGCTTGCCCCTATATGTTTCATTTCGAAGGATGCGGTCGCCCATACGAGCTAATCAAATGCCCTATGTGTAAAACGGATATTGGTGCAACGAGCTACAATAAACCCATTATTCGTATTCCACCCCATACTCAAATGCCCATCGAAGCAGGTTTTCAGTTCATTGCTGATTATATCAAGACGTAGGATGAAAAAGATCGTTTCGGATATCATAACATCACAAATACTGAGGAGAGTAACGTGGATGAAAAGTCTGAACACCTAAATCGATCCATTTCGTTTCGTTTCATGCACATGTTAACTTGTGCCACTCTACTAATCCTACACGAGCTGGAATTATTAACAAATTCAACTCTACCAAACCGAGACTATTTTCGAAACCATTTTGAAAAAGATTATGTTCTAATTGGACAACAATGCGGCCATATTGAAAACTGCCATGTATGGCTATTCAGACTGATTAATCATACGCTTGACGAAACATTTTTACTCAAGGGTATCCTTAACAAAAATCAGAAAGTAATCGAATTAGAAAAATTGATTGAAGAACGACTAATTTTCGCTCATATTAATTCCGTACCAACTGAAATCAATGAATACAAACGATCATTCGCTGAGTATACTCAAAAGCAAAGTGAAAGTTCACGATTAGAATATTTTGTCGATGAACTCTTCGAAAACGAAGCTAAATATCCACTATTAAAATTTTTCAATCTTACCAATATTTATGCAGCGAATCCCATTGAAAAATTTCGTACTAAACTACAAGCTATGCTGTACAGTGAAAAAATCTATCCAATAACAACATTTTTAATGAACCGTTTAGAAACCTATGAAAATATTCAATATCTGTATCCTATCGTCACATTTACGAATTATCTTATTCATAAATTTAATCATCGTCTTAAACGAAATGATGCTGCTGTAACAACAATCGAATATTATTTAACTGATGGGCCTGATTGTGAGACGACTTTAAAACTTTATGAATCATTTCTCGACGCATGGTATGCACTCAATTTGAAAGAAGTTCGATTTGATTGTCAAACAGCTAAAATTGAACATGTGCAAGAAAAAGAAGATTTTGCTAACAATACAATGATTGCTGTAGTTTTATTGAATGCATCCAAAGATGAAACCAGTATCCTACTGCCAGTATGTTTAAAAACAATAGGTAAATTACAAAGTGAAGTTATCAATTATTTTCATAATACACTTGGTACTGATCTATCGGGAAGACGACGACAGGAACACATCGTGCCAGTACAATCTATTCGAAGCGAACATTTATTTGAAATTAATGCCGCAGAAACCAGTCAGCAATTAGTCACGGATAGTTTTATGATTAACTATGAATATAGTGCCTATGATTGATACTGAAAAATTACAATATCGCAATTATCAATTTGAACTTTATGGCGAAAATTCATCGTTAATTACCGACGTTCGAACACGTGTTAAACAAGAGCCATTGGAGATTACTGAACGAAAAAAACGCATAGATCTCATGCCAGGAATGGATAATGGTGACATTGTTAATTTTCTTGGTTCACTCGATTATGTATTTACTTATTTAAGAGATATAGATATGGATCTAAATATTGAAATGCCAACAACTCAAACATTTGTTGAAAAAAACAGTTGAACGAACGGAAATTGTTGAACGATTTATTTCAATGACATTTGGTAAGCAAGAAATTGCTGCATCTCTTCGGAATATTGACTCTTGGATTGGTATACTCAAAAGAGTGATGATTCGTGTTCTTTCGAATGTTAACGTAGATACTAAAGTACCATTACAGTTTTATCTCGAAAGAAAAGATCTATGGACTGGCAATGTTGCAGATGCAGATATTATTACGTTTGATCTAGATGATACCATTCTTTTGCATAATACCTTTGTTATTCTAAAAGGTCTCGGAAAAAAAACATAAACCGTCACCTACTGATATTGATGGCGAACAAGAACCTAAAAGTGTTGAGACATCAACAGCAAAAGTAACATCATGGATGGGTCCCAAAGGAAGGAATTCTAGCACACAAGTCAAAGTTATCCAGACATCAGGAGCTAAGGCGAAAAAACGTATAGCATAAACACTTTTCTTCAATTTTTAACGATGAAATATCTTTTTTCTTTTCATAATAACAATAATAATAAAGATATTCTTGAAAACTTTATCGATGACTACTAGAAATCTATTCATACAATATCAAATAAATTTTGAGTGATATATCAATGCCAGAAGAAAAGTGATGAAAGCACCAACACTAATGAAGAAATCAAGTAACATCAATAAGGACACAAGGACCGGCGGCATCGATTATTACTAGAAAAGCTCTTGAAGAAATTCCTTAAAAATAACAACAGAACCAATAACACTTTCTCTTTTAATAAGGAATTTTAACCTTCATCAAGCACGTAAATATGATATAACCGTGGACAAAAGTCCTGTACTTAGCATGAGATGCCTAATTCGAATTCGAATATAAATGAAGCTTCAACTGCATAAAGTTAATTCGAAAATAAATAAAAATTCAGCCAGCACTCACATTCGAGAACAGGAAAATAGGAGGGTGTGCGTGTGGGTGTACCTTCTCCTCTGTCTCTGTAAGGGATACGTGACATCTAGCTACCGCTATACCACTATTACACTATAATCGTATAGCGGTATAGGGGTATACTGTTATAAGCATTTTGAATTTGCCGCAAATTCAAATGCCCCATGAAGTCGTGGTGTGGGGGCATATAAGTAAGACACACATCCACACCCTCACCCTCAAGAAAAAAAGTTATTCTATTTTCCTATGCTAATAGGAAAGTATAGCAGAAAGTTAATCTTTTTCTTTGAACGGATCGGAGCTGATGAAAATTTTGGAAAATTTCGTTTATGTTCGAACTGGAATTAGGCAGATACTCATAATTTTGTCTTGTTGTAATCTTCGAAAAATTATAACATGTAAATATATTGAGTGAATTGAAATATTGACTCCGTTCAACCGTCGTCGATTTCAATGTTATTTAAACGTGCGTAGGATATCTTAACTAATTTTACGAAACAAATTCGAAGTGATGCATCGAAAATAAATTCTGTAAAGATCATACTTTTCATATCGCAATCATCAGTAGAGGAATTCTACTATTTCAACTAGGATAAGCTGCTGTCTACTTGATAAGTAGTAGTCAAAGTAAAGGGAAGTTTGATGCCTCGACTTAAAGATGTTCTTGTGGCTTTAGGTTTCCATTATAATGGCATCAGAACTTTCAGCTACCAGTGTTGATCATCACCTCTCTAGCTTTTCTCTATTGTTATACATGTATAGCAGGAGTTTGAAGCTCAGCTGAAAACAGCCGTGTATACGAAATCGACATTTGGTTTGAAGAAATCCAACCTTCAATGCAATACGATTTAGTACTATTTTCTCATGTACTCTAATATATTCCTGATCTTTAAACAAACAGAAAAGAGAGCCAACGAGCTCCAGAAGCTATTTGATTCTACCAAATACTGCTCACAGCACCGATATCGTCGACTCAAACGGTACGAATCGACACATCTATGAAGGAATTGTTTGATTTTTTCTTGAAGAAGAATAGCTCTGAAGATGGGTATTGTTACAGTGCGTTCTACTGTAACGTATATCTCGATTCTATCTATTCTCTTTTCCTTTCTCTCTCTCCGTTTTCCTCTATTTTCTTGTCTCTGCTTTCGTGTGCATATATAAACGTTTGTTTTCTAACAGAATAAACAGAGAGAATATAACACATTCGTTAACTGTGTTCGTCGCTCCTCGTGAGCGCTAACAGGTATGTTCGATGGTCAGCTTATCTGAACAGCCTCAGAATGCTGCTGTATCATCATTGTTTCGTTTGCCCATAAACAACCACTACCCATAAGATCCGCAGCTCAAGGTTAAATTCAGAGAATGACTATTCAAAGCTACCACGTGAACTCATTTAATATTCTTCTGATAGAATACCTTTCAATTCGAAATAAATCAATAATGAATGAATCAAATATGTTAAGGAAATAATCTATATCGTATCGATAAAAGAACTGCATTGAATGCTACAAAGTGCAATCAACCTCTCTGAATACTATTGCGAAACGAAAACTCTTCAAGCTTATCACTGCGAGATATCGAAAGAATCCCTGTTTCTCTGATAACGATCTTCGTCATGACTAGTGTTATCAATGTTTTTATCATTTAGTTGCATGCTTCAATGTAATTTCGTTGGGTAGTAGGAAGCTTCCAAATTTCATCTTGGAAATGTATCATAGATATTAGTGGTCAATGTCAATAAAACGAAAAACGAAACACACTGGGGGGAAAATCCTATTACTAAACAATAAAACTCATTTATAAATTCACACGAAATCTGTTCACTCGTTTATCAAACATAAACAATCATCGAAATTTCAAGTTATACTTTAAGCGTAAGTAGATCATTCGAATTATTCAATTTTTCTTCATGATTCTACCAAAGATAATATTTATAGTGGAATAGTTTAGGAACAAATGTAATTTGTTCTTCTTTTCCAATATCTCTTCTTCTGAAAACTAGAAAGAACCATTGGTGTGGGTGTAGGAATGGATGCGAGTGAATGACAGGAGTACGATCTCACCCACGCCTACACCATCACAAACAATAAAGCAGAAATGAAAAAAAAGGAAAAATAAGCTTTAGTAAAGGAAGTCGTTTTGTAATAGTTAACGAATTTAATATCATATTAATTGAACTCTAACTGACTGAGTACAGTTTCATATCTTGTCAATTTTTTTGAAATTCCTCTGTAAAATGCACACTAAAAAATTGATTAATAATTATCATTGTCGTAATTTCGTAAAAATTTTGATATTGCCGAAATTACGTTTGAGAAATTCCATAGAACCCTTCAAACTACATATATAAGCATATATATATACATGAAAATTTCATTTCTTTTTTGATAGGGATAAAGCAGCAAACCATATACAATTCATCATTCGATTATCATTCCACAAAGTATCTACACAAATATGGCTGTTAGAATAGTGTCTCCACTCGAAACGATTGAAAAGTTAGCTCAGACAAACAACGATATCATAGCACAACTAAACACAAACAATGATATGACACCACAACTAAATACAAACCATTATAGCATGGCACAATCAAACGAAAACAGCAGATCGACAATGAATTTAGTAACTTATCATATTACACATTCGAATGGAGCACTTTTTGTTCAGGAACAGAACACTCATAAATATTGCAATCAATTCCTTAATGACTGGCGAGGTAAAATTGATATTCAGGAAATTTCTGATGTATTCAATGATAAAATTAATTATTCGTGCACGAACTATCAAGATCTTCAAAGATTAAACAAAGACATGCTGATTGCCGTGAGAAAATATGAACTATTTGGTGGCAGTGATAGCGCACAACGAGAACTTAGTAAATTTCAGGAAAATTTCGTGAAAATTCAAGCAGCATTGCGCCAGCTCTCTGAGCTAATCACAACCGGTGGTAGTGGTCATTTAACTAGCATTCGAGAGCAATTAGATAAGATCAATAAGCAGCTGAAGTTATTATGGAATCAACATGGAAATATTGTATTTAACCAAGAAAATAGAAGGCGTTGAACAGCTTTCAACACAAACTTTTAAAAGAAAACGAGATTTTGCCGTTTTAACGCATCATTTTCTCTCTCTAACGCACCCAAACGTCTGATTTTGTACATGTAGCGCGCTGAAATTGACCATTTTTAGTTACTACGGGATTTTTCAAGTAAAAATGCTGTTTGAAAACAACTTTTGAAAGTGTTTTTTCATATACATTTATATTCTTTGATTTACTGTGTTTATCAGTGCTTTTTTTGTCAACGAGATTTTTCCTTGAAAACAGCTATTTCTTGGAAGCACTTTATGATACATTTTAATGTTTTTTTAGCGATACAAATTTTACGTAAACGTTTAGAGCTGTTTTTTCCTCCTGATAACTGCAATATCTAAATAAACTTGCTATTTCAAATTTTTTGTCCGCATTTCATCAAATGAAAATGAACTAAATGGGCCGTTAATTATCTACTGTATATCGAAAATCAGAATATTGAAATAGCTGAAATGAAAACACACCAAAAAAGTCATGATTAATATTGTACAGGGGTGTAGGCGTGGATGCCTTAAGCTATCATGATATCGGTATTTCATCTTACCAACTAGACTATTGATTGGTTCGCAAACATTTTGAACCAATACATATTTGAAGATGTGCCAATTGCCACAGTTATGCTTATTGCTTTTTGTGCTAATGTTGTTTGCAGCAATTCATCGGTTCCTTTGTTTCACATCTTTAATTTATACCCATGAAGTGCCATAGAATATCTCATGGATCATACTAAGTGTGTGTGCTATTCTATGAACAGTGATATAATAGTGTTTGTTTTGTGTGAGACTCCTATTTGAGGGTGTGAAAGTACGTAAATCAATTCAAAAACATATCAATCTATCGTCTAATGAAAAAGCTGTTAGCGCAATCCCTGTGGGATTATAATGTGAAACACGATGGAACTCCTTTGCGGAAACCTGTCTACCACGACCTGCAAGTCTTTGTAGCTTTTGCAACCTTTCGGTCGCGGTCTGTATTTTGATCTATGGAATCAGTAGAGACCATCACAGACTGTAACAGAGAATTCACAAACCATCACAGGCAGTTACAGAGATTTCAGAGACCACCACAGACCGTGACAGAGAAATTATTTAATTAATTTTCCTGTGCCGGTCTGTGGGGGGGGGGTGCGGATTTCTACTCTATATACTTCAACACTCCTTTCAGATCGTGTTTCATAAAAGACAAATCAATATGATACTCTCAACCTTAAGAGTATAGGTGCCAATGAAAAGAAAACTCACCCACACCCATACCCTTAAATTCGGTAGTATCTTGTTGAAAGCTTTCTTTTGGCCCGAATATGTTTAAACTTTTCGCTCAACAGGTAGCAACCTTCCATTGTCAGTAATTTGAAATAATAAAAATGCACAGCCACCTCCAATAGTGTATATAGTCACAGAGGAACTCCGTCGCCGACTATTGTCTCTTCATTCATTTGGTTTGCCGTCAATTCAATCTCGTTCCGTACATGTGTGATATCTACATGTTCTTCTCCGTAATTGGCTTGATAGATTTTCAAACATTGATTGAAATAAACAAGTGCTTGATCATAATTTTTGGTATGCCTGTACAATTGGCCGATAAATAATAAGGATGACGCAATATCAATATGATCAGATGTATAAAGTTTTGATTGTAGAGATAGAGCTCTTTGTCGAGTTTCCAGTGCATCATGAAACACATTATATTCATAGTATAACTGACTGATTACAATAAGACATTCAATTATTGGCTCTTGCTCTTGTGGTAAACATCGCTGGAATAGATACAAAGATTTTTGATACCAATGCAATGCTTGATTAAAATCTTTCTTGTGTCTAAATAAACATCCAATAGTTTTCATAGTATAACCATTTCTTGGATGATTCTCTGGCAGCTTTAAGTTTTGATCAGTCAACTTTTGGTTGCAAAAAGTCAGAGCAGTCGTATAATCAAGCTTCTTTACAAGACAGGTAACAATGCGATTGAAATCTATTGTCAAATCTTGATGGTCACTGTTTAAAATCTTTTCATCAATATCCCACGCATGATAATAATAATGAAGCGCGCGATCATAATCTCCTTGCTCTTCAAAAATAACACCGATATTTCCTGCGGCCCATGCAATATCAGGATGTTGACCAGGCAAAATCCGATGATACATATCGTATGCATTTAGCAAAAATGTTAATGCTAGTTGATATTCTTTTTTACTTCTATAGACATTTCCTATGTGTTCCATAGTGACAGCTATATTTTCGTGATCGTCGGAATTCACTGTTTGTTCAATTGTTAATGCATCTGTCAGATAATCCAATGCATGATCATAGTCCTTTTTTGCCTGATAAGTAAGGCCAATGTTGCGTAAAGATGATGCTATATGAGTATGATTTCGACAAAAACGCTTTTGTCGCAAATTATAAGCTGTCACATAATAATTCAAGGCTAAATTAAACTCTTTTTTCTGGCGAAATATATTACCAAGATTATGATAAACTGATGAAATATCTTCGTGATCATCTGGTAAGGTATTTAATAACTTTTGGAAATAGTTCTGAGCCTTTTCAGTTTGCCCCAACTCAAAAAATAGAAGACGACCAAACACTATAGTTGAACTGTAAGATTTACATTTCATTCTTTTTCAAGTTAACGAAATCTTCAACATTATTAAGATCATCATCTGTTACTTCCATTATCATTTTCCATAAATTTAATGCTTCATCATAGATAACAGATATAATTCTACATACTGTGCCCAGACCGAATAAAATTTCTTTTTCATGTTTCATTACACTTAATTTACTAATAGCAGCGAAGATTGCATTCTTTAATTTATAATCGACTACAATTTCGCATAAAATCGGATACCAGTTGTTACTATCTTGAATACCAGCAATAAATGCTAATGCAACATTGATATCTTCGGATGTCGACATGAAACTATTTATTGATATTCGCATACCAAGATTTTCTTTCATTCTTTTAAACTCATCTTTTGAAATTAATTGCCCACGATATACGATCAATTTATCCCAATTATTATTAATGCGAAATTGCTTATGATGTTCCAGTTCCAACTGAGAGTATAAGTCGATAATATAAAAACGGAATATATATAATAAGTCAATATCTTCTGTACGTAGTGCTTTATTTAACAGTTTATATAAAAAACATTCGGAAGTATACCATTCGATGGCTTTACTTGCCGTATAGGATGTACGAAACGTCTCGATTTTTTGTAATTCAACTTCATTGAAGCGATAGAATTCAGCGCATTTATCAAGCATTTCATTCTTAGACTGATCAGTGTGTGGCAAAATTTTCAGTATATCAATTAGTAAACGATACCATAAAATCGATGCCGAATCTCGTGTTGAATTTTGCTTGCTACTGTCAAACAAAGTGAATGACATCGTTTGATTTGACATCGACTGAATAGTGCCATGGATTGATTTTATCAACTGTTGTTGATCTGTACAAATTGCAACAACTTTTGGGTATTCACTGCACGCAGAAGTAAGCTGTAAACGATCATTACAGGTTAGAAAAATTGCACAAACAGTGTTTAATGAGTGGATGATAGGTAAAACTAGTTTATGTAGTGATGCACAAATAATAAGGATAATATTTTCATCAACAATTGTTTTTATATAGTCAATACATAAATGTGGATCTGTATACAGTAGCACGTAATTATTCATTTTATGCAGTAATCTTTGCGTTTGCACACTTTCATGCGAGTCATCAATATTTTCATCTAGCCAAATCAATGTTATATATTCTAAATTTTTTTCAATATCTGCTGGGCATCGATTACGTTCAGTAAATCTATTGTTTCCTAAGCGGAAAAGCAAAAAATAACATTTCCGATTTGTAACCTTCACACCAAAGAAGCACACTAGAGTCACTAATCATATTCTAGTCTTGCTACAACCCGTGTAAAAATTTTGATACAAAAAAGTTACTAATAAGTACTTTTATTATTTTTCCAGCAACTATGATAAGTAATTACATGCACCACTATTCATGCTGATTTTGCTCGATTTAAAAAATCTATCAATTATCAGAAGATCAGCATCGTTTGTCTTTAATGTAGCCAGTAGTTATTTTGTTAGTTCTAATTTTTAATAGGCTTCTGTAATTCCGAACTTTGATAGGGCCTCTCTTTGCCACTTCGCTGATAATACATATCAACATTCATCGAGTTCTCAACTAAATAAAGAGATTTCTGTAGACGGAAATACGACTCGTTTATCAAATTTCGAACAAATCAATTCATCTAAAGACATCCCCGATTGGGATACTAAAATACGCAATATTATGTCTAAAACTAATTGAATTAATTTCGTATATTCTTTGTTCGATTCGTACCAACTTTTCATTCATCCGCCATGAACATTTAAAACAAAATAATATGCATTCAAAAGGAAACATCAGCAAAAAAAAAGAATTTTCACATAGGCAATTCTCTTTGAGATAATAAACTACCATAGGATCAAACACATAGCTCTATGAACAACAGAAAATAATTTAAATTGTTCTTAAAAAAACATTCCTCGGTGAGTTATGTTTGAAATAGGATGAGATTTATTGCATCTAATATGGTACGATTTCGCTGATAAATCAGAACACCGTCGAAATTCCACATTTAAAAAAGTCTAAGAAGAATTTTGGATAAAAACAGAAGAATAAGTATATATATATGTACTATGAATAATAGGATGGAACAAAATTTTGCTGTAAGAGCAAAATTTTGACCTGGAAGAAGAGCTAACACTATATAACGAAGAGTATAAGCGTAGTATCATAGTTTAATGATTAAATAACATTTTTGTATTCTATCTGTGATGAATTCTGTCACGGCTGGAGATGTGGTGATTTATTGATTTTTTTCGACTTATCCTCCAGTCTATAAAGCTGTTAGAAGAACTTGTAAAATATCCTACGTGTTTTTGTGGGATAGTTCAGCATAGGATAGTTTTATTTTATTTATAACACGATATCCTTCAACAATCATTTTTCGCATTAGGGTTAAATATTACAATGTTTTCTAGCGATTTAGCCAAAAATTGTTATTCTTATTACAATTCTGTTTGCAATCCAGTTTAAAATTACCTTTGTATTTACTATGATTGATGTTCGAAGATCATACTCACTTGAAGAAATTACACAGAATGATTTTGCGATGTGGGACATTCTCAGGAGTCCAGCACTTATACCAATGATGATTGGATCGTTGTTCTTTTAATAACTGAAGTTAGATAAGACAATAATTATTGAGCAATCAAATGTTCAACATTATTCCGTGTAATTAATTAAAATACCTAGATCACATTATGTAATAGAGAACTCATAAGATATATATATTACAGTTGACATGAGAATTTAGTTGAGATTGGAATAATAGATTTAATTAAAGATAGGGAAAATAGACACAAAAGAGGGCGAAAAAAAGAACAGAAGAAAACAGTTTTGAAAATCAAAATGTAAATAAAATTATATGAGCGATATGGAAATTTTTTTCTACGAGTTAGATTTAGTTCACTATTTTCTAATTGATCATAATTTAGATTTCTTTTTTAAATTGGTGACCAAAACAAAAAAAAATTTATTTCTTATTTTTCATTTATCTCAACGCGCTCTCATCTCGCTTGTATGAGTCATACAGTAATTAATGTATCTTGCTGAACTGATACTTTAATATGGAAAGGAAAATAAAATACTTCGTTGATTATGACATTAATGTTACATCATTAAATAAATACTTATTTATCCGAGTTTTACACTTTAAAAATTTAGTAGAATCTATTAATATCTAACTATTTTGTCATCATTTCTTTATTAATTTAAGCTTTTATAATTGATAATCGTCACTATGAAACAGACAATGCTTAGACATAAATTACGAAGTTTCTTTTATATTAGCTTATTTATTTTTAACGAAGAACGATTGTAGCTAATAACACATCAAATGGAGTACTCATATAAGAAACTTCTTTATTAATTTCATGAAAAATTTTAAAAAAATTTACTTTCCTGTCATATCATTCGATATAAAAACTTTTTCCATTCCCATCCCACCTGCTCGAGGCCCGTACTTCGAAATACGATAGCGACACTCTCTTTCTGTCTTTTCTTCGAATGCAGAACGAAAGAGAAAAATCAATGTCCCTATGTCCCAATGTCCCGCGTATTAAAACAAAAATCTTTTCAGAATATTTCTCATTTCTCTCTCTTTAATCATGAAAGATTGACACAATCAATCTTGGAAACAAAAACGTGTTTTTTTAATCTACATAATCAATCAAACTATCTGATATCACTCACTAATAAAATTTTATTACTATGAATCACTCTCTCATAACATTTATAGAATAATGAACAATTCCAATCTCAACTAGATTCTAAACTCTACTGCCACATATATAAATTTGACTCTTTATACTATGTTAATCAAATATGAATTTGACTCTTTATACTATGCTAATCAAATATGAATTTGACTCTTGAGTCATCGATGATTTTACGTGCTTTAGTCTTACTATTACTTGTACAAAATGAAGAAAAATACCTTAGAATTCGGAACACTATTACTGCTTGTCTCGCACACCGTACACAAGTATGTATTCGTGATAAAAAGTGCTGATCGATTTGTAATTGCGTCGCAGGGGGTTTTACACAAGCACTGAGAGTATGCTATTTTGAGTCGCACAAACGAAGAAGAATGACGAAACCATCATTTAAGTGAGAGAAAGAACAGTTGCAAATATTGATTCTATTAGTATTACGTGATACTATATAGAAGCATCGATTATTGCGCATTTTGATTAAAAAAAATGGTAAGTTGGAAAAACAAACTTCTTTATTCTATAATTACGTGCAAATGTAATAAAGAAGAAATAAAAGTACCAAATTATTCACACTTCAGCATTGAAAAAAGAAATAAATCACTAATTATTGATATCTTAACGAACCACGCTCCATCTCAATCCAGGTGGCGTTATACTAGATGATATTATCTACTGTTCAATTTTCTAACTTTCAATTTATGAAAACTCTAATGAAAGCATTTTATCAGGAAAAAATACCTAATTCTGGCTGAATCTTTATCCAGTGGATGTTAGTATGTGTGCGGATCTTTTTCTTCTTTTTAGTCAGACCCGCACTCACAATCAAGGGGGGAAAGCACGAATTCATCTGTTTCAAAACGTTTTTCAAGTACGATAGAAGCACATGGAAGTACAAGGAAAAGTGTGGGTGTGGCGCGGATGTTACTCTTCTTCCCATACTCACACCCACACACCCCATATATAGGGTGTAGGTGTGAGTGTGAAATTAAATGGAATATGATTGCTGACACCCATATCCATTTCAGTAGAGGATTAGCGATGCTTACATCGCGTTGCTTGCTCGTATTTACAATAATTCGTTTAAGTCGAAACAAGAATGTATCGGATCCACCAGTATTGTTAGTATGTTTTTGTACACTACGGTAGTAGTCAAAATATTAGTGTATTACAGTAAATATGTAAATCGATTAATATCATTCTCAAAACTGAGTTATTTAGTTTATCTGATCCATTTGCGTGTTGCAACTGATCTTACTGGCAATGAACCGTTAAGAAAATTGATAAATTATCGTGCTGATCTAGCTTCACCTATTTATTTTCTATTTACATTGATTATATCAGAAGTAATTGCCTGATATTGATATTGCCTTTTCGAACAACCTCTTCTTAAACTTACAAACATAATCTTAATAACAACGAAGTAAAACGAATGACTATGTTTGATTCCATATAGCGACAGATTCAGAATTTAATGGATGCACGTGAAATGGGACGGTGTGCGCTCGTCTATGTTAATATCTTTTAACTTGTGTTCTTACGCATATTTTCTTGATTTTTATTTTTGCTCATGATTGATGTTCTAAAAAAGCCCTTATATCTTTTGACGATTGATCAGAAGTAATCGCACTATTGTCATTATAAAGATGAGTTTTATGTTCTAAATCAATTGAAAAACATATACCTAGAAGAACTGAGAAGCACGAATGCAAATACATTTTGAAGTTCAGAGAAAAGGTGTTCCTCCGAACCTAGAATTCGGTACTGTTTCTTTACCAATGCATGACACTATCGGGGCATGCTTGTACTCAATGAGTTGATGATTGGAGTATGTGCTTTGATGAGATTATCATTTGTAGTCATAATCGTCCAACCTACTCATTTTTGGTTTAAAACAATGCTGTATTACACCTACACAATCTGTCAACTGAATAACAGGGTTTGTACGTCCCATCTTAATACCTGACATTTTTGCAACACTGCGTCGAAACGCTGGTGAGACAATCAGATATGCGTAGAATGAAATACAAGAGTCTGCATAGGCCGTAATTTCTCCGATATAAAGCACCAATAGCTCTGCGCTCGTGTACGAAAACGGATCTCTATTGAAGAGCAGAACATAGAGGTTGAAGCCTGCACTTGGCACGACGGAGATGACAATAGAGATTATTTGAATCAAAATCATTCAAGCAACTTGATGAGCAATATTATTAGAGGTTTGACCTGTAGTTTGACGTTGCTGAGTCTGTTGAACATTGCGTCAAGTGAGATAGCCGAAAACAACTAACAGTGCACCTGCTGATACTATACCTATAATTGCATAAAAATAGAAAGAAAGGCGAGCAAATTTAGCATTGACAACGTCACACTGTTCAATGCTAGGTATTACGTCCCGAAATATACCAAAAGGAAGGCCCAAATTAATAGAGAGGAATGCAAAAATACAAAGTAGTAATAAAGCCCTCTCCAATGTCATCCATTGCCGTTTAACAGCTGAGGGACATGTTTGTAAGTAGCGATCAATTGCGGTCAAATATAAACATACAAGAGCAAATACACCGCCACCAGTATAGAGAACTGAACTTATTTTGCAAAGTAGAGATGGCATGACTCAAGGATCATGACCCGTTGCATAGCCAATTGATTGTAGAAAAAGAAGGCCAATAATAGTTAGTTGTTCAGCAAGAGATGCTCCAGTCAGAAATATTGAACTTGGAATGATGTGATACTTTTTCAAACAAATAAACGTAATGATATGGAGTACGTTACCTATCGTACCGATGCTAGCAGCAAAAAAAAACGATATAAATATTGATATATTGAATGATCACGAGAAGCTGTATGTCCGACATAATGAAAACACATTTTCGTCTGTCTTTGTTTTTTTAAAGATAGAAAATTTATTTATGCGATGCTACCTCTGCTTTTTATTGTCGAGAAGAAGATACTGCAGTGTGTGACATGCCCCATTTACATCCTAGAAAAAGTTTTCATTGGCATTACTTGACAGAATCATAGTCCATTCTAAACCGTTAGTGTCTGTTTTAATTCTTGTCAAGAAATACAAAAGAAGCATATCATGTTGATTGACTCAATGTTCACGCTCTTGTGCTCGGACATACTGTGTTAGTTGTCATTTTAACAATAATTATCAGTATTAAAATTTTGTGTATATTTCTTATAGAGATACGATAACGCATATTGCAAACGAGTTTCTGATTCTCCTTTCTACTTTCGAAGCAGACAAACATTTAGCGCACTTAAATGAAACATTTGTCTTGGCTCCTCATCAACTATGTTTGTAGATGTAAATGACTAGCTGTTGGTTGCTACGCTGCTGCCTAATAACATATCTAAATGTAAGCGTCATTCAGTGGTGTTTCAGTTTATCAAAAGATCTACAGATTATTGAAATTTCCAAATCCATATTTCCAAGTTGTCTACTGAAGGTAAAGCTAATCGAATTGTAAATGAAAAAAATTTAGCCAATTGTGGCTCAAAATATTTCTCGAAAGACCTTTGAATATTTTTACAAAGATCAGTGGTCTTAAATGAATAGATAATGTATTGTTAAACCATTTACGTTTCATTTTTTCTATGATTTACCAATTATCAGCAAGAAGCATGCGCAACTAATAATTACAGTTCCCTAATATTGAAACAAGATGAAAGACAATGACGGTATCAACCTAAAATGATGCCATGATATCCCACAGCGGAAGTACAGTGGTACTAGGTTAATAATCATGTTGCTTCCGTGCACAATTTGACAAGTATATAAATAAAGAATAAGGAGTTCAAAATCGGCTACGATTTTCCAAAGTAATGTCAAAAAATACTTATTCTGCAATATAAGCATATATATGATTTATTATGTACGATCTTCATTGCAGCCTGCGTCTTATCACAAATAGAAAATAGTTAATGACGCATTTTGTTCATTCTCAAAAAGAACTATTTTTAGCTGCGAAAAGAATCTGTTAGTGTAAGTCTTGAGGAATTAAAATATGAAGTACAATGTAACTGTTATTACCAGTCAAATAAATATGCCTTTGGACTCGTTATAATTCATCATTTCTGTCAACTCCTATTGAATTGCAACAAGAAAGCTACTCAGATTTTTATATAGTATAGCTGCATCTAATGATCCGTCGCGTAACTAAAGTTATAATATGATCTGTCATTTGTGATCAATGTTTTAATAAGGAAATATTGATTAGAAATTAATTAAATAATAATTGTTAAATCTGCTAGTTAATTTCTCACTCACAGCCTGTAAGTGGAGTACACATTGATATCCCATAGTATAGGTGAACTTAAGTCTACCAGGAAAAATATGTCATTCGTAAAACCCTTTAATGATTCTAGTTTCCAACGTTACACAAAGTAAAATTTTATAGTTTCCAGAGTAAAGTAGGGAACATGTTCAGGGTACTTTTTAGTTTTAGTTGACATCCGAATAACGACTTTTACAGTTTTCTGAACCAACTACAATAATCTTATTTAATCGAAAACATAACAGGTCATTTGATTCGTTTTCAATGAGAGAAATTCAATTTTTTGAGTTTGTTATTTATCGCTATAAATTATTATTCAGCTATTTATAATTCAATATATGTACACAATATATTAATATAATGTATCATTGTAAAAGTAAAATATAATAAAAATAATGTTGATGATATTGCGCAGGTTGATAATAATGATGAATGTTCCTGTTTGTTTTAGTGATGTTTCTCCTGCAAAGTTGTACTTACTCTATTTCTTTCCTCTTTCTTATGATGATTGTTAATATGGGTCTTACTGGGATGTCGTTTGTGTTTGTCACTATATCTAAAGCATTTTTATTGAAAATTAGTGTAAAATATCATACAGTGACGAAAAGTATCGATGCTGAATGTTACATTCAAAAACATCAAACAGAACTGAAAGACTATGTGGATTCTTGATAACAAAATTAAGGCGAAGCGGTGCGGGTAAATATTGACAGTCTATGCATCATCAAAAGCATTCTTTTTCATAGTTTTACGCCAGTATACCTTCTCGTTTAAATATTGTTCGTGATGACTGATAGGATAATATTAAAAGAGACAAGCAAATTTTCTGTCATCAAGTTAAGAGGAGCAGAAAACTAACACTTAAACAGCAACAATGGCCGAGCAATTAGAGAAAAAAGATTCCAATTTAAATACTCTTAGAGACAATGTAAATCAACTTGAATCTCAGTTTGAGAAATTACGTGAAGACGTTATTTCAAAATTAAAGGAATGCAGTGATTGCATTAAATCAGCTAAACAGTTATGCCACGAAGCAACAGAAACAACAACAATCTTAGAAAACAAATTAGTTAATGCATCGAATGAAGAAAAAGAATGGAAAGACATCAAAGTTAAGTTAGCAACAACATCAATTCAAGGTAAAGTCATTCTTGATGTCGGAGGTGAGAAATATACAACAAGCGTTGAAGTATTAACACGTGAAAAAGACACTTTTTTTACTGCTCTCTTCTCTAAACAATGGCAACTTGAAAGAGACCCTGATGATAAAAGTATATTCATCGATCGAAATGGGAAAATCTTTACTTATATTCTTGAATATTTTCGAACAAATACAGTGCCGACTAATGTTTTGAAAGATGAAACACTTATAACTAGTCTTATAATTGAAGTTGAATATTTCCGCTTGAAGAGTCTCCTAGATATTTTAATGGGTACACTTTTCCCAAATGGAACATTGCTTAAATTAGAACATAAGAAAAAATTGAATGACTTTTACGGTAAAACTAATCAACAATGGGAATTGATTTATAAAGCAACGCGTGATGGATTTGATGCAAATGCGTTTCATTCACACTGTACTGATAAAGGGCCGACAATAACAATTATTCAATCAAATAATAATTATCTCTTTGGAGGTTATACAGCTATTCCATGGACTTCCTCCGATCGTTCATATAAGAGTGATACAACAGCATTTCTATTCTCATTGACCAATCCTCACAGTATTCCACCGACAAAATGCCTCACCGATAGCAGTAAGGCAGTACACACAGTTCATCACGGCAGTGTCAAGGGTCCAACCTTTGGATATGGTCACGATATTTACTTAGCAAATGTTAGCAATGCAAACAATTCAAGTTACACTAATTTTCCTAATATATACCTCGATACAACTGGAAAGGGTAATAATACATTCACTGGAACTAAAACTTTTACCACATCTGACATTGAAGTTTTCAAATTAGCTTAAATTATCTTTCTCGTTGCTGATTTTTAACACTCATTCATGAATTCATGAGAAGAATTGACATATGATTATCTTGATTTTAAAACCTATTTAATCTAGAAAAGCTAGAATAAGCTGATAACAAATGAATATTGATCGTTCTATATAAATCAAAATCAAGTTTATGACATGAATAAAGAAAATATTTTGTTGGTCTTTTTTTTCAAAACTGATCACTCAAATCAGTTTTATCATGAAAGAATCTCACAGATTTCTTTACAAAGTCTTATACGCTACTAGAAATTCGTGAATGAATCACTATATGCTTCTCGATAGATTCATTAACTGAAAACAACAATTTGAGATTAGCTCGGAAATGTTAAATCCTTTGTTGAAAATAACAGATCTTAATTGGGTAGACAAGATCTACCGTGTGATTCAGAGTCTTATATTCTTCAGTGTGTCTGGTACGAGTTCGACGATGAGGGGGATATCGAGAAACTGAGGATTGTCATTTCAGCTGTTGCCCTTGGATATTGAGATTTTCTGTAAATAGTTATACGAGATTTAGTTAAGAAAAGGTCCTATTACAAATGAATTTAAATTCTATTTTATTTACGAAAATCAATTAGTAATAAAAATAAATCTTGACGAATTAACAGTTAAGCAAAAACGAGAAGCTAAATAATTTTCTTCGACGTATAGGGATGTCCTATTAACATCAATAGTTACAACCAAAGATGAAATCTTGATGTGTGAATATCAGTTTGACTATTTGGAAAACGATAAGATTCGATTTTTTTCAGATGAAATGTTGCCATGAATATCAAGATAGACGAGTTGTTTTGATTGTTGAAACAAGGACAAAAAGAATAATTATTACAGAAAATATTTTGTTCAATTTTATTATAAATCGTTCAAAAAACTCGAACAACCATATTTAATAAATACTTTCTTTAAATAAAATGCAAACGATTTGATCTAGTTCTTTGACTAAGAAAGATTCTAATTATTTTTCTAATGAGCTAAAACAATTCAAGGAGAAAATAAAGATTTTCTAAACATTATATTTTACTTTAAATATGAATAGGTATATACTAAAGAATAGAGCCATCTTTCTTTAATAAGGTTTTATCAGATATATTAACTTTATATTCAGTTATAACAAAACTAAAGAGGTAATAAAATTCTACTAAATGCTATTCCGAATTAAAATAAAATTTCTTTTTTATTAAATAAACTTGATTTTCAAGGAAAATTATCTGATCTCCAACGATGTAATGCTTGTAAATTAAGCATATACGTACTGAAAAAATAATTGCTTTTAATCAGATGAATATATTTTCTTATCAATGTTTGTCCTTTTAAACGAACTGACGAGTACGAGTATATAAACGCAAAGATGCTCTTATAACGGAATGAAAAATTGAAAATAAATTCATCCTCAGAATCTTGAGATGATGATAAGATAAAAATTTCGTTTTTTTACTTTGATGGAATTTCTAGAGAGACGGATTTAATAGGGAGAATTTTTCGGAGTTTGATCTCGTTGAACATTTTATTATTGATGTGGCTTCGACCGAAGAGTCTATCCTAAAACTTTTAGATTTTTTCCTCATATGGTTAGAGATATATTCACCGATTACTCCTTAATTAATAAATTTTAATTAGGTCGCATACAAGAGAGCAAACATTTTTGCATGTCTACGCAGAAAAAATCCGTCTGGTAAAAACTCAAAGTCAAATGAAAATGGGCGGGGGTTGTCCCATTTTGCCCTTGTATATTATCAAAAGCTTAAGTAATTCATTCCTAAGTCAAATTAAATTTTTATTATCTTATTAATATTTTTCTATTACTCAAAAAATAATCAACCAAATCTTATTCCTAGATTATTTCCATTCAAATATTTTTAAAAAATCTTATCGTAGAATTTAACGTAAACGTATCTTCAACCACAATAATCTTAACATAAAAAATAAATAAAATATTTGCATGTTCAATAACATATACCAAACATGGAAAGTTTTCAACAATAAGAGATTTCAGTGAAAGAGGCATTGAAATAAGATGAGGAAATATTTTTGCACCTGTTTCATCCCGATCTGTAAATGTAGCAGCAGTACGATCTAGGAAAATATATCTTGTTTAGATTTTATTTATAATATGATTTAACCTCATTATAAAAATAGAATCATTTTGAGAAGAAAGAAAATCTATATATACGAGCTGAACGATGATCACAATATCCAAATGGAATATGATTTTTTTTGTTCTAATTCGAATGATGTTTTCGATACGTCTGATTTCTCATCGTCCCATTCCTACAAAAAAATGACTCATTTTTAATAAGCATTATTTTATTTTTAATTAAAATAATAGTTGAATTTTGATATCGTTTTTTTAAATATTATAATTAAATGCAGATATAATATATATGTTGCCTTCGAACTTTTATGAAACTTCACTTTCATCAATAATCAGACATGAAAAATACAAAGATCACTATAATCATTTAGTTCGATTCGATATTCACAACTATAATATTTTTATGCTATAGGCTGTAACTGCAACGTCATCAAATCCTTTTCATTTGCTTATTGTACTCAAAGAGAAGTACAATAGTTCATTAAAATGATTGTAATAAAACTAATTATTTCTTATAAAACTACGTAGTCTCATAGAGAAAAGAATGCTTTATTTGTCTATGCTATTGGACCATACTTGAACTAATATCATTATAGTCAAATTTTGATGAGAATTGTTTTTTCTATCATATGGGGCGGCTATAGAAAAGTCTATTTAGTGAATAAATTTTGAATGGATCTTGATAGAAACCAGAGTAGATGAAGATGCATCGAATCGCACATTATTCGTTTTCCTAGAATGCTGTTTGAAGTTTCTTTAATCAATTATCTAGGTGTGGAACAATTGTTTAGAGTTTCCACTAGAATATCCGTAACTGCTGAATGACTGAATTCTAAGCATATGAACCTCGTGCAGTTTTGTAGGCCTTTCATTGTTGGCTTGAATACACATCTGGCAATTAAGAGTTCTGCGATATAGTAACATATATATTATATTATATGTGTTTGTTTTGTTTTCTGTTTTTTGAACTCCTTTGGAATGAGTCATCATATCTATATTCATATATAATATATATGTGTTCTCCTCTAAAGAAAACTGGATTAGTATTTATATTGGTTTCTTTCATCTTGTTTTTCTGTTTCTCAAGTCAATAAAATACATTATTGACCTTGACCGCTCCTATTTCTATTACGCAATTCGTGATACATGGCACGTTCACTGTCGACACGTCACTGCGTAGGCTTTTTTTTCCAAAGAGATCTAATGACAATCTTGAAAAAGTCATGTGAAAAAATCTATAATATACAACTTGGGGTGTGACTAGAGATTTTTTCTATGTGCATACCCACACCTACACTCTTACATGAGTTTTGTGTGCATTGTCATATTGTAAATTGCTTTCGTCACTCCATCTTTTGATTAATGCATCTTTTTCTTGTCGATTTAACTAGTGTATTTCATAAATTTATTTCTTTTTTAGACGCTTTTACATGTTTACCAACTCTGATAATTACTCCACCATTTTTGTTAGTACCTTTTTCGTGAAATAATTAGATTGAAATCAGGAATATTCCGCGTATGCGAATATTCACCGACTTCTGTGCAAATGGTAAATGATAGTTCATACTGATGTATGAGTTCTAATGCCTCTAATCCGCTTGATTTTTTTTATGGCAGCAGATCTTTGTACCGCCATCAATATGCTCTCTTATTTTGCTTCGGTTTCATTTTATCAAGTTAACAAGCATTACATTCTTCTTCTTGTATCTGCTCTATTTAATAACTTGATGCCGGCTCGATAAGGCGCAATACAAGGAATTATTAGTATCGATAAAAATATTCCAACACGCTCCATTGAAAGATACTGTTGATAAATTAGTTGCATTATTTAATATCACTTTCTTCACACCTCCTCCACTATAACTGAAATAGAAATCCTCATCAGAAGTGACAAAAATACTGTACGATCCACTATTAATTATGTTGTATATAATTGGGGGACTGTTTCCTTCAAGCCACACATTAATTATACTGTTTTGCCTGTTAGGCACGTAATCCGTATTGTTAATATTGACAAACATACCATAGGGTTTTTTACCGATCGTATTACTATCTGCAAAGGTAATTCCAATTGGATTCCACGTTGTATTTGAACAAAATTGCGGTCGATTAAAGGATATGGCTATAACGAAAAACGATATAAATATATTCACGTCAAATAAAATAGATAATTATAGATGGATATTTTTCTTGCGAATACAAATCGATTAAAATAAAACTCAATTTCTCTGTAGATTTTCATAACAAAAAATCTCTAACTTTATGTCTAAAATAGAATGACAAACGGAAATTTAGGAAAAGCTCGGCATGCATGTAGTTGATAACTTTTTAAGACTTGAATCTCCAACTATTCATGTATCAATAGACTCGAGAGTACAAAGATAATTTGCGCAGTATAGAAATGGCTTCGTCTTGTATTCCTCATTAGAATAAATCAAGGCTTAGAGTAATACTATAACTTAAAGAAAATCGTTACTCTGAGCTTACCGGTTATTCTACTGACATTTATCAGGAGAACCAACGAAAAATGTATGCGATGCATAAATACCATTTTGTTGGTAAAGTTTTTCAATAGTATCGCTGTACACTGAAACAGAAAACAAATACTTGATTCAAGGTTTTTCACGTATCTTGATTGAGACATCTAGTGAAATAACGAACAGATATTATTTTTCTCAAGTTTTCTTCACTTTTATTTGCTTTTTTCGGAGCTAGAAATTTTCGTCAATCGCGTACATTTTAGTTAAACAATTATGTGTTGAAGTAAATATGAAAGTATCATCGGCGTCAGATCAGTCAATAAAAAATACACCGCATCCCGGGTGCATGAATATATTGATCTGTAATTAATAAAAGAAACTCACGTTTAGAACTCTAATGTATTCTTTCTCTTTTTCATGGGGATCTGTTAATTCAACAAAATATTATTTTACCGAGAAAATTTCAACATGTTTTCGTAGTATAGAGAATAAAATATTCCATCGATTGAGAGAAAACATTTTTATACTCGTGAATCTTCTTCAAAATATTCGTCTAAATGGAAATGTTTTTAAAAAATTAAAATTGAATGAATTTGTATCTAAAGCTATTCGTTATATTATTGGCTTTTAGTATTTATCTTGAAATCATGCGTCATCATGTGAATTTATAAGTAATTTTCCGTATAAACTAACTGTTTTGATTGCTATGTTTTTCAGTGAAGATTTTTTTCTTGAAGTTAGTGAATTGCGCGTTTCTTGATAAAAAGACAGTAGATGAGAAAAAAACGATGAAAAATCAACATTACGATTATGAAATGACACGTTATGTTTAAGATTATTGATTCTAGAAATGTTTTTTCTTGTTTCATCTTAACGGTGTGTGTGTTTGATTAGTGAATTCACAATGAAGAAACACACGCTACGACTATTCAAAACTGTTGTTCTTTTTCAACACAATAATTCTGAATTACTATATATGCTGTTGATATGCACGTACGGGGAAAAATTTTGATTGTATCCTTTGAGGGTTCATGAAAAAAAAGAATGAAGACAAGTGTTGAATATTCTATAGTTTTCTTTTAGCAATGTATCGTGAGGCAGTTTCCTGAGACGACGTCAACAAAAGTCAAGAGGATAATTTTGGGCATTTTTCTCGATTGGGAAACTCTTGAAATTGAAAGACAGACAATGAGAGCCCTTTATCAAATCAAAAACTTGCTTTTGACTGAATGAAGAGCTTTTAAAAAAATACAAGACTCAAGTGTTGAAATGGATTGAGTTTGCTGACTGAATTCTCGCATGTGCCAGTTTTTTTTCATCACTTTCACTTTTTTTCTTTCTTCTTATTCCGTGCTCTCGTCGTTTTTCTTTTGCCCCTTCTGGGAAAGTGTTTTATTGCAGTCCACTGTTACATAGATAAAGCTTCGTGGCGATATTCCACGTGTAAGCGAGATGCTCATCATCATCATTAGCTTAGTAGTTTCGTTCGACCTAATTCTTCGTTTTAATAATTACATATATAGTTGAATGTCATTTCGAAATTAGCAGTGATATTTTATTTTCGTTTTATGCAATCAATATAAGTACATTCTTTATCTTTCTTTTAGAAAGATAAAATGAATAATAAAGAAGTTTTTTCCTATGAGAATCTAATCTTTAACTTTCAACAAGTAGCTCACATAACGAAAGTTGTGACAACAGGTAGAGGTAAAAGACATTGGCAAGTTGTATATATATATATTAGTTTATATGTCAATCTCTCCGGAAGATCATTCCAACCATCACAAACAACGTCATAAAGACTCGAAGCGGTTATAAAACGATAAATTGTTACATTATTTTCGCGGGGGGGGGGGGGGGGGGGGGGGGGGGGGGGGGGNTTTAGTTTCAATATCTGGTCATTTAGTATTGTGATTATGTCGCTTCATGGAGGCCAGCTTGTATTAACCTATCATAGAAATAAATCTTTATTTATTTTTTATTTTATAAAGATAATGTTTTTGTTGGCATCTATTCTTCTCATTAAAAATAAAAAATTAAGTAACATCCCAAAAGAATTCAGAAGAAACATAATCCTGGTAGCTACTGATTTAAAATATTATTGCATTATCTGGTATAAAATATGCATAAATCAATTCTAGATTCAGTCTTGCATAACTTCTAACTAATAAAACTGTTAACTACGCTCAAGTATCAACCAAAGCAATAATTCTTTAGGAATTTCAATTCAATCTAGGACATGGCTTCTTCAAAAGGATTTTCATCGTGAGAATGCTGTATGTTTGGATATAGGAGCAGGGTTCATTCTGAAGAATTATTTTTAGTTATTTAAAATTTTCTTTCGGTGTCGACTCGATTTAAATTTTGAAAAAGTTCGACTGTTTACATCTTTGTTACAGGCTTTATACAATGAAAAACTTGCTCAATAGAGAGGAACAATACTTTCAAAGTGTTTAGCTCATTTATTGAATTAAACTTATACTCAATGAATATGTTTTTGCGATTACAACGAGAATCAGCAATGCACTAATCAAGTGACATATCTTCGTTCTATTAAAAAGAAACAACTTTCTCATTCACCGTGCATTCACTCTTATGATTCCAAAGCAAAACCCAAGCTCGAAAATCTTACTCATTACATGAATTTTGATAAAAGAAATGACGCAACACCCTGTTGCGTTTATAGTAATGCTAGAGAAAGAAATGAACATCTCTGAGTCGCATTTTCCTTGATTAAATAAGGTTTCGATCTGCACGGTTGAGTACAAATTTATGAGATTAACATTATATAGAAGCCGAATTCGTATTGGTCAGCGTCACAATCAACAAAAAAAAGTGCATATTATTCATCTCTGATTCAACTATGATGATATGAGCCGATATTTTTCTGATTGTTTGTTGTTACTTTGGACTTCACTCAGGCTGTTTCTAGAAATGGAAAACAAGCGAACGAGATGATTTGAGACTTGACTTGAATAAAAGGCGGAAAATATGATAAACAAATAATCAAAACTCAGAAGTACTTTTCTGCTCAATGGAGTTGGAAAAATCTCACTTGCTCAGAAATAATGCATGGAGAACAAGTCGTTAATACGTCGGTCAAAGTGATGATTAAGATTTTTTTATCATTAATTACAAAATAAACGACGACAAATAAACTTTTATCTTCATTTGAAAATAATTAACATACAGTAAAAATTCAATTTCTGACATATCATTGATAAACACCTACATTAATTGCGTCGTTTTATTGTCATCTGCTTCACATATAAAAATATTACTAATCGTTTTATCTCATGGAGCAGGTGCTTCTCTTATTCAGTTCGAAGTTCGTGTCTTTAATATATAAAAGTCTGTCCACAATAACTTGATTATTTCATTTGTTACAAACGAACAAAATCTATGACAATGAAGTTCCATCTTCTTCAAGCAGTACTATTAATACTCATGATTTCGTATGCATGTCAGGTAAATTTTTATATCATCATGAAATACTTTTGGTGTTTGAAACATTCTTCTTTCAATATTATTAGGCTGTCGGTACAATCACATGCCATAGGCCAGGTCCTATGCGAAAATGTGCATATAGTACATGTGGCATAATCAGCTATGTCGGTTACGGCACGAGTTTTTCATGCAACTGTTACGTTTGGGGAAAAGATCCTGGTAGAAATGTAGAATGGTTTCGTGTGAATTTAGACAAGGGAGCTTACGGCTACATAAGCAGCAGTTATTGTTGGGCCGACGTCGAGCTGTGCAGATATGCTCTCGTCTGAAATTGAAACTCTAATAATACTACTTTTTAAATTGTATTTGTTTTTGAACATATGCATAATTATTTGAATAAATTGTGATTATTTATTTTAATACGTAGCTAGAGCTCTTTCGGGTTGTATGTTACTATTCGAAACTTGATATAGCTATCTTCGATCGGTTGCATTCGGTCACTAACACATCTAATCCATTCTGCAGATGAATAGACTTATTGAGTCAAAATGTTTTTTTGTAGAACAACGATTGAACACTGCTTCTCGACTATTAGGTAGAGGCGGCGCCAAGAATTCAGGCTAGGATGGGCTCGAACTACCTTAGTTTTGAAAAACGAAAAAAATGATTGGAAAATTTGTCGAAGTTTTGGATTAGTCAAAACTGTTTCTTATTCAATGCTATATAGTTCGCATGAATGTATAGAAGGCTTGGAGTAGTTTTCGATCGTGGTTGGCACCTCTTCCGCTTTTTCACTAAAAACAAACTTTCTTTTTTTATTGAATAATTCTGCCTACAAGGAACTAGATAAGATGCTACTCGATGAAAGTTTCTTAGAAAATAATTTTCTTGAATTCTAGTAAAATTTTCGCTTCGCACAATAGGTGTTCCAATAGATTTTTCCATTAAAACACTTTCGCTTCATTTCGGCTTCCAATATGAAATGCTATTGAATAACAGAAAGTTTCTTTCGAGTTCTTGTTCATCTGCTAATATAATAGATGAAAGCGAAATCATACTGGATTGCTGTATGTAAGAAATGATATTTTTCTCTTGGTTTTGTGAAAAGCAAGCGTTATTTTTGACAGTGTATGTTTTTCGGGCCAACCTTTTATCTTGTGTGCCAAAAAGGAATCATCTTTGGCGTGTATCTGAAAGGTAAAATATATAATTTCTCATATTGCTGTGAAAACTGGGTTATTGTTTTTTGATTCCACACTATTCGCATGAACTTTCAAAGTCCTGTGTCAAGAAGGTGCTGCCTTCAGTGGCATATTCACTTCGTAAACTCGTGAACTAATAGTTTCAACACCGTCATTTCAGTATTGCAGAAGGAATATTTTTGGGAAGATAAAAAAATTTTCGAAAAAGCAGCTTTCCGCTTTTCTGATCTGATGAGGTGGCAACCCTGTTTTCAATCATCACCCAACAGAAAATAAGCAAGAATCTTTATCTTTATCATAGCTAGCAGTCGTATGCTAGGGCATCACTTGTATAAAAAGATCACTGATTTTTTCAGAAACCTTAAAAAATTTGTGGGTGAGCTCAACACATTTTAGGGTGAGCTTAGTCCACCCCAGTCCACCCCTGGCGCCGCCACTACTATTCAGTACATAAATCTATCTATTAACAGCACACCAGGTATGATAGATGTCCATGGCGGCGCTGTCGCTATCGCTGCCGCCACAGCGTTCGTGACACGGTAGCGGTACCTTTTTCAAAATCTCATCACGGTAGCGGGGTGATCAGAGGCAAATTATTTTTTCAACGATCGCGGTGCAGCGCGGCAGCGGCAGCGGCAGATTTTCACCCGCGATGAGCATCTATGCCTGGTATACTCTTTTGTGCCACATATATTAGCAACTATTTGTATTGAATGGTGTCAATTACAGACATATTAATAGAAACAGAAAGCTGAAGAAAAAACAGATTCCTATGGAAAAAATACAAAGGAATAAACATCGTGTTATATTTATTTTCATTGACTCGCAAATAATAATAATTTTATTCTTTGCATTGTGGAATATAAAACTTTTGTTTAACAATAAAATATAATATTGAAAGGCACGTACGTGAAATGAATCCTAGATATAAGCCATCGCTCTAATCTAATGGCAATGCATAGACAAGATTGTGCATCAAAATCATGGTAGGTTTCTTGCATATAATATGCTTTTTGTGGGCAGCTATTGAATTGCAATCAATTTTATATGATACCGATTCTTTTCTATTTGACTGTTTACATTACCTACCATCTTACTCACAAATTCCCAACAAAATCAAGTATTGTATTCGTCCAGCGAATGATCAGAATTCCGCAATGATTGATTTCATAAATGTACCTCATCCAAATTTTACATTCCATGAACTATACCGTTTGAATGTCACTTCACATGAAGTTCTCTTATGGTCATCGTCGATTGATCTTGCTGAACGATATCAAGATTATATTGATCAACCAATGAAATCTAATCGAGTGAATGAACTATTATTCAATTGCACATCACCATGGTTTGGATCTTATTGCCAATATTCCTTCGAAATAGACTCGAACTATTCGGAAATAATGTCAAGTGTCCAACCGAAAGTTCATATAGTCGATGCTATTACTCATTGTACATGCTACGTTTTGTTAAAATGTGATCGTGGCGCTGAACCAATGTGTCTCGATTGGCGTGAAGTATGTGATGGTCGAATCGATTGTTTGAATGATGGTGTTGATGAAAGTCAATGTTTCCAATTAGAAATCAATGAATGCAACGAAAACGAATATAGATGTCATAATGGATTGTGTATTCCCAAAAAATTTTGGCAGGACGAATATAACGAGGCGGAATGTCTTGATAAATCTGATTTATTGTATACTGTTACGTGTCCGGATATCTATCTCGGACTTAATATGTTTATCTGTGAAGAATATGCATGTAGATCCGATGAAGGCCGATTTTCGTGTGGTGACGGTGAGTGTGTAGAAGATTTTAGTGAATGTCAGAATGGGCGGCATCTTCTGTTAATCGAATCACTTAGCGTTCAAGGAAATCTATCAGACAATTGCTGGATAGCTATGGTTTGTCTGAGTAAAATCGTGGATCACGTCAACGGAGTACCATGCAAACAGTTTCTCAATCTTTCTCAAATTCTTTCTAAATTAGAAAACTGTACATATCCTATTCAGTTTCCAATCATTCCTGTGCTCTTAGGTCATGTACGTTTTTTATATGCTCCGAACCAAACTTCTAATATCAACGTTGAAATAGCTCTCGTACCCGATTATGTTTGCTATGATGAAGAACTATGTGATTTTCTTACGCCTACTTTTCGGTATGGAAATTTGACATGTCGAAACGGTTATCAAATAGGTCTTGGATCAGGTGTCAACGTATACGATTGGAAATCAATCATTGATTTGATTAAACCTTATTTTCGTGGTTGCAGCACTCGACATGATTACAATATTGTATCGGCTCATTCGTCTCTATATGTTTGTAAGAATTCTTCGAAATATATTTCGAACCATCGACTTGTTGACGGTATACCGGATTGTGTTTTGAACGATGATGAAGAAGTATTGAAATTGCGTTGTTCGTTAAATCATCCGTATCGATTCCATTGCCTAAATGATTATCAGTGTCAATCGATTTCACTACTAAGAAATATTTGTCAGTCCGAACAACATAACAATTTCGATCAAATCTTATTTTACGAAATCTGCGATCGAGCCGCCGATTCGAGTCCGATGATAATCAATGGACGAAATCATTCGGATGAGACTGATTGTGGAAATTGGCCATGCAGCAATGTCTACACACGATGTGATGACTTTTGGAGTTGTACATACGGAGATGATGAAGAGAATTGTGCGCGACAGATTTGTAACAAAGGCTTTCTTCCCTGTATTTCAACAAATAATTCCAAATTGATCTGTTTGCCAGCCAATCTAGTTGGCAATGGAATTATTGATTGTTTTGGGGCATCCGATGAACTTCAATATTGTCGAGAGACCAGTGGCTTTGGACAAACTTATAGATTTTATTGTCAGAATGACACGAAATGTGTGAAACAATGGCAACTATGCGATGGTGTTAAAGATTGTCTATGGGGGGACGATGAAAACTTTTGTGAACATACTTCAACACAATGTGAAGTATCGAATTTCGATAATCTTAGTGATGTTGAATATGTTTTATGTCGAGTTGGTTCTAAAGGAAGGCCTTCATTTTCATTAAAAACCGCATCAATCTATCCTCCATTGGCACCAACGTTTTACACTGGTTCTACCAATGATGAATGGAATGAGCAATACATAAAGTCTTCAATTGATGATTCTGCATTCTCGGATATTTGTAAGTACGGTCTCCACATCTACCATCAGCTCGGGCCTGGCAATATAAGTGATTTATGTTTCTGTCCACCGATTTATTATGGTGATCGATGTCAATATCAAAATCAACGTGTCAGTTTGACTATCACAATGGGATTTGTTCAACACAATACAATCAACGGCATTGTTATTACATTAATTGAACAAGATAATGATCGACAAGAAATTCACTCATACCATCAGTTAACAAACCCACCGAAATATAGATGCGGTCAACCGTTCAATATTTATCTATTGTACTCCACTCGACCAAAGAATACTTCAAAAAACTATAGTGTTCGCATAGATGCATTTGATAAGGAATCATTGGTCTATTTAGCCAGTTGGTCATTAAAAATTTCATTTACATTTTTGCCAGTCAATCGACTGGCCTTCTTTTTGACTCTACCAGTTTATCGCACATTGCATTATAACAATTGTCCTTTGCGATGTTACAAAGGCACTTGTATGAAATTTCTGAATGAAGAACGATTTTTTTGCCGATGCTATTCTGGTTGGTCTGGTGCGCAATGTCAAATTCAGATCGATTGTAGTAATTGTTCGTCAAATTCAATCTGTGTTGGTTCTATTCGAAATCAGCCTATCTGTGTCTGTCCGACTGGCAAGTTTGGCACACGCTGCCTCCTCGAACAATCATGTCCAATAAACTTTTGTAAAAACAACGGTAAATGTGTGGTAGCCGATGATAGAATGGTTGATGAAAGCTTTGTGTGCATTTGTCCCGAAGCGTATTTCGGTACACACTGTGAAACGATCAAACGGACAATAGAAGTTTCTCTTCAAAATATCGAAGTTCCATCATATCTATATGCCTATATCTATCATGGCATAACTAGTAGTCAGCCGACGTCGAGATTTGTCGTACTTCAAAAAGTGAAGCTATTTCAGAATGTTATAACTCTCTATTCCATGTATCGATTTTATATAGTTGTTCTGAAGATTGATATCAGTTATTATTTGGCTGTTCTTCAACAAGAACCATCAGACAACATATCGACAACGGTCGGTTCTGCTCAACGGTGTGCTCCGTTTCAAGAACTGTTCAATTCTGAAGTACTTGCATTACCACGAATTCACCGATTAAAAAGTTATCATATTCCATGTCAAAGCAATGTCGATTTACAATGTTTTATCGATGAATCTTACATCTGTCTATGTACTGTGGAACATCAAACTAACTGTTTTTTATTTGATTTTAATAGTAGTTTGGTGTGTACAGACGATGTTTATTGTGAAAATGGTGGAGCATGTTTGCAAGATAGACCGGAATGCCCGGAAAGTATTCTATGTGCATGTGTCGATTGCTTCTTTGGTGATCGATGTCAATTTTATGCCAAAGGTATCGGATTGACCTTAGATGATATGTTGCGTTATGCAATTCGACCTAATATAACCTTCAATAAACAATCAACAGCCATTAAATTGAGTGCAGCTCTCACCATGGTCATATTTGTAGTTGGCTGGCTGAATAGTATTTTTGCGTTTTCAGTATTTCATCGTCACACCCCACGCCAAGTTGGCTCGGGAATATATCTACATGTATTATCGGTTGTTTCATGTCTTGTAGTTACTTTGTTGACAATGAAACTTTGGTTCGTAGTATTTACTCATATTGATCAATCAACTAACCGTCGTATTCTTTATGGTGGATGTGTATTCTTGGAGATAGTTCTCAAAGTTTCCTTGCATATGAGTAATTGGCTCAATGCTTTTGTAGCCTTAGAGAGAATGGTAACAGTTGTTAAAGGAGTTAATTTTAATAAGAAACGAAGCAAATCTATTGCACGATGGGCAGTTCGACTTTTGCCATTCGTCATTCTTAGTACATTGAGTCACGAGTTCATCTATCGTGGATTGTTCGATGATTACGAAGAACAACGTATTTGGTGTGTATTTCGTTATTCTCAATCGATTGAAAAATATAGTACAGCAATTCAACTTTTTCATTTTATTGTTCCATTTTTCATTAATTTATTCTCTGCAATTTTTATTATATTCAATATTGCACGTCACCGATCAATAACTCGAATTCAACATACTTATGAACAACAACTTCTTCAACAATTCAATGAACATAAACAACTTGTTGTCAGTCCCATTGTGTTAGTCATTCTATCATTACCTCGACTTTTAATTTCATTATTCTCGGGATGCGTGAAAATATCTCGTAGTCCTTGGCTGTATTTGTTAGGCTATTTCATTTCGTTTATTCCATCGAGTTTTATCTTCGTCATATTTGTTGTTCCATCAACGTTATACAAGAAACAATTTCAAGAGTCAGTTAATGGTTGGCGACGATTTATTACTCGTGAATCTACTATTTAGTCATTATCTTATTTTGATGTACACATCACGTATTTTTTGCCTTTCATTGTAACTTGAATAAATAGCTTCATCGATCTGTTGTTCTATTATTTACTTTTAATATTTATTAGTAAATTACAAAGATTATTGTCGTCAGTTATGAAGGGTTTGGCATTGCCTAGTGGGAATTGTAAAGCTTAACGAACGGATGAACTTGAATTCATCCTGTTTTTCGAATGTTTTACAGAGGCATCTATTTAAATACGACTCCTTTGCACGCTATCAAATGGACTAAATGAGAATAAATAGCTATTCTACGTAAAATATATTTAAAAAAAAGTAAAATAGTCTTTATAAATGCTTGTATATCTTCGAAAAGCGTTTATTCATGTTTATTACATGCACGCATATATATCATCTTGCCCATGCGTTACGTTGTAATATATTTTGGCACATGTTTTTTCATAATCTCAGAAACTATGAGAGTTAGAAAGTTCGTTCAAACGTCATTTGATGCAACTTGCTGTGGCATGTTTATGCCATAAAAATAGGCATCGTTGAATAAAGCCTCGATCTTATACACGTAGAGAGAGTTTTTTGTTGTATAACGCTGTGATATAAGAAAAGACCCTTTTCTGCAGGGCCACTAATAAAATGCAATTTCTTGTGAAACTATTTCTCCAAATAAAACACTTCTAGAGCTAATTTTGTAACGCTTTGACTGGGATTTTAAACTAAAAGCGTAACCAGAAAAAATGGTAGAAGGGGAGGGAGAGCTTCCTAATACCTCCTTCCTCTCCTTATGCCTCTAACACTCACATCCGCTTAGTAGTTTAGAAAATATTTAGAAGCTGAACTTCAGGGCAAGATATGGAGACACATAGTTTGCTATTAAATAAGACAGAAATAAACTGTAACAGTCAATTTGACGACTAGTACTTAGTGTATGAGTTTCTAAAAGTTGAATATAAAAATAAATTTTCTTACACTTTTGACTGTGCTCTACAACGTAGAATAAATTCTTGCTTCGGATTCTGAAATAAATACTTAATGTCTGTAGTAGCGTTTACGTGAACTAGTCGAAGCGGCGAGTGTAGGTATGAATTGTAACGATATTTACCGTTACGGCTCACTTTATGTACTTTATCCTCTTCGCTGTATCCTATGTCTGTGCATTGACCCGATGAACTCTCATTGTTCTATTGCGTGACCGTTCCCTCTTTGCCTATATCCGCCCAAGTGTGATCGCTCTGGCGTATATAAGGGAATGTAACTAAAGGAAATGCACGACTAGAGATGTGCAGATGACACTATACACCATCATGCCGACGGGCATAGGCGACACTCTCTATGTTCGTCACATGAATGTCAGTGAAAATATGACATTCTTTTCGTGAAACACACCCACAACCCTATTAAAATTGTCAATTTTATAATGGACCCAACATTTCAAATTATTTGATTATACTTAAACTTAATTTTATTCACGCTTTCAAATGAGAACTAACCGAACGATCACTACCGAGTATTTTCAATTATGCTTTGTCAGTCGTCCATTGCCCAATGCTCTTCTAATAGTGCGTTATATATTCGCTCAAGCTGAAGCCGATAGAGCCGCTGTTGTTCATAAAGGTACGCCATACCATTATTTCCCTCACTTCTGTTCCTGCTTGACTCTCGAGTACAGTAGCTGATATTTTCATTATTTACTCTGTTTAAAAAATCACGCAGGTCCCAATAAAATTCAGTTGTCAATGAGTCACACCCAATTAATCGTGGTCCATATCTCTCCGTCCATGCTTTGTGCAAGTTTTCACCATTCGGAAAGAACAAAAAGTAAAACAAAACCACTGCATTTGGATGGAGATGTAACTGAAGAAAGTTCTCAGCACTAGTTTGATTCAGATGGTCAAGTATGGCTGTTGTCGGGAATTTGCGGTTGGGCATTTGAACCAAAGCCTGGAAATCAGCCAGATGTCTGACTATACTCGTAGTACGCTCATATGGACGTATATTTGTTTGAGGGTCGATAACACTCCCATTAGGATCGAAAATCAACGCTCGTGGTTCATTTTCAAACAGACCCACAGGACTCGTGGTGACACTAAGTGGTTGCATCTTCAATATAAAAAGTTGTCTGACATCTAGTTGAATTCCGCAGAAGATGCACACATCCTTCGAAGAAAAAAATCCTTTGACTTTATCGAATCTGTTTCTTATATTGCCATGGCTATAAAATATTTTACATAGATCTTCGTAAAAAAAGGCGAGGAAATTTTGTCCTCCATTTATTAGGGAAATCTTTTCGTAAATTTTCTGAAGTGAAATGAATCTCATTAGAAGAAGAACAAAGTGGATTAACATAGCTACCTCACTAGTTAAAGAGGCGAGTGAGGCTGTTCTATTCACGTAAAAAATCGACAAATATTAATGCAATATGATCTAAAATTAAACTCAAATTAAAAATAAGTAATGAAAGTCGATTTGAATGCTGGGGTAGTCCTTGTTTTATGCTCGTACAAAAATTTGCTAGAGCTCAATCGGATTTCCTTTTGAAGATTTAACACTGGAAAACATTTTCACAATAGCATTGATCTTTCATGAATCAAAAACGTAAAAATACCTTCATTTAATCATCACTCTTATATGGTACATGTGAACCAAGGAAAATACTGAAATTTAAAATTAAGAGTTAAAAAAAGAGAAAAAACCGTTTTCGATAAAATAATTAAGAGAGTTCGCATGAGGTGTCCATTGCCTTATTGATATTCGTATTTGATTGCATCAAGAGAGTCTTATACTGTTCTAATGCTTTTGCTGAGCCTTTCTCGAGTATTTCGTAACATTGTGTTGATTTTGCCAGTAAATCCTTTGCTTTCACAGCACCGGGTTCTTGTTTTCGGACACGCAGTGCCTCTTATTGATAATACTGAGCCAATTCATGGTACAGTTCGTTAATGAGATCCTCGGTTGTATCAATTTCAATCACTCCTTCAGAAAGTGGAAACTGAAATCCAACGAGTTTATCTGCCGGTCGAAGCCAATAGTATCGCATGAATCCACGCCGTCGAAGCAAGTGGACACATGGAGGTTTCTATGAAACGATTAAGAACGGTTGGTCAGACTCCAATCTATCTACGCTGTCTTTGAGTTCGTTAGTATTGAGACAAATGTTGATTTCAATAATATGATTAATACCATCCATGAAAGATGATAGGTCCACATTGTCGCTGAATAGAACTGGATTACTGCTCGCAAGGGACTGATTTGACGACAACTGAAAAGTTCCTAGAAAGTATGCAAGAATGTGATCAAGCTACATATTTCTCTTTTATTAGGTTTTCTATGAAGATTTTCAAGACAACCAATGCCATCTAATGAAGGGTTGATTTATGAGAACGGAATTTATTGAACAGTAAAAAGCAAGGATTCATAGATATGCGTTCATGTAGGACTCAGAAATGAGAAAGTACTCGTTGTACTCTCTTCATTTTGGAGTGACCCACTATGCATAATCCAAAGCGCGATGAAAATAAATCATACTCTTGCTTAACGTAAGCTTCAGTGAAGGTTCACGCCTCCAGTGAAGCGACCTAGAGTCCAAAAAGAAAACTTTGTCTACGTAATGTTCGAAGCCCTATAGTTGCTAGAATATGACGTTGACACAAGGTGTGACATTTGTGAAATCTCACTCCATGAGCCGGCTCACGGATGGTAAACAATGGAATTTGAATATCAAAAATTTAAGATACCTGTTCACATTTCTGAAGATCTTGTTTTAATGCAGTACTGACTAACGAGTATCCTAGAACAAATGAATAATTTTATTTCCACACTCATCCCTTTCTTCACACCTATGACTTTTGGTATCTTTTAATGCTTACTAAAAGAAAGAGTCTACACTTGAACCCATATTCTCGTCATGAATTATTGTAATCTTGTCTATGTGCAGTTATGAAATAATTTCCATTACTCCTTTTCGTATGTTCAGAGAAAGCAATTTATTTTGTCTAAATTTGAGAGATGTAATCGATCACTCACTTAATTGGCCACCGTCACCATGATCGTGGTGTTCTTTATCATTTTCAATATATTCGGGATCGTTCTCCATCATCGCTTCTGTTTCTTCGATCAACCTGTTTGTGTTTCGAATCGCTTCAGTATATATGATTACTTTTGTCCCAAGAATCGTCTCCTTTCGGCCTTTCGGTCTATATAGCTGTATTATGTCGTATTCACAGAGAAGCTTTTTAGCCCATTCAAAACGCTGCAGTGCATTTTTCGGATTCTTGTTGATTAGATCTAGTCTACCTTGAATCAAGAAATACTTGGCAATATCACTGAAGAGGCGTCTCAAGAGGTCAGCGTGGCAGTCGAATAAGTGGATATAAATGACAAAGTTTATAGCCCAATTCAAATGCGAGTGCATTTTATGACAGTGCATGTAGATGTGGCTGTACGATGCATGGGTCATTGGATCGGTAAACTGTTTTTGATATCTAGTAAGAATTATCGGAAGAAAAGTCCGACCCATCTTGGCAGAGGTGACAAAACAGATGCTTTTTTTTTATACCGTTCGAACGCTTCAAGGCAATCATTTTCATCGTTGAATACTCTTAGTAGACAGGGCACGTCTTTGAGTAGAACAGGAGTGGCTGTATCCGTCACTATTAGATTATCGAAGTCTTTGTTGGTCGGCATGGCGAACAGAGCTTGGTCTGGATCGGTGTTAGTGCTAAAAACTTTCTTCAAGTGTTCGTATTCACTAGGCTTGGCGATTTTTGTGTCGAGCCATATGATAATAGGCTTTGGCGTTGGAGAGTCATTGTAATCCACAGGTGTTGAATGACCTGTAGTCATAATCATCTAGAAAGGTATTTGAATTTAATACTCATGTCGAAACATGGTGAGGTTGTATAAATATGTGGGCGCTTAATACTTCCCCATACTTTGCGCACTACATAGTTCTGTATTATGAACGTATAAATCCGTGACCCTAAACTGTTTGCATGAACGAAGGCAGTAAGCCAACGCTTTGTACTCTGTATACGGCACCGAGATTTAGGCTTGTAGTAAGAAGCCATGTCATTGGTCGTATTTCTATGTGTATGGTCTTTGGCGACTGTGCCTGCTTGGTCTGGTAATGATTATTAGTATACTATTTGCAAGGGTGGCGCGATCGTTTGAAATTTAGGGGGGAGGGGTATAAATCTTTGTTTCGAGTTAGTGGTGTGTGGCTGTGAATGTGAAGTATGTGGATGTCGATTATAACAAGAGCTCACCTGATCCCACATACACACCCAAAAATTCCTAAGCGTTGTCTCTTCTTTTTTAAACCATAAATATGTTGGAGTTGGCAGTTTTTAGATTCATGTGATGACAACCATAGCTCGCTTGATGTTTGTGTTCCGCAGTTATTCAACTTCTGGCAAAACATTCTGTCTTAAAAAGTACATTTATTGCATTTCAACAACAACTATCTGCTATTCTGTCTAAAGTAAGATTTGAGACTGTTAACCGTGATTCACCGTCTGCGTGCCCTTACTCTTCTTCTATTCTATATGGATATATATATATATATATATATGTATTTAAGGACTTTTTAAGATATGATAAAATAAAACTAAGTTAAGCTCGTCGAACAAACTCACAGAGAGAAAGAGAAAAAAATAAAAATGATAAGAACATTGATATTCATCATGTTATACTACGAAATTTATTTTCATTGACACTACGCTTTAATGTATGTTTCATAAAGCAAAATGAGCAAGAAAACGTCAATATTTGAACCTAAAAGTCTGTGCTACTTCGTCTACAATGTATTTATCTGTGATATATTGATTATTTATATTATCTCTTTTCAATTAGTTGTATTAAACCAAAATAAAAAAGAACCTTCTGAAAAAAAATAAAATCATCGTTACTTTTTTAAATATTTGTTGATAATACTAAGACGCATGGGATAATATAAGTAATATAATTTTATCAAAAGCATAGATGCGCAAGTACGGGTACAACTTGTACTGGGGAATTTACATAGAGACTGACGGCTCTGCTAGTGACACAGAGGATACACTTGTACTCGTAAGTACTTGGATGTATTCGGTTGTACTACCCCCTCTTCCCCCCAAAAACCTAGAATTCTAGAATTCATGTACTCGCATGTGTTCGAATCTATTCGGTTATGTTCGGTTGTACCATGCCCTCACCCCGAAAACACCTGGAATTCTAGAATTCTAGGTTTTTTTTGGGGGGGGGGAGGGAGTAGTACAACAGAATATATGCGAATACAGGTGTATCCTCCGCGTCACTAGCAGGGCTGTCAGTCTCTATGTAAATTCCCCAGTACAACTTGTACCCGTACTTGCGCAGCTATGCTTAGCAAATAGAATGGTTATATTTGAGTTCCACATTTTAGCTAGAGATGGGTTGCGCTAACAAATTTTGCCAATTGATAAACAGGCAACATATCTTAACTTCATTTTTTAAAACACGCACTGTTTCAAAACGAAGCACATAGATATATCGACAGGACTTCAAACATTTGACGGCTGTCAATTCATCTGGAACATCCAATACAATGCAGTCCAATTCTGAATTTTCTATAACTTGACTAGAATTCATATCTAAGGCAGAATTTGGGTTGCAATAGAATAGTAAGTATCTCAGTTATGAGTTTTGGATCATTTTCAATAGATACAACATCTAATCCATCTAATGAGACCCTTCATAAAAGTTGAAACGGTTGATGGGACTCTTGGCACACCCACACTCACATTCAAAAAAACATATAAAGAGCTTTGGAAGAGTCTCAATTAACACTAACAAAAAAAACTCATTTAATCAAAAAAAACTAGACAAAACAAAATGTTATATCGGTAGAGATATGTCCTGGCATACGAAGGCCCTCTTTATCTCTCTATAATATTAAAGAGGAGGAATCGAGTTGAGAAAGAGAAAGCAAGGAAAGATAATTAATGTTTAATTGCTATTTTTTGAGAAAGGAAGAAGGCATCAAAAAATAAAAAAGACAGACAAGGAGAAAGGGTTGTTAACACAAACTATATTTAATCAATTTTTTTTAGTATTCATTTTTTGCTTTTCTATTTTCGTTTTATCCATGTTGTTAATTCACCTATTTATTTAGCCCTCATATATATCTGGCAAGAGAAAACGAAAATCTTTTCTTTGCGTTTCGTGCACGTGTTTGCTGTGCACAACTTAGATATTAGACGCATTACATTGTACGTTTGCTGCTAGTGAATCGTTTTGTTCTATGCAAATATTGAGTAGTTTTTTCGGGGAGGTAAATGAAAGAAAAAGGAAAATATTTGTCTTTTTAGCACATATGACGGTGTGCATTGCATCTCTAGAAAATAAACCATTTTACATGTCATTGGGATAAACCCTGTTAAAAATTTCCAAGCTCATCAGTCAAAAACATTACCCAATAAAAAATTGAAGGAATAAAAAAATTCTGACATCGTTGTCTGTTTGCTCGACTACTGGAAAAAATATTTACGTGTATTTGGTCGAAAATGATTCATACGATCATATCTTATTATATTTGCGTTTGCATTTGTATATAAAGAAAAATATAAGGAGGAAAGTAAGTCGTAACAGAGAAAATTGTGGTTTCAGTTCTCCTTATTGATTTCTCAGGCAACTCGTTTGGATTTGTTGTTTTCTTTTCATATAGATTTTTATTTGACACTATGGCCCAGTCCAATAAATACAACGTTGATGGCATTGGTACTCAGAATTATCACTATGATAAAACGCAGACTTTAGGTAGAACCACAGTTCCTACATCGGGGGAGTCTACATTTTCTCCATGCAAAATTTCTTTGTATGTTCTGCGCCGATCTGATTTGAACGCTAGCTGGAAAATCCAAGCTCTTTTTGCGGATGATTTAAAATACATGTTCGATATTACTGAAACTCTTGCTCGTTCAGAGGTAAGTTCACTTAATTTACTTAATGTGGAATGCATAACCTCGATCTGACACCTACCATCATCCCTGGAGTGTGGTTGCGGGTCGTGACTTTATAAAACATCCGCCTACACCTACTATTCCCGTTTACTGCTAGCATATCACGAAAAATATGCACCAATTACTTGATAGCGATTATTGTGTGTCTGTGACATGGATTGCTGCGTAGTGTGGTTATGATTGTGTGTCTTCGCTTGTTTCATGCTCAATCCATTAACCAACAATAAGATCCTCTATCGACTTGAGCACGAAGTGCAAAGAAATGAAGTCCGAAGAACACTTGACACAAAAATGATTGCATCAACCCCTACGACAAAGCGAAAGAGATTTTACAGGATAAGATCGAATCTTAGTTCGCTAGTCTGCTATAGTTATTGTTCAGGTTCATCATATCTTGTTAGCTCATAATAAATAAAACAGTTATATGGCACCACTTGCAAAAGTCTGCCCCCTTCCATTTTTAATCGTCTTTGAAACTCAAAGACGCAAAACTCAGATGTCTGTAGTGAAAGGCAGTAAAAAGACAGCAGGAATCTATTAGCAATATCATATTGCGTCTGTATAATCTAAATGTAAAGAAATCAGAACCAAGCACGTGAAATTTGATAAAATACAATCATCTAATATTGACATATTGCAAAAAAATTTGCTAATGCGGCCCATTTCAGGTGAAAGTGCGGAATTCGTCAACATCACTTATATCTACTAAACTAATGCAAAATAGACCAAGTGAAAATCTATCTCAATTTTCAAAATCTATAATTAGCATATTAACTATTCGCTTATATCTTTAATGTAGGGTTACTTGTTAGCTAGTATCTCCGAAGATGGCAGAGACTTGTAGATAATGCCAGTATTGGTAGCTCTCTGGATTATTAGTGCATGTGATATGTAGGTGTAGGCCTTGCTTTTTTCTTAGTCTGTAATGACGACTAGAAGAAGAAATAATAGCCTCACACCCATTTTCTTCGAAAATAGATGTGAATTCATAGAAGTTCTACAACCATACCCATATTATCACCCTCTCTAAAAGACTTCGTCCTAAGGGATAAGAACAACTTTTATTTAGATAGTAGCATCGAAAAATGAAGAGAGTCCATGCCTATATCAACTTCAAATGAACGCACAATTTTATGACACGGGAGAAATTGATATCGTTCATGAAAATAGTTTTCATAAAGTTGGAGATTATCAACTTCGCATTTCGCAGCCACGGACAATGGCTCCTACTTCTCATTATGAACATACTGTGCCTTGTCGGCTTATAGCAGACCCAATAATGACTGACCAATTTCTGTTTGATGTTCACTTTAATAAAAGTTATTTTGGACTAACACCCCCTGGTATGAAGATATTACGTGTATTTATATAATTAAAGTAGATAATCATTTTAGGCGTTGATATACCATTTTGGGATCATTTATGCATTTTTTCATACTTTTTTATCAAAATGAAATCGTACGATAAGGTCGACTCATTTCTAAAACAGTTTTCCATCGCCGTACTAGAACGAAGTCGAAGATTTTCAAATGAAAATTTGAATTTATTCTTTCAAACTTGCCGTAAATACTACAATACAATCGAACAAAAAGTTAAACAAGATCTACTAGCACTTAAAACTCTCATTCGTGTCATGCGCGTTGTACCCATTAATCAAGAAAATATGATTGTTAGAAGTGAAGCAGCTGTGTTCTTCGCATCAACCGTTCTTAAAACTTTATCAGAAAAATGTCAGGCTCTCTGGTCAACGCTCATCGACACAGAGTGGTCATCATTTCGTGAAGGTCTAGTAATACTATGTTGTATAAAAGCATTCTGGCATCACGATTCTGAAGAGGATCGAAATGAACCTTTTAATTTACTTTCAATGATACCCGACCAGGAACAACGACAAGAAATAACAGCGACGTTACTTAGTTTACTCAGTGACCTACGATGGATTCCGAGAAGAAATCAGGAAACAGCTCTTTATACATTAGTTGGGCACGATCATCTTACATTAGAACATCTCGAAGTGGCAGCTTCACTCGAGACATATATTAGTTATCTGACTCAAATTGTAACAACTCATCCAAAAAATGACAATGAATTGCACGAAAGGATTCATCTGCAACTTAATAAATTACTGACACAAAATCGTTTTCCACGTAAGAAATACAACAAAAATGAACTAACACTCTATTGTTTTATTTTTAGTCGAACTTGCAGATATTGCATTCGTTTTAAATTATATGAAAACTCAAACGACTGAAGTTCATGATGATATTACCGAAGTTGCAATGAAAAGAGTCAAAACTGTGTTTGAAAAAAATGATTTACTGTGGGACACGGTGATCAGGATTTTGAATGAAAAGAATAACCGTATTACGCCAAAAGAATTTCCATTCATTCAAAATATTATCTTTGATTCTTACAATCCATATTTTTTGCATGGTATTAATGTTCAAGAATATCTTAAGCGTATGCTCAGCCGTCGAGATGATCGAACAGTAGATTATTTTATTGAATGGTTTCGATATTTTCTTTGTGGTTCTGTTCCAGATTGGCTTGACTTTCAAAATCTACTTAATGACTGGACGGAATGCTTTGTTTCACAAAAAGATTTGTTCTCAAAAATCATTGAAAAAATAGACGTTCTCGTCAATTTGTGGATAAAGGCTGCCCCACAAAATATTCAACGTGCAGTATTTTTTCTGAAACATATGGTAGCTCAATGTTTTCGGCAGGGTAAGCATGATTGCTAAATTACTATGAGTTGTCTGAATATGCAGAATTCATTGAACTATCCACGATGAATCCATATATCTAAACTAGTTTCCACGTCCCATTGAGCAAATAAATCATTATAGAGACGAATTATAAATGACTGACAAAATCATGAAGTAGTGGTTTTGATCCGAAGATTAATGCTAATATTTAGATATAGTACTTAGTGTTACTCAATTCAATACAGTCGTATTTTATCTGACTTTGAGAATGTACCAATTTTGAATACATATCTAATTCAAGTGCAAATATGCACAAGAATTAGTGTATTGCTGTTTAGCATGAAGCTGAATAGTACAACTAAGCATGTACCGCGTCCCATTAGTTCGGACTCGTCGAGTCTCTGTAACAGTTCTCCCTAGTTTGATCTTGGATTCCCCCTCTCTCAAGGAAAGTTATTAAGTGTTGTTTGCACTAGTATAATATATTGAAGTATCGGTCTATACGGCAAACTTAACTCTTGGTCTGTATTTGACTTAGATTGTATTAATCTGAGCCCTTAAAAATATCATAGTGACATTATTGGATAGCAGAAAGAATCTAAACTTTAGATAATCAACATCAAGTTAACTTGAAATAGAGTGACTTCAAATTTGGATAAGTCCGCGTAATTAGGTCTAGATTCGGAGTCCATAAATGTCTACCTGCAATGGCCTCGCGTGGATGAGCTTGAGTCATACTCAAACTATTTCAGTCGAATTGAAAAACAAAATAACAATGGTCCGATGTCATTACTTGATACTTTTTTGAGTGAATTTTGGCGTAGCAGAAATCAAAAACTTCTCATTTATGATTCTGATTTCAATACGATGCATATTAGTTTCTTAGATTGCAGACATTCTGCTTATGTACGTATATTTCGATCTATATCTGATAGAAAGAGCAAAGTCTGTTTGAAGAAAAATTTCATTTAATTGAAAACATTATCTTAAAAGCTGACGAAAATGAAAGTACACGTATGAATCCCTTGATAAACCAGTGCTTCTCATATTATCACCAGTTGTACTGTAGCAAATGTAGGCAGAAGATATATATACGTTTTTTTTATAGCAACTGATCTACTGATTCGATGAGGATAGAAAGTGTAAAGCAAGTAACTTCTATCCCCACTTGTGCTTAGTAGTATGCAAAGCATCATTGTTGAAGTCTACACACAACAATACATTTCACGATTGGCGTTTTTCTTTTTCTTTTATGGAAAAATTCAAATTTGTTTTCATAATATTCTTGTTTATATAGAAAACATTTATAATCTGATCCAAGATAGCTTAAGTTTGGTGCAAGACACAAATTTTATTAATACTTTCAAAGACAAATTCTTCGAAGAAGAACTAGTATATAAGAAGCATAACCTCAAATTCATGCAAAGTCATCAAAATCCAATGTACCATTTAATGAACATCGATAAACTACAAAATAGGAAAAATAAATTGGTGAAAGCATTGATTGCATCTGCTGCATCCTTGATTGACATCAGTGAAGAAGATGTTCTTAACGATGCTTTTTATCTCGCATCTCGGGAAACGTTCACCTATGCTGTCCTATTTGATGAGTCGCTCAACTCACTTCCAATTCACGCACAAGCAATCATTCACTTGAAAAACAAGTGGAAGTCATGGGAATCTACTGGTATTCACGCTCAGGAAGTATCGAGATGGCAAAGTTTCACAATGGAACAACGGGCAATTATTCATCATATATGGACACTAGTTATCCCAGCCAAAGGATCAATACATCCACTTGATGGCCTATTCGATGCTACTCATCGAAATATGAAAGCTAAAATGGAAATGAATGACAAAGTAGTAACATGTATCGATGCCTATTGTCAACAGGCAAGTGACAAAGATGCGTATTATGAGTTAGTTCGACAATGGCATGATCGTTTTGACAGAGAAGTTGTTAAGTCGATAGAAATATCACCATCGCTGAAACGTATTGTCCCATTCGCTGAGAAATTCAATCAATTTGCAAATGTACGCAGTTGGCGAGCATTTCTCAACCAGCAAATGACCATTTATGGTAAGTTTTGAAACAGTATCTCACTAGCGATATGATATCGAAGCTGTTTCATCGAAAGATTCTTTTATTGGTAGAATACATATATAGACGAGGATCTTTATTTTGAGAGAAATAATAGTGATTTGAATTTATCTTATGTTTAATAGCTGTCAAAGGGCCACTTCAACGGCAACCGATGGCGGCCAATAAGCCACAGATTGAGAATAACGCGCCACTACAAGATGAACCAGGTACTTAATACATATGTCGCATATTCACTTAATACGTTATATACTTTCTTTTGAAGCATCACCTGATCAAATTCAAGTGGAGATTAGAAATATGACCGCAGAGCCGGTAAAGTTTAAATGCATGAAGATTCTTGAAATGGCTGCTCAGTTTCTTGACCTATTCCAGAAGAAGTTGCAAGATATATGCGCATCACAACAAACAAATTCAATTCAAAATATTATTCGCATATTTCCGGATATTCAACAAGCTGAAAATGATCTCAACCAGCTACAGCCATTGCTTGATCCTTTAGCTCTACCACAACTTCTTTCGATCGTTTCATTCTGGAAAAATTCTTCACGTATTCATCATATCTGTAAAGGTTTAAGTTTCTTGAGCAAAGCAGTTTCTGCCAGTATTGATTCAGCATTACTTGATAGTGTTTGCGCTATAAATGAGAAAACGTCAGGCGGCGAATGTGCTCTTACTTATGAAAAATACCGAGATGAAATCGAGAGACCACTTTCTGACAATATGCTGACACTCTTTTCCTACTACAGTTCATCGTCAGATCTGTTTGATTTTCTTGGTTCACTTTCTAACGATGAAGTTTACAATTTGCAAGAGGCTGTCAATGATTGGGAGGAAACATTAGTGAGCACGAAGATCGTTTTTGAATTTGCTACTGTCAAGAACTTTGTTGATCGTGCTTATGATACTTTGAAAGTCAAACATCAGGAATTGAAAAATACACCATTACAGCTTAATGATATTGTCACTGGCTTCGCTATCACATGGAAAAATGAGCAATTCACAGATCTACTTACATACCTTGAATCATCATCATTGGCATTATCTAGCATCAAACGTATCCATTTAGAATTAGTCGACAAAGAGCAATCGAAACGACGTCGGATTGCCGATATTCTACAAAAGTCTACTGTGTATTTTGTTCGTATTGGACATAATGAAACAACATTCGATGTCAATGTAGAACTTCCATCTCAACAGACAACTACAATCAATGAAAAGAAACAAAAAAAAATAAAATGGGCCGATCTAAGTGAACTTCGTGACCGTGCGCGTCTTCTTGAATATTCAAGTAATGTGAATAAAAGAAATTTGGCAGAAGCCGATAGTGAGCGTGAAAAAGAAAGATTACGCAATTTTATTCAATTCGCCAGCATCGTCGAATCTACGATTGAAATTCTGACAAGTTTATATATTGCTGGCCACCCATATGTTTCAGATTTCCTTGCCAATCAGACATCAACTTCAGAGTTCCTTGTTGGTCAAACAAAGTTTTCTAGCAACGATGGATTATATGAGGAATTAAGAAAGTATAATCAAGAACTTACTAATTTATTCAGTGATTGGGAAAAGAAATTGTGTACCATGTATGAGACTCACATTAATTTGACTTACTTCTCGGGCAATCAATTGTGGCAAATCGAAGATTATATTTATCGTCGGTCTTCTTTTTCTCATCCAGGATATCATCTTCTCAAGTTCATTGGCACCGATCCTAACTCTATCAAGAAACCAAATATGAAACAATCGAGTCCAGAAGATCGATTAGAAAATCTCGGACATTTACTTTCACGAGGACAAGAAATTTTTGCTCTGAAACAAGAAAGTCTAAAAATGAAAAAATGCTTTCTCGTCGAAACCACAAATGAAGGAATTCTTCGTGGTATTCTATCATTGTTTTCGTTGACAAAAACTGAACCTTCAGTTTATCGTATTCTTTATTGCACTCAACGTACGAATTGGGTTCAAGTACGTGGATTCATTTATCGCTGTTTTCATTCCAAATCATTTCATCAACTCATTCGACCTGAACTTCTTTCACAGTCTGTTCAAGATAAATTTATTAGCTTATTACGTAAGTTAGTGGAACAGAAATCGTTTAATTTTTTTCGAATGGGAATTATTACAACTAATCCACCAGCGGAACAACACATGATCAATGGACTTCAATCGATGCAAATTCTTAATATTCATCGTGATAGTGAATTGCTTAACAAGGACGATTTTGCTAAAACTCTTGAACAAATGATTCGTGGTTGTCGTTTGTTCACATCACGAATTGCTGGCCTTGGAAAATCGAGTGCGATTCGACACATCGCTAAAGAGTCAAACATGACTTATGTTAAGTTTCCAATATCTGGTGATTTCGATGTTGATATATTAGCTGAAAGACTTAGCTCAAAATGTTCTCAAATTCGACAACTAGCCATTCATCTTGATATTGGATCAATTCATAACATCCAACAATTGAACGAAGTTCTTTATTGTCTTCTTCTATTTAGAAGTTTTCGTTTTGGACAAGTAGCTGTTTCAATACCTACAGATACTTCAATCTATATCGAACTTGATGCATCACCTCAATCCAATCTAAATGAAATATCACTTCTTCAGCACATCCCATCGTTGGCACATGTCGAGTATATTGATTGGAACAATATAAATGTGAAAAATTCGGAAATTCAGACCGTCGCAAAATATTTACAGGCAATCGATACAGGAGTTATCATCAAGCAAGATGTTGATGTTTCGAGTATTAAAGAATTGGATGCAATAGTGCTCTCTCGTCTCATTCAAAACTATTTTCTTCAAAATAAAAATTTGGATTTTATTACATGGACCCAATTGTCGATCTTCGTAGCCGTTTTCTATCGTTTATTCATAAGTTTCTCCCTTTGTAGTTTCTTTTCTGTCAAATGGGTTCCTCGTCCAGAACTGCGTATGGATCTTGTTCTAACTTTACTTCGATCGTCAAATCAATTCACGTCTCTCTCAGTTGAAGCTGTTCGAAAACAACAACGAGCGGTAGCAACTAATACACCAGAAGAATTCAGTGATGCCATCGTCCGGTGGGACACAGCCCAACCTTTCATACTAATTTTCACAGATACTCATGAACCATTATTTATATATAAGAGAACAAAGGATATTCCTCCAGCACTTATCGAATATTTTAAAACTTATTATCAAGCAACAGGACAAAAGAAAGAACTGGCAGAAAATATCATGTTTCCTGATTATGACAAACTTAGTCATGTAGAATTCTTTATCAAATTAGCATCACTATCAAGAAAATATTTCAATAAATCAATTTGCCCGAAATGTTTTCGACAGCATGAATATAAAGATAGACAATGTGCACGATGTGTTAATGTTGATCTTATTCGGCCTGCATCGTTCAATTATTCTGATGTGATGATATTTCAAATTGGCATTGCAGAAATGCTAAAAACTGAATATGTTCTTACACCGGATAATTTTGTTAAAATGCTTCTTATTTACATGCGAGTGCAAAGTGAAATTCCTGTTTTAATCATGGGCGAGACAGGTAAAAAATATATCATAGTATAGAAATATGTTTCAACGGATTTATTATTTAGGCTGTGGAAAAACGGCTTTAATTCAGTTCTTATGTCAAAAGATTCTCGACGATGATCTTGAAGTTTTTCGTATGCATGCAGGCGTGGAAGTGGAAAAGTTAATCACAATTGTACAATCCTATATAAAACAAGCTCAAGAATGTAGAACTCGAAACAAACGTTTGTGGGTCTTTTTTGATGAGTTCAATACGACCAGCAATATCAGTCTTCTCAAAGAAATCATCTGCGAAAGAACTCTCCTCGGCGAACCATTACCATCTAACATGGTTTTCTTAGGCGCTTGCAACCCGCGACGGAATAAAACAAGTAAAATTCTAATTAATGAAGATGCGCAAATCGGATTAAGACAAACTCGCTATGAAATGCAGAAACTTATTTGTGCAGGTACCGACCGACGACTTTTGTATACAGTAGTACCTATTCCAGAAACAATGCTTGAATATATTTGGGACTACGGATATCTAAATGAACCAACCGAAATAGCCTATATTAAAACAATGCTAAATACCTGTCGTGAACTTTCGTCCGAGCCAAATTTGCTCAATCTAACCGTTGATCTTCTTGTGAATTCTCAAAAACATTTTCGGGAACTTGAAGATGCTAGTAGCGTGAGTCTTCGAGATATCGCTCGGTTTTGTCGTTTATATAACTGGTTTTTGGAGTCATTAAGCCAACGTTCTCAAGCAGCTGAACTAAAAAGAAGTACTCAAAGCTTTCTTCGCCGAGCGACTTTTATTGCGTTGCTACTTTGTTATTATTTCCGATTGCGTTCTGCTAAATTACAGCAACAATATATCGAAAAGATGCAAATAATTATAGCACAAGAGTATCCACTTACTAAACAGATTCCTAATTATTTGACAAAAGTCATCCTTGAACATGAGCAAAAGAAATTAATTGATGAAATGATGGAATTACCAACGGGTACAGCTCCTAATCGATCATTGCGTGATAATATATTTGTTCTCTTTGCTTGCATTATCAACCGTATACCTCTGTTCTTGTGTGGCAAACCAGGCAGCAGCAAATCATCAGCAGTTCAAATAGTAATCAGCAATCTCAAAGGCAAAAAGTCGAAAGATCCATATTTTCAAACCTTGCCTGAACTTGTGGCTGTCTCGTTTCAAGGTTCTCAAAATTGTACGTCAGAGAGTATTATCAAGGTCTTTGAACGTGCTGCAAATTATAGTCCAGTCAAGAGTATATCTGAATTGTTACCAGTAATTGTTTTTGATGAAATTGGCCTTGCCGAACTTTCTCCACATAATCCATTGAAAGTATTACATGCTGAACTTGAAGTTGAAAATAATCGATATGGATTTGTTGGTGTATCTAATTGGAGACTTGATGCTTCGAAAATGAACCGAGCGCTTTATTTATCGACGCCAGATCCGAATGTTCAAGATCTGCAACTCACAGGTAAAGTAATCTCTGACAGTATGCAGCAACAGTCAAACGTACAAATAATTCAATTTGAACCAATCATTATAGAAGGCCTTTCGCGAGCCTACTATGATCTTTATGAAATTCTAAAAGAAACACAACCTGATCATCAAAATTACTTTGGCCTTCGGGATTATTATTCTCTGATCAAAGGTATTCTTCGTGATTTAATGGTAATGAAACATGAAACAAAATTGTACGAAATTATTCGACGTCAATTGAAAGTTAATTTTGATGGTGTTCTTGATGGATCATTACTAATGTGGCAAAAGTTTTGCGAACATATCCATAGACAAAATCTCTTTAACGAATACAATTGTCCACCATTTAATCTTCTTCTCGATCAAAGTCTTAAGGCTCGTAGTGGTCGATATCTTATGCTGATAGGGGATAGCGAAAGTGCCATTGATTACGTTGAACGCTTTATTAATGATCATCAAAAGAAATTGAATGTGGGAGTACGTACGCTTGTAGGCAGTTCATTTCCTGGTGATTTACTTTCCTTAAATACATATGCTGAACAATACAATTATCGAGTTCTAATGGATGTCATTCTCTATGCTGAGACAAACATTACTTTAATCATGCGTCAAATGGGTCACGTATACGATAATCTTTATGATCTTTTCAACCAAAATTTTGCAGTATCGGCTAAAAAGAAATATTGCCGTATTGCTTTGGGTGCACTCTACCATCCACGCTGTCTTGTTCACGATGATTTTTATTGTGTTGTTTTTATTCATAAACGAGACGTTGACAAATGTGATCCTCCATTTCTCAATCGTTTCGAAAAACATTTGATTGATATTGACGCTTTAATTCATCCACGGCATAAGTCAGTGACCAAAGACTTACATAGGTGGCTTGATAGTTTACTACCAAAGAATATTGGAAAACATTTTCCTCTATTGCAACATTTATTTGTCGATTATAGTCCAGATCAAATTTGTAATCTTGTCATTGAAACATACGAACAATTGAATATATCTATTGATAACGAAGAAGATAATAATAGACGACAGAATGTTATTGATCATTGTCAAGCACGATTACTTCGCACCAGTTCATTTGATCTACCTTTAGCTCTTTCCCTCGAAGAAACTCGTGAGAATCAAAATATAATTGATCAATACTACGATGTTCATCAATCAATTAATTTTGCCAAACTTATTCAACAATCACTTGAAAATGAGACTAATATTATTCCTCGTGTTATCTACACATATACACAAATGTTTCACACGATTAATGAGTTGCCTAATAATGTCGAAGAGATCAAATTGAGTGCTTTTAAGACAGAACTTGAACTGACCAATAGAATCAAACAGCATTATCAAGCATCAACAAATATTCGTCTTCTTTTAATTCGAGTTGATTATCACAATGAACATCAACATATACTCTCACTTAAACATGTTTTACTCAATGAACATGTGAATAAAAATGATCGATGTGTTTGGTTAATATTTCACTTGCAAAGAAACTTACTCAATCAAATTAATAATGATGTCTTATTTAACAAATGGCCTGCTGATATGATTGATGATCTCAATAATCATCAATTTATTCCAAAAGAAATACTCAACAATCCTTCATATCATGATTTGGTTCTTCAACCACAATATATTCTTACTGAATGCATATTTGACGACCTTATTGACCGATGCTTATCAAAATTTCGCTATATCGTTCCACACAAAAACGACGAACGACTAATTAATACAAGGCGTGAGAAAAATTTTCAACAAATTATTCGACCCAAGGATAAATCAAGATCGAGTGAGCTCCATCTTCGTTCGATTGTAGAAACAAATTTGAAGACACTAATAAACAAGATTAAAGTCTCTGATAACAGACGTTTCACTGACTGGCGCCTTGATCTCCTAACAAATGGTAAAACGATTGCTGGATCTCGCTCATTTGATGATGCTTTTCAAGCAACTATTTCAACTTTTCACGAATCATATCTCTTTCTGCTTGTGGCTCATCTTGAACAGCATAATTTTATCGATGCATATAACTTCGTTTCGAATGTTACCGATAAAAATATTCAAAAAGATTTAGAAAAAATGTGGAAGAATTGTTTCGAAACGACTCTGGAAAATATTGACTTGACAATAATAGATCGTGATATGATTGAAATTCATCTTGTTTTCGATCTGCGATTACCTCGTGCAGCAATCGAGTACGAAAATATTCGAACAATTCGCGACAAGCTCCTACAATTAGAAGAAAATGATAATGAGTCGTTTGTTCCCTTAAATTTTGCTATTGATCAATTGAAGAGAACAAGTGTCTATGGTACAGATTTTATAGAACTTATTTTCGTCGATCGTCATTTCTTTGAATTTTATATTCATGATCAAATTGCCTTACATCTTAAAGAGACAAATATTTATCTTTCACCAAAATTTGTTCTGGATCTACTAGTAAGCAATCCGACTTATACAATCGAGCAAAATGCACAACTATTTCTTGCACAACATGCTGAATTCACAGAAATTCTTCGTTTATTCGAAATTGGTCTACAGTTAGTTAGCGAAGAAGAAATTCGTAATAGCATTCAAAAGCAATTGATCGAAAATCCTACTGGCAATATCAAACTTTCGAATTTTTATACGCTCGTCATAGCTAAGCAACAGTTCTATCAGCTTCCACCACAAACAACAACAATTGATGATAAATGGGCATTTAAATGTAAAGGAAATCCGATGATTGAAACAACTTTGATGAATTTAATTGAATTAATTCTTTCGTCACCGGTTATCAATCGTGCAAATAGTATTCAGCAAGTTACAACAATCTACAGTTTAATAGCACAGAGCGCTCGTGATCTACCATCGTATTTGATCAATAATCTTGAAAAACTTCGTTCATTTATCAGTCTTATTCGTTGTCTCACTGCTCTACTTCCTGATAAAGCTCTTGATGTTTTCAAACATGTTTGTAGTCAAGGTTTCGATGGTAGATTCGACTCATGCCAGTCGATTCATTTGTTTATTACGCATCTACAAGACATCATCAAAAAAGAAAGACCCACAGTTGATCAGAATGTTATCCATCGAACATTAGTTAAACTTGAGGTCGAATTCTTGAAAGATTGGTTAGCCGATAATGGTGATTCATATGGTGAAATTCTAAGTCTAATGAATCAAGATGATAATGATCTATGGCATTATTCAGCCAAATTCTTTACATATATCGATCGAAAACTTGATTTACTCGTAACATTAAAAGAAAACAATGGAAATTTACCTTTCAATGATCAATACGAACAATTTAATAATTTCCTCGAAAGAACAAAAAATCCAACTTTCAAAATAGAAAGATTGATGATGAATCGGCTCCATATGAACTTGATGCGGGATGCTTCAGGACACGAAATCGAGAAGCAACTAACGGAGTATTTTGAACATTTTCGACAGAATTTGCATGAAATCCAAAATACACAAAAAGTAGACGATATAAAATCTATCTCCATGCTTGCTTGGCTCAAATACTATGCTCAAATGTATGGATTCGCTTTGAATGTTGACAACGGAGCAGATATTCTACCTAGAATCGATCAGCTACTAACGAACATCGCTACTCCATTTTGTTCAACACTGAAACTATTCATTCTTAAGCAAATGCTACAAATATCAGGACTTAATCTAAATGATATGCGTACGATCTACACAAATCGTAATGTTATTTGGATTAAACCATTGCTTGAGCGCCCTCGAGATCAACAAGCTCAAAATATTCGTCGAGTTCTTATTTTGCCAACTACTCTTTTTGAATGTCAGAATGAATTCAAACGAGCTAGCGAAATTCTCAATGAAGTGAACAAAACCAATGAGTTACGTCAGCTGATTGCCCACTGTAGTACATCCCAAAAGCTTAGTTATGCCGTTTTGTGTTGGTTTATTCAATACTACTGCCGGTTTAATGAACCAACCACAACAGTTGATGATCCTTTTGTTCAGGATATCGATCGTAATTTGAGCAAAGATATTATCTATTCATTTACACAATTAGGACACAGATTTCTCGTTTCTTTATGCTCGAATTTTTCAGAAAATTCTTATTTTCGTCTTCATCCTGCCATGCCACCGAACGAAATTCATAAACGTTTAGTTGCTTTAAATATTGTCGCTTTCTTTATATCCTTAAAATCATTACCAGAAATAACTTATCTCGGAAATATTCTTTTTACTAATCAGCGTCAAATCCCTAACAATTACGGTGCGCATCTTTCAACTGTATGTTTACCCGGTATGACAATCAGTGATCCTATCATCACTCAAATGATAGATGTTCGTACTCAAATTCAAGATCGTCTCAATCGAGGTGTTATACACGCTGGAGGAAAATACATTTTTCAATGTTCACGAGATTGTCCATGGATGTTCTATTTTCAAGATTGTGGCCTTCCAAACGATCGTAATACATGCTCATTGTGCAAGAAACCGATCGGTGCTGAACGACACAATGTTCTCATCCAACGTGATCCTCCTCAAATCCAAATGTCCATTGATGAAGGCTTCCGAGCAATTAATCAATATATCGATCGATACAATATGACAGCTCGTCTCGGATATCATAATGTTAATACTCATGAAATGAGTAATATCGGAGAAAAACCTGATCATTTGAATCGACCTGTTTCATTTCGTTTTATTCATTTTCTCACCCATAGTCTTCTACTTTTTTTGCACGATGCCAATTATTTGACCGATGGTGATATGAAACAACGTTTCAAACTACCGAAAACCACACATTTTCGTGATCATTTTGAAAAAGATTACGCTCTTCTACTTCAATCATCGACCGATAGCAAACAATGTTATATTTGGTTATATAAACTCGTCGAGCATCTTGTCAATGACGAATTAGTTAAACGCGACGTTATGAACACAAATGAACGCGTTCTTCAAATAGAACAACTTATTGAACAGAAAATCATCTTTGCGCATATCGATTCCATAACTACTGAGATCGCGGAATACAAGAAAGCCTATGCTGAATTCATTCAAGAACGTGATTCGAAACCATCTATAGAAAGTTTCGTCGATGAACTGTTTGAAGATGAACAACAATATCCTCTTTTAACCTTTTTTAATGTCACCACGTTTCATACAACCAATCCTCTTGACGCATTCATTTTGAAAATGCAAACACTTCCCTATGCTGAAAAATCCTATCCAATCACGACGTTTCTTTTTAAACGTTTTGAAGATTATGTCAATATTCAACATCTTTATCCGATCATTGTCTTTACAAATTATCTTATTGAAAAACTCAACTATCGTATCAAACGAATTGATGCCGCTGAAACGAAAATTATTCATTATTTAACAACGGGGAATGATCAACATGTAATGAAACAATACTACGATGCTTATTTACATGCTTGGTATTCATTAAAACTAAAAGAAGTTCGCTATGGATGTCAAACGCCTAAATTCGAACGGACTGTCGCAAAGGAACACTTCGCCGAATCTACTAGCATTGCAACACTCCTATTGAATACATCGAAAGATGAAAGTAGTCTTCTTCTTGCGGCGTCTATCAAAACTATTGCTGACTTACAAAATGAAATCGTCAATTACTTTCACAATAATATTAATAACGTTATCAGTACCGAAACAAAACGCAAAAAAATACCACTGCAATCGATTCAGTTGGAAAATATTCTTCGTCTTGATCGAATTGAATTAAGCGAAAAATTAGTCGATGATAGTCTTGTCATTAACTATCAATATGGCAAAGGTAGAGATATCATTTATGATTATGAAGAAATCGAAATAACACTTCGAAATATGATCAGCTCTTTGGCATTGATTGATACCGAAAAATTACGCTTTCTCAACTATCAATTTGAATTGTATGGCGAAAATACGTCTCTCATCAATGATGTGCGTGCTCGTATCAAACAACAACAAATGACAAATGATGAACGAATTAAATTACAGCGCCTTCTTCGAGCCATGAGTAACGATGATATTCTTAATTATCTCGGCTCAGTTGACTACGTGTTTACCTATTTACGAAATAGTGTACCGGAGACTGCTTCAGAGACTACAACGATTCAAACATTCGTCGAAAATCATATCCACTCATATGCATGTTTAAATGATAATATTCTTAGTCGACCACCGTTTTCCACAATTCAATTGCAGTATATCATTGATTTGTATGAAACAATTGAAGAGAACGCTTTTGATAAAGTATTACGTGCTTACGTGAAGAAAGAACTCACAGAAGAAACATTTACGGACGAAGAACGTGAACGTGTCCGCCGTGAATTTTCTCGTATGACATTTGAAAAAGAAACAATTGCTAAAACATTGAAAAGTGTCGATAGTTGGATTTCCATGCTCAGGCGACTGATGATTCGCGTGTTGAATGCTAATATTAGTCTTGATGTTCCATTACAGCTCTATCTTGAACGAACCGATCTATGGAGTGATCGTGTCAGTGATCTCGATTTGGAAACATTTCAAGTCGATGATGATATCCTTCTTCAACATACCTATGTCATCTTACGAGGTTTAGAAAAAAAACAAGAGACAAATAATAAGTTGCCACAACAACAGCAACAAAAAACATCCGAAATTCAAAGTAAAGAAGGAGAGCAAGAAAACTTTCAGACTTGGTTCGGAAATACAGCTAAAGTGGCAACTAAACCTAAAGTATTGAAACCGAAGATTCGTGTGTGATCTGTGAATTATTTTGAAATTTATTAATAAAGATCATTAAATAGCTCTTAAAATTTTAGGGTGAGGGTGTGGGTGTCAGTGTGGATAAATTTGGCAGGCAAGAGCTATGCCCACAACCACACCCTTCTTCTGTGGTTTATCATTGTATACAGTTAATCGTTCCATGAGTGGGAAAGATTTAGCAATTTTCACAAAGAATTCATGTTCAAAAGGACGTTCATCATATAATGAGACTTCGCGAACATATTTAAATAATCCACCAGGAAAATTATTTGTAATATATTCATAATATTTGCTTGGTATAGATATGAATAAATATGACATTGACCTTCTTTATGATCTGAGTAATAATTTTATTATTTTTAAAACCATTGAATGAAAGTTGACAATCTTCATTTGATGATAAATAAACTTGATCGTTTATAGACAGACGTGATCGTATGTTAAATATAAATTTATTTAATCGTAAGAAATTATTAATAATATTGTATTTCAAATCATAAACATCAATAGATCTTTTCTCACAGTACACAACAAGATGTAAATCAAGTTCTTCTAGATTGATCATTCGATGTAGAAGTGGCACAATCAATTCATTATACTTATCTGTATCTCGTTCAGAATAGAACGACAAAAGCTGTAGATTGGGTAATTGTTTCTAAAAAAAAAAGAAAACAATTTACTTTGTTATCAATTATTATCTGTGGAGAAAATATGTCATAAATATCAACAGAACGTTTTTGAAGTGAATCGAAACGACCATCACCAGGTAAATAAATAAAGCAATCAGTAAAATTCTTTAATTTGACATGCAACTCTAACAGAGCTGAAGAAGAAATAGTTGAAGGAATTTGAAATAATGGTTGATACCAAAAATTTGACTTATAATGGAAATATTTTAACTTGCGGAATAAGGTTAAAATGCAGACAAATATATTTGCTTTGGCATTGTCTGTTGCACTTATATTTTTATCTTGAACAACATCAATAACAAATGATGAAATATTTTAAATATATGGATCAAATTTTAGTCTTTTTCTATCGTTCTAAAGTAAATATTAGTTTTCTCTATCTGAACACATTGATTTCCAATGAGATTTTTGTTTTTACCATTTATACAGCAAAAAAATGTCCTATCACAATCGTATGAAGAATCTTTTAACAAATAAATAATTCTATTGATTTATCTATATTTTTGAAATATTAATGATTGAAAGAAAAATCTCTGCCCAGTAAAGATATGTAATGCAATGTCCTTGTCGAAATTATGTAAACCAAGTCCACATAAATAGGGATAACTTGTGCAAAGAAGAACATCTTCCATAAATGAGGAATCAATATCCAACCATTTGATTTTGTGATGAATCGAAGGTAAAATTTGTGAACAAAATCGATCAAATGAACCATTAGAAGAACATCTTGTCATTGTTAAATGATTCGTAAAAGTTGAATCACGTACAAGTTTATTAACACCTATGAACGAGTAGAGCACTTCAACACTGTTCAATTTTTTTAAAAATAAGAAGAAGAATCTCATCACGTAAATCATTTAATTTCGCCGACAAATCTTCCATGTTTATTTAACTGCACGTGTATTTTTTTTTCGCTTATGTGGACTTATTCAATTTGACCGATTTTGTCAATAAAAACACAAGAGAAATTTTTTCTATAATCGCAATTGACGATAAATAGACATCGATGAACATCAATTCTGCCTATTACAGATCTAATAAGATAAATAATATGTCATTCATGTTGAATAGAAATAGTTGTTTAGACGTTAAATATCATTGTTTTAGTTTCAATAAAATATAGTACAAATTATCGTGAGAGGAATTCCATATATGTGTATCCATCCATTTTAACTCATAAATTTATTCATTTGATTATGAGGCCAACAGAAATAAAGTAACTCTTTCTTCTCAAATAAAAAAGTTTTATTAGAAAATTTGAGAAATTCAAAGAATAATTATTTTTTAAATGTTCTTTTCATTCGTGCCCTTGAATCAACAAAAACGTTCTTGAAAGTGAAGATGATATTGATATGCGTAAAAACACGTTTATAGAGTACATCATTTTATTTAGGGTAAGTGGTTCTTAATATCTTGTAACACATGGACACTACCTTACAATATCTGATAGTTCCTCGTAGCAGCTGGTAGTACTTTTAATTATCATATGATTATTTGTTTTACTATTATAGACTCCTATTCTTTCTCTTATGAGTGAAAGTGATATTTTTCAAGATTATTTCATATAAAGATGAAATCAGTCTGGATTCTTGACGCTCGGTACCAGTTTTATTTCGCGATAGTGATATTGTTGATGTACTCAACTGCCATCAAGAGTTCCTCGGACATTTTCTACGCTATAGTAATTAAAACTGAAAAGGAGTTTTGAATATATTTATATGAAAAGAAGAAGTGGAAAATTTAATGAGAGGTACTAGCTAGCTGTCGGTCTGTCGCTACCGATCCCATCTTTGTTCCCATCATACTGAACAAATAGATGATAAAATCTTATCTTTTCTTTTTTTGAAACCTAGTTTTTTTTCAGTAACATGACATGCAAAACAGTTGTAATGTTAGATAGCTCACAAAAAAACGAGGGTGCGGGTGTGTAATATCTATTAGATCAACATGGATACCCACACCCACTAATCGAGGATTTCTTTGCACATCAACAAACAAGCCTGATTGACAATCTATTAACATTGGCAATAATAAATTTCAGACTAATATAATATTAGAAATCAATGCAGATTATAATATTGGAGCATCACAATTTTCATGCATTGATAAAATTGATACGTCCATCAAAGATCAAAATAACAGCAATGTTCTTTTGATGTGTGATTCAATATTTTAAATTGGTCTACTGCAACAGGCGCATATAGCTTCAAATGGATACTTCAGTTAAAGTTAGCTGATAGCAGAAGTTTAAGCATATTAACAAACATGAAGCGCCAACTTCGGCAAAATGGTGATTCATGTCTAATCGGTGATCTCTTAGAAAAATATAATCAATATGATAAAGCAATTATATATTACAAATGTCTCCTTCGAGAGCTACCTGCTCATTATATCCTAGTAGCTCAATTAAAAGACAAAATTCAACAAAATTTCGCAAATAAAATCAAGTATGTATAACTTATTTTTCAAACGATAGATTCACTTTTAACGATGTTCAATTTGCTCTTGTCGATTTAACAACTCGTTTGAGTAAATTAGCTTCAGCTATGTTGAATACTCTTCATCGATTAATTAATGGCATTATGCTGATTTCTAATGATGGATCTGATGTCGAATGACAACAACTATCTAATAAAACAATTTTTCTTTTTCCAACTACTCAATTTTTTGCTTCAATGGACACAAGCTTCGAACAAAATTTCTTTGTTTTTATTTTGGAAAGCGATCTAAATAAGGTCGATCAACGACTACGATTTGCTACAGACGAGGATCTTATATGTCAACTAGCCGATGAATTGTATCGGCATTATACAAAGGAAGCACAAAAATATTTTCATTTGGGCAATGTAAAAATGTCTAATGACCAAGAACGTTTAGCTAATCGAATTTATAGCGAATTACGAAATGTTCATAACAATATAATCACACTTGAAAATAATAACCCATCATTTGTTTGTCCAAAAACAGAACTCATCTGGCTCAAATCTAAAATGCAAGATTATGCTAATGTTGACGAGTTACAAAAATATTTCAACGAACTTGTTTCTTCTTATTCAAGTTTTTATAATCAAGATGATTGTCAGCATTACTTAAGAAATGATAAAAATATCGGTGGTATATTTTTGATCATTGATATCGATTATAACTACGTTTGAACATCTAAGTAATGTTAAATGTTTATATCGTTATGGTCAATCGAAATCAGAGACAAAAGGAATCATTACAAATTTTGATGATCTTCGCTACCAATTAGCATACAATCTTAAAGCTCATTATGGTGATTTTGGTGCAGAATGTCGTGCTAAGAACAAGCTCTAGACATGTTTTCAAGAGCAAAGAAACTTTGTGACTTTCTGACGTTTTAAAGCAGAGATAATCATAATAAGATTCACGGGAACTTTTTCTATTGTATTTCATCAATTGCGACATTCTTTTTTCATTCTATGTGATATCGATTGATGCTATTCAGTTCGATCCTTTCTACTTAGAAGCGAGCCGTTGGACTCTTCTACTGTATCAATTGAATGGGGGTCAGTTTAGCCATTTCCTTTGTCGAATGCAGAGGTAATGCCATTTGTTCAAGTGTTTTAGAATATCGAGACAACTCGAGATCATATTCTGGAACATAATCAAAGACTAACTCGAGCTTCATATTTTCTGTGAAGAACCAAAATATATAACATGGATACTTACTTATACAAACCGATTTAAAGGAATAATTAAAGGCACGTTTTTGTATGAAAGACTCAATGAGAAGCTACTTCATTATGCTATTGGATTTATAAAAAAACAAAAACAAGAATTTCAATTCGTTCCATTTGACGGATTAGAAATCGCTTATAGATGTCTATGCCAGGCATTATCAATATAATAAAAACACATATATCAGCTTTAGTTCTAGGTTTAATTTTACGATTATTATTATTCTATTTATTATTGGTTTTGAATCTTAACAGTGTTGAAAGAAAAATGACTAAGACTATGTATTGTTTAGAATATTGTGGTTGATGATTGTGTATCATTTGCTTGTGAAACAAATTGCAATTGTGTGATTTTCAACTTGATTTTTTCTATATCCTCGTTTGTGATGAATGGCTTAGCAGGTGGTATTGGAAAATAATTTTCTTGAGCAACATCATAGATATTGTGTAACGGAATTATAATTGATTGAATTCGAAATAATAAATCAATGATATAATCTGAGCTATTGGAATCAATTGAAGTATTTTGCAAATTGTTGTACATTTCCTTGAATTTTTCGATAATGATGTCGAAAGCAACTTCTTGTTGTAGTTCAGGTAATAGCTGGGTTTTCATCTGATTGAGTTCTTTAGAATGACGATCAAGAGTTTTTCCAGCTTTTGAAATGTCTTCAGTCACTTTAACAAGTTCATGGGTATTACTAAAAGCATCAACTAAAGATGCTTTATAAAGTTCATACCGAGAGTTAATTTCATTTTTTAGTTTTTCACAAAAAAACCAACATTTTGAATATTTTTGTTGGGCTTCATTGTACAAATTTAAATTCTGTAAATATAAAGTTTTCATTTGATAAGCAGATAACTCTATATCATCCGATCGTTTCTGAAGTTGATGTAGATAAAACTGCAAATTAGATATGCACATTTCATGTGAATCAATGGCTAATTTAAGATCGTGATAACTGAGTAGTTGTCTCGAAGTATTGAGAAATTCATTGGAGCTAAACGTAGTAAAGGTCATAAAAAATGTTGCATTTAAATCCGATATGAATGATTGAAGTTTATTTATCTTCGTTTCATTAGCGGCATCGATATTCAACAGAGGATTAAGTAAATCATCACGAATTACCCTATAAACTATAGAATAAACTGGAGCAATAACAGTAAATACGATTATTCGATAATTAATAGAAGGACCAAACGAAGACGTATTGAGTTTTGTTTCTAAACAATACTTGTAGTAATCATAGTGAAATGGATCAAAATCAGACGTCATCATAATGTTAAATAATTTCTCCGTATTTAAGGAATCAGAAAATTTATTCTCATCAAATGTCTATAAAACAAATTATATTTCAATTGGTTAAAATGTTCGTTTTTCTCATTCAAAAAGTATATGAACAAAATGGCTTAATCTTACTTTCTCTTTAATATGTTGAAGAATCTTATTGATTAATGTTGATTCTGATTTCGTGGAAAATGATTGCAATTGAAGTTTATCATCTTGTTTTTCATTTGGTAACAAAATTCCATATTGCATTGAATATATTGGCATCAATGCAAAGAATATTATACCTAATAACGATACCATTATAAACAAAAAGTATTTCAATCTGAAAAATAATCTGTAATTTATATTTTGCGATAAAGCAGTCTGTGATACATAAAATATAATAACATAAACAATGAGTCAATGGCGCTGATAAGCCAATACTTGTATGTATCGAAAAAAATGCGCGAATGTATGAAGGTCAGTACCGCAGTCGCATCTTATCTATTGTCTGATTCTCTTCTTGTGCTATCCAGCACAATGAACTATGAGTCATTCGGCTAATATCCACTAATTTTGCCCATTGGCTTATACATAAATTTATGTAAAACTAGATTTGAAAGATGATGCATTTTCAATGGTTTACTTGAGATTGCTTATTTTGAGGGTATATGATCATTTTGTTGAATATATCATTAGAAAATCAGAAAACGTTTTGTGTATTTGAATTTGTTTTTCTCATCAACGTGTGTCTTGACATTGATTCTCAGTAGTTGTGTACAAGAAACAAAATACATCATTTATCACATGCAACAAGACATAAATTGCCTTTCTTTTTTTCTCGTTAGACTAAAAACATTTATATTACCAAAGAATCAATCAACAAAATAAAAAATTCGTAATTGATCGAAAAATTAATCACGGATAATATCCTGAAAGTAGTGTGATAAGCAAAATATATTCACAATGTTCTTCCTGTGATAGTATAGGAAACAAAGTCAGAGGATGAGAAACAGAGATAGGATCGACTCGACTTTTTCAAAATTTGAACCCAAGCCTCTTAAACCGAAAATTTTTTTTTTCAAACCAAACCGAAACGATCCCATCTCTGATCAGAAACTTATAAAATGCTCACATTCACCGTACACTATCAGAAAGTCAAATAGACACTGTCGTATGACCATCCCTCTATGCCTAGATTATATGAATGATATGATGAAAACAATGAGAAGGCTATACAATAAATTACTTCAAAAACTTTCCAACTGTTTTCTCTCAACCGACTAATTTTCCTACAATTAACCATTACAACAATAATGAGTCACTTCAAAATAATTATGTGAAGTATAGATTATACTAATGTCGAATACGATTCAGGACGATTCCTTCTGCGGTTTTATTTTTCAGTTTGAAATTTAGTTGAGTATCCATGTTTATTATTTGAAAAGTAGATAATTGCCAGCATGATTACATTCGATAACTCTCAATTTATCTTTTCTAAAATGAAATCCTCCAGTTATCATTATTATTCAACTCGAAAATCTCGATTTCATTTCTGATGAAATGCTAACAATGACAGAGCATGAAAAAGACTCAAGTTGATTCAGTTCAAAATATTTCGATTTATCTTATTTTGAAAATTGAATCTTTTTTCATAAAAATGATTCTAATAAAAATGTTGAATAACTTTTAAGATTAATATATTCAACAAAATTTTATTCGTACTGTTTAAAATTGATCGTTTTGACATGAAATTTCTTTGATCATTAAAATGATCGAGTTTTAGTTGAGGAAGAAATCTCATGAAGATTTAAATCAAAATTTTCTCATTCATCTTTTTAAAATCAAACTTAATTTTTAACGGTGTGGGTGTGAGTGTGGTGAAATATCATCTGAATGAATAAGTCCTGTAGAAAATCAATTCCGAAAAAATGAGTCCGGGTAGCCCCTCTTTTGTCGACACGTAGAGGGAGATTAGATCAATCTTCATGTCATATATACTTCAACACTCATTGACAAACATGTTTCACAAAAGCTATTGGTAAAAAGTCATCCGTACCAGTTTCAACTGTGACTCATACTCTCAAGAGCACATGCATTTTTCTGATTTCTTTGCATATACATGATAAGAAAAGTATAAAACGAAGTCATTCTTTAACAAATAATTCCTTAACTTTCTATAATACTCAAATCCCTTTTTCATGAGTGCTATAACTTGCCATCATGTTCCTCATTTTTGTTTATCTTCGATAAAAAAAAGTGTTTGAAAACAACGCATACATGATAATATTTCCAATGGAAACAATAATTCTAAATATCTGACACGAGGAAATCGATTAGCCAGTATTTTTATTTCATTTTCATCTATTAAACGACGTTCAGTCGGCAAACAATGAATATTTCCTTGTGGAATAAAATTCATTGAACAAATAGCTAATAGATTAAAATAAAATAAAATAAAACTGTTATCTTTTAATAACCAAATTACATACAAAAACATATTTACGTACGCGTTTCTGCGCTGAGGATTAATTTAGAAATTTGAAGTTGACGTGATCGACTAAATTCTTCCTTGATTTCTAACATTTCATCTTCTGTGATAATATTAACATAATTGAGATAATGAGTATATTTAACATCTGATATAACTGATAAATGATAGTTACCATTAATTATAGGTACTTCTCGTTTGTCCTGCTGATTTGATGGCCATGGAACAGAAAACATATGTATCCATTTAACATTGTCATGTTCGTAATAAACACTACGCAATGACCATTGACGAAAATCTTCAATTTTTTCTCGATGAGCCATTGTATAATGAAATTGACAAAGATGAGGAACATGTTTATTTAACATAGATTCCATTGTTGATCCATGAGAAAATCTTCTATCAGGTGTATCACGAATGCTCAACGTTAATTTACGAAGATTAGGCATAAACATAAATAGAGACTCGATATCATCGACGTTTATTGCAGTGCAACTGTAGAATAGTGTAAAATCGATCAAACGGTGACAAAAGACTTCGTCGCTCAGTTGGAATTCTAAATATGTTGAAGATAAAAGTTTTTTTGATGATTTTGTTTTTCGTTTAAAATTTCTCTGAAGGTGAACAAAAACTTTGATTCAACAGCGAAAGCATATTCTCATGTTAAACGATGAAAAACAAGTCTCGGGCATATATCTCTAATGGAATTAAATTGACACTTAGAAAAGATTGACTGGCATTGAATTATTTTCTGATGCATATGACATGATTATAGATTCTCCATTGAAAAAAAAAACTTACTTGATAGACGTGATTGACATAATTTAACACTGAGAATTTCGATATTCGGCACGAGCCCATTGAGTAATATATAAATCTTAATATTTGGCCCGTTATAAAATAAAATATTCGCACAGGCCATTTAGAAATGGCCAGTGAAAAACAAGCGTCTTCTTTTCATCAGCCCCAGTAGATCAATATATGCGAAGGAAGAATAAGGATATAGGATTGTTCATTTGTAACAGAAAAACAATTTACAGTCACTCAAAATAGAGCGGCAAGAGAAATTTGATTATGTTCAGTGAGAAAGGAATCAATTCATACAATTTTTAACCCTACCATTATGATGTTGTAAAAAGCCAGGCGTTTTACAAGAAATAACATATTCTAATGAAGATCTCATATAGGCGAACAACAATATGTCTGTCTTCAACAATCTTGCTGAATTTATATTTATGCATAAGAGATTTTTATATAATCTCGAGGAGATTACGATGCCACAGACAAACTTTTATCATAACACCAGTTTCATTGCTATTGAAATGGAAATCGACCAATTTTCACTTTAACGTGTACAATTTCGAACTATGCTTGTCATTGAGTATAGTTGAATCGTTTAAATAAACAAGTAGATGTGTTTTAAGTTGCAGAGCTAAGTAGCAGTAATTATTGACATAAAAGATAAAGCCAGCAAAACCAGACCTTCTGCTGAGTCATATCGTGCTTTTACTTTCATTCTCCACTGCTTTTTCAACTTTTCTTCTGTTTCTCTCTTTACGTCTACGTAATAACCTGAGCAATTATAAGCATCACGAATGTGACATTTGAAGCTCATATGTTTTATTTTTACTTCCGTTTGAGTACTCATAATGTTGGTAAATTCCAAGAAAAAAATAGGACATCCCAACATAATATACGATCGTGGTAGTTCAAAGTGCATTTTGAAACAATATTTCGGCAAACAACAAGTAAGAATAAATTTAAGAAAAAAGACAATGGCTTCTTTTAGCTGAGGATCAAGCCGATAATAATGCTAATTATCGTGAATATGTCATCCTATGACTTGTTAGGATGATCATAAACGAATATATATATATGTGCCGAATTTGAATAGAACCGAGACTAAATCAGAAGGCGTTAAATATGAGTATTTGCTTTTCATTTTGAAGTTACGCGAGTCAGTGTTTTTCTTAAGAAATAGATCTTCGATCTATGGAGTAACAAATAATTAGTATGAAACAAAAGAAGAGGAAAATTCCATTTAATAATTAGTTTCTTTTCTTTTTTTTAGAATTGATGACAAAATAAAGAAAAAAGAACTTCATTGTTACATGATTGATACTCTCTAAAACAATTAATGTCTGACGCACATCTTCTTCATCGTCCAGTTGAACTACTTTATCGAATATTTGACTATCTTGAAACTCAGATAATATCTTCAGTTCGACGAGTATGCAAACAACTGTACTTTCTATCTCAACATTAACTCTCATTCGAAGCGTCAATTGACATTACTCACACAGGACCCGAAAATGAACTTATTCATCTATTCTTATCATCTTTCATTGGTCGAGTTAGTCGACTTCGTTCGTTAGTCATCAATAAAGTATTCGATGAAGATATGGACCTGCTTTCACTGAATTTGAATATTAATTCTCTAGAATCACTCTCTATTGATGTGCATGAAGATAACGTGAGAAAACCGATAGCTTTTATTAATACGATTATCACCCAAGACTCTACTCGAAAACTGTCTCTAAAGAATTCAGCACTCACCTTAAATGGCATTCTATGGTCAGTTCATTGCAGACTTCAAACGTTGATAGTTAATACACGCGGCTATGATCAATACTTGACCGTTGTTAACAACTTGCCAAATTTAAAAACATTTATCATAGATGAATTGAATAACTTGAATTTCACTTCTACTGCTCAGGTTATGTGCAAACATCCTTCGTTATTAACATATCTAGCAACTAACAAATGTACTGTATCTGCAGAACATATAGAATCAATACTTTCAAGATCACCAGTACTTACTCATCTTCAATTAATATCGCATAAGCGCACATTTGGCACCACTTTTGATGATTACAATTGGGAGTAATTCATTCGTCATCAGTTACCTGAACTCAATCAATTTGAATATTTTTTTTCTGGTGCTGGTGAAACAAACGCTTACATGGGAACTTTCAATCATATTGTTGCTTCGTTTCAAACTCCATTTTGGTTACAGGAAAAACGGTGGTTTCCTACTCGTGGCTATGCATTTAAGTCCCGGACACTTGAACTTCATACTACTACAATGCATATGCCTGATACAGACAATTTCTTCAAAGTTGAAAACTTAGCTGAAAGCAATACATATTGTTTTGTTGGAGAACCACCAAAATGTGATAGGGAAAAGGTATGTATCCTGATTTCTTTAACATCTATGGATAAGTGCAAACATCTTTTTACCAATCATTGAGAAAAATCATTAGCCAATAAAATTATACTTATTATGTTTTATTTGAATTTCCACCATTGACAATTGAAACATGACTATCTTTCATCACTTGATGACTAGTTCATTTTGGTTAGCAAAAAATGTCAGATAAGTTATACTTTCTAATTTCTTCCTGCATGGACATCCCTCTTTCAAGTGATTTCACTGAAATAATGAAAAGTCAATGATAACAGTAAACTCATTCAATTCTATTTTCATTTTCATTTTCAACAGACATTCGTTACACTCGATCTTAGCGATGAAGCCATTGACAGCACTATCGCTCAATTTCTATCGCAAGTACTGCAAACTGGCAAGGTACGATAGTCATTGTTGATTTTCATTCTCCTATATTGATATTTTGTTCTGCTACGCGGATGCTTACTAAGTTGAGAGAAGAATAAAGTCATAGCTCTATTATCATGATTTAATCAATGACTCGAAACCATATGGTAATTTTTGTACTACAAAAACTTTAATAAAAACCATTAAAATTTTATCACAAAATCAGAGTGCATATATATTTTTCGGCTACACCATAATATTAAGGCATCTGAATAATATAGACTCTTCGACAATTAAGTCTAGATGGAAATAAAATTGAAGATGATGGTGCACAACATCTTGCAGCTGCTTTATTAAGCAATACAGTGAGACACTATGCCAAATGCTTCTTTCTATGTTGCCTTATATATATATATCATAAAGACACTTGTCTCATTGAATCTTCGGACGAATCGAATTTGAAAGATTGGTGCACAGTGTTTCTTTAATTTACAACAAAATAATACCGTACGGTTTGTTCAGAATACTCCTAACATACTTCTAGTTTTTTTTTGTTGAATTTTAAGACATTGAAAACACTTCAAATGAGCGAAAATTCTGATAATTTCTGTACGATCGTTGAGATTGCGCACACGATACGACACGATAAAGTAATTTATTGTTTTCCTTCTATGTTATTTAAATTATATTATATTCTACAGAGACTAAATTCATTAAACCTTGGAAACCGCCAGATCGGTGACCAAGAAGTACAATGTCTGATTGATACACTAAAAACGAATAGCGTAATATATATATATATACTATGCTGTTGTTATTTGGAAAATATGATATTTTACATCTTTAGACACTTGTTTCACTTGATCTTAGAAACAATAATCTCAGCGATATTGGTATTGGCTTAATAGCTGATACATTACGAAAGAATACGGTAACGAATACCTTCACATAATTTCTGTAGTGCATTTTGCCGTTTCTCTATTTAAAGACACTTTCAAGAATAGATCTAACTGGAAATCCTAGTAATCTCTGTACCGTAATCACAATAATGCAACGCATGAAATGTGACATGGTAAAATGTAATCTTTGTTTTAGCCGCATTCAAAAAATTAAGTTTTACTTTATCTACAGTCACTTAATAATCTAAAAGTGCAAGGATGTCAAGTTGGAAATAAAGGTTTACAGTATTTGACTGATATTTTCCAATATAACAAGGTAGTTGTTGTGTTTCTTTGTATTTAACATAGTTACGTTCTTTTTACAGGCAATTGTTACAACAAATCTCGACAACAATGAGATTGATGATAATGGAGTGAAACATTTCGCTTATGTTTTGAGAAATAATCCAGAGAGTATCTTATGGATCAGAGACTCTTCTATCTATGATATGTTTTGTGGCAAGACACTCACTACACTGAGTCTTAGTTCTAATCGAATTTGTGACGATGGAATAAAACATCTCGTCGATGCAATACAAAACAATACAGTATGTTTTCCCATTACTCAGCTCTTGCTTTTAATACATCTTTCAATAGTAATAAAAAAATACGTTCAAGATGAGTAAATATTTTCTGTGTGGGTATAAAATGATAGTTGAGCAACTTCTAATATTGACTATAAAACCTCGAATATTTCTAGTCGATCAATAACAAATTTTATTTATGTGCATATGGTTGGTATGTTTTTACAGACACTTGCTGCACTTGATCTTGAAGGGAATCAAATTGAGGATAGAGGACTCAAATACCTTGCAGATCTACTGCGAACGAATAAGGTATATTACAATTTTGATGTTTTCAAAAACTAACTACATATGAATTGAATATTTTAATTACCTTAGACACTTATCACTATGAGTCTGCAGAAAAATCGAATTGGTGTCATTGATGCAGAACATCTCCGTGAAGCCTTGCAAATGAATACGGTATAAGATTGTACTAGAGAAAATTTCTTTTTCATTTAATAATTCTTGCTAAGACACTTATGAAGTTCGCTCTAAAAGACAATGAATTGTTTCGTCAATTATTTATTATTCTGTATCATGATGTGATTTTAGATATGGACCACAGTGGATTGGACAAGTCATCAGATACGAAACGAAAAATTAGAATGCTTAAGTGTTGCATTGGAAACAAACTACGTTAGTTGATGTCATATATTTCTTCTATAGTTCATTCGTATCATTCAATAGATAACAACCAGATTGATCCTTGATGAGACTCAAATTGATGATAATGGCATAAAACTTCTCGCTGATGGCGTATTAAAGAATAAAGGAAAAACGAGACAACGCTATATTTATGATTTATTCCATATTTTACATAAAGATGTTGCAAGAATTGAGTCTTCGAAATAATCGAATTCGTGATAAAGGAATGGAATATATTGCCAATGTTTTAAGAGAAAACATGGTAAAAGTTATATTAATAGTAATTTTATCTTAGATAAGATACTTTTTTTGGTTAAGACACTCAATACATTGAATCTCAGCAAGAACTCAATTGGAAATGATGGATTGAAACGTCTTGCTAAGGATAACATGGTGAGTACTATTTTGATTGCACTTTTCTTGTATCAAATATGTCTTTTTCGACAAGACACTGATCACATTAATTCTCTCCAATAATCTAATTGGTGATGACGGTGCGAAACATCTTGCTGAAGCAATACAAAATAATTCAGTATGTAGTAATTTCATATCTGTTCTTTAATCCCTTGTTTTTTTTTCATCAGAAACTCATTACATTAAATTTGGAGAACAATCGAATTGGTGACGGTGGAGCACAAAAAATCGTTACTGCTTTAAACATCAACACAGTGAGTTTTTTTTTATTGAAAACTATTGCAGTTGTTCTATATTTGATTTTTATCAATAGACGTTGTGCAACATTTCTCTCAATGGCAATCCCACCTATTTGTGAGCTGTGGTTGACGTTTTGCATTAACGACGACGTGACAATGTAATATGCTCGTCTCGCTTTTTCTCATTAATCTTTATATTTTCCTAGATGCCTACATCGTTGAATTTTTCAAAGCATTGTATCAAAGATGAACAAGTTTCAATTTTGGCTCAATCATTGACTGATAACAAGGTGACTTTTGCTATAGATTGAATTCTTTGACTTACGTATACTCATATTTCAGACACTTATTGAGTTGGATATTTCTTCAAATCAGATTGGAGAGAATGGGGTTCAATATCTTGTTAATGTCTTAGAAAATAATACAGTATCTCTAATTATCTTAGTATTTGCCCAGTCTCACTTGTTTTCTTTCCTTAGACACTCTTTATTGAATTTGAACATGAATTTCATTGGAAACAGAGGTTTCAAATATCTTGTTGATTCGTTGATTATCAACAAAGTAAAAGAATATACACATCATCATGATCATGCTCACATTGTTTTTAATAATTAGACTATAACTATTCTGAAACTTCAAGAAAATAAAATTACAAATGAAGGAACTTACTGTTTAATAGACTTATTATTAAACAATAATGTATGATAGTCTTTACAATCATTACTCTAATGTTTGCTTTCTTTGCTTTTGAGCACTCTTACCGAACTGGATTTATCTGCCAATAAGATTTCAAACCAAGGTGCAGATAGATTAGCATGCGGTTTACAGTACAACAAAGTAAATATTCTCTGATATTGTCTCACTTGTAGTTAAAAGAAAAATTCAATATATTTGAGTAGTTATGAAATTATCGAATAATCTTGCAGACCATATGCTAAATATATGTCATTTGATAATCTTTAAAAGCGTATCCGTCATACTTACGTGTGTCATAACCTCTTGAATTTTCCACATAGACACTGACTATATTGAATCTTTCTCGAAATCAAATTGGAGATTCGGGTGTTCAAAAATTAGCAGATATTCTACACGTTAATAAAGTAACAAACTCTTCATTCGATGTTTACATACTGATTCTTTATTTTGGCTACAGACATTGATCAATTTAAAACTTGTACATAATCAAGCCAGTCAACGAATTCAACATGAATTAAATTAAAAAAATTCAATAATTTCACTAAAATGATATACAAGCGTCTATTGAATTGAATTATTATTATTATACGAGAAACTTTCTTCATTTCATCTCATTCATGTGAATTAATAAAGATCATAGTCACATAGCATGACAGACCATCTGATATCCATAAGTGGATGCATAGTATAATAATAAAAATATACGTTTAAAGAATATTAATTAAATATGCAAATAGAATTTGAGGGTGGATTTGTTAAGATTCAGTCAACAGGTGAGGTCATTGAAATGTCTCATTGGACAGTCAACGATACATTAACATGCTGTTACTGCCTTGAGCCATGACTTTCTATATCTGTGAATATTTTCATTGAGCTTATTTAACTTCTGTTTTTCTTTATGTTCGAATAGCATTCAATGCTCGCAATAGTATGCTTCTAGAAATATAAAGATCTATAACGACGATGCAGTATCCCTATTTTTAGTCGGAAGTATCGCTGTATGTTTCAAACGTGTAAGTTGAAAAAAAGAATTACATTTAAAAAATTCGCAAATCTCACACTAAGGTCTGATGATAGTAGTATTGGTAGAAGGAAAAAGAGATATTGACTAAATCTTAGAAATGAATAATACAATATTTTTTTACGTTGCATCCAATTTATTAGAATAAAGCCAAGAATATGAAAGAATAATTAATAATAGTCATTTTTTCTGGTATTATTCATAGACTATCAGAGCCAACTTCTATTAAGGTTCAGTATGGTCATACGCCAAGAAAAATCTCCAATATCTCGTAGACATCTGGTTGCCTCTTCCAAAGCTCTCCTGTTAGCCTGCTGTATTTCCGTGGAACGAGTACTACAAGCTTGTTCTAGAACAGCTTTCACATCGGCTTTGATTCAACCAGTTAATGGATCACGCCATTTAGGAACCCCATTCAAATTCGCTAAAATGATAGTTCGTTGTGCCAAGGCCTTTTGATTTACTGAATGCAATAGCGCATGTGGGATGATTTTCAATGTATGGTGTATATGAGATTTTCTCAAGCAATTATTGTATATATCAAAGCTTGGCACACATTGTTCATATTGATGTCGGATACCTTTCAGTGGAGCCATCGAACAACCATCACATATGACATCGAGATGTTCGAGACTTGCTATTGTACATAGCAAATCATCGCTAGTAGTTAGCCTCGAAAATTTATGCACAGATGGATACAAAATTGGTGATTGAGCTAAGCATTTATTACACAAAATAAAAGGGCTCGAATTTTGCTCACATTGAAACCCAAGTTGCTGTTATTGGTGAGCTATATTTGGGGTGAGTGGGTGTGAATCTGAGTCTGAATGTGGTTATCAAAAAAAGAGGCCACCCACACCCAAACCTTGCGAGATGCTACCTTGCTAAAATTAAGATTTTGATCAAACTGTTGATTTTATTGATGTTCTACTAATTCATAGAGTATATTTGAGGGTGTGGGTGTGGGTGTGTGGTTTGGTTTGGTTTGAACTTTTTATCGATCGATACACAAACATCCACACCCACACCCTCGCACCCTTACATCGGTCTAGCATAGTTCAAGCTGATAAAGTAGGTTTGCTTTTGGGAGTCCTATAGACGTCAAGTATTGCACTATAGGAAAATTTCGAGAAAAGCACTCTTTAGTCGCATAAAGTTCACTATGACAGACTTGACTCAGAGTGATTTGCGCATGAGAAGATGCATAATTTTGCGCTCTTTCATATGAGACCATTTTCAGTCCAACGAGTATATGTTTGGCAGTACCTTATAGGTGGGGCTATTGTGAAAATTGAGTAAAAATACATGTGCTCACAAAACTTAAAATTCTCTATGGAATCAAAAAAAACCATGCTACCAAAAGATTCACCGTAAAATTCTGTACAACATCATGTATTTGTTCTTCTCCGAAATGGGAGTGGGAAGATTTAGCTTGTAATATGGCCTTCTCATTTATTACCAAATGTTGATACGGCAGAAGAGTTTTATTTCAAAACATCGTTTGGATCATATAGGAGTAAAAGTCTATTTTTATACTTCAACTGGGTAATAAAGAAGAAGCTTATCACAAAAGAGCAGCAATTGAGACTAAAAGGCAATTGTGTTTGATATATAAGCATACAAAACTGCAACTTCTGTAAAGCTAGAACTATTTTTTATTTAATCATGATTATATCATTCATTTTTATGTTGATTTCAGCTTGAAAAGCAATATCAGTAAGTACTTTTACAATACTCTGCTTTTCTTAATGCCTTTTCCTCTCATGTTTTCAATATTATAATATATGCCACTGTTACTGCTAAGCAACAATTCAGGGTTGTGTTGGAGAATAAACGATGAGTTTAGCACAGAACTAGGCATACACCAAAACCAAACCGCTTGGTTTTGAGGTTTTGGTTTTGATATTGAAGGTATTGGTTTTGACCGAGTTTTGAGTTTTGGTTTGGTTTTGAGGTACTCCTAAAAAAATTAATATTTAAAAACAGACCTATAATGCTTTTCTATAGATTTAAGCATATTTGCTCGCTTGAGATGCACTTGAGGGTGTGGGTGTGAATTGAGAAGATGGTAACCTCATCCACATCCTCAAGGAAGAAGAAACGAAAAATGAGATAGACGAGAGAGGATAGGGTATTCACGAGGTGATTTCTCGGTTAGTTGAGTTATATTCAATCTAGCAATAGCTTGCGCCTTCTCTGTGTAACGAGTTCAAGCATACTAGTTTTATCTTGTGTAATTGAAGCATCATTTGTCTCTCTTCTCTTCAATAAAGGACCTCAACTCTCGTATACGAAATATTGGGAATTAACCATTTCTCTTTTACATCTTCCATCACACTCAACGATTTTTCGCTACAGTTTCGAGTCTAACTCTTGAGAAAAGTAAATACAGTCTACCTTCAGCTACTTCTATCATAGTCTCAATACAATTCTTATGAAAATAATCTCTCATTTTCCAGCCCACAACATTGAAAATTGTTATGGGCTAACTCCTGACTGGAGGGTTTGATTCAAACCTTCAATGAAAAAATAAATCTCGAATATAAAACGATCTTGAGTTGGCGTAAGATAAGGATTTAATGAAAATTCAGATGATTCCATGATAAAAATTTTGTTTTCTTTCGCTTTTGAAATCTATTACTATACTAATTCGTGTGAAAAGAAAAAGAAAACTATAAGAATTTTTAGTGTTCAACTCTATATTTTAGCAGTTGAAACATTGACTATCTTACACGAACTCTGCATCAGTGCATAAATTTGTTGTTGTTTCTCATTCTACAGAAATTAGACGAAAAAAAACACTAGCCTGCATAAATCAACAAGTACCAGATCAAATTCCTCTAGATTTCGTTTGCAGAATGATATAAAGAAACCTATTAAAGAAATCCCTAAATGTATTGTTATTTCATATTGCAGCATAGTGCATGAGGAAAAGCTTTCGTTTAGGAAGGAGAGCATCATATCAATTTTGCTCTAAAAACATAATTCGAGGTGCTTTGTACGCAACGGTGTCAATAAAATAGTTGTATAATATGTAATAGCTACATTGATGTCTGTCACGCCTGGGGCGGGGGGCAATTGTCTACTTATATACACTTTAACACTCCTTTCAGATCGTGTTTCATAAAGCAAATGACTTACTGCAGTTCTAGTTATTCGCGTTCGCAGTCGCATTCGAATTCGTATCAGTATGAATATCAATACAGTTATACGACTCAGAGTGGTCACGTGGATAATCGTTCCGTATCATTACCGACAGATTGCTTTGATCGTTTTATTTCTTATGCGCCTCGACAAGCAATTTCGCAGCAGGATTTCATGAAAGTCGTGCAAGCTATTATGATGGGTTCCAGCGCAACCGACTGTGATATACATGAAGCATTTTCTATCTTGGATACCGATGGTTCAGGTACTCTTGATGTGAGCGAATTAGCAAAAGTGATACCTGCTATTATGCCTGGTACAACTTCCAATACACTATATACAATGATTCGTCGTTACGACAAAAATGGTGATAACACACTCAATTTAAATGAATTTATCAGACTTGTCAAGGGTGATCTCGGAAGAGATCTTGTCTACAGAGACGTTCTTATGATTTCGTGTGATTAGACGATATTACACTATGATAGACAAAGACAATTATCGCGCCTTCTATTGTTTTCAGTAGCTGTCTTCCTTCATCTTCATAACCTTTTTTGATAAATCACACTTACTTTTAGTTGACTATGATTTTTTACCATAGATATAATAAATTACTAATATGCATATCAAGATTATTGAATCCTTTTTATGAAGTCACCACTCTAAGTCATTGAAAGGGTGTGGGTGTAGGATATAGAGCGTGATTTCAGAGAAGAAGTGCATCCACACCCTCAGCATCATGAAGTGACATCTAGTGGCGCTAACATCTATGTTAGTGCTTTTGGGTAATTTCTCAATGTTGAAGCTGTTACAAGTACGATTTCTATGTGTAGGTGTCATTTGAAGTATCTGTAACTATACGCAGGGGTTCTATGTGGAATATTTATGAAATGAGAACACTATCGCATGGAAGAATATATATATATAAGTATAGGTGTAGCATTTTCAGTCAGCGAAATTGTGCTTTATGCATGTTAGGTGTGATACAGTCGATTGGGTTTGTTCGCAAATGTTAACATAATCGAGTTTTTATTTTATATTATCGTTTATTTTCAGTATGATTCTCTTTTTATTTTCGTTTATCACTTTCTCTTTATTGAATATGAACTTATCATAGATTTTACAAATGATAGAAAAGTTTAAAATATCATTCAGAAAAGAATGTGAATGATATACAACATATGTCAAAAAAAAAAGACATCCTTGATATTGAGAAAACAATATGCAATAAATGAACGATGCAATTGGAATACAATCTCATATTTGCCCATAATATAGTTCTTCGATTAAAGTATCAGGATAAGGAAGAATCGATATTATATTTAATTGGGCTTGAAAAAATATTCCGTATTATGGACGAGCTGTTTTGTAACAGCTTCAATTGGCAATTGAAAAATTTCTACAATAAATTTAAATCGATACACACATCTTCAATTGTGAAATGTGGAGCAACGCTTTCGGGCAGAAGAGCTTCAACACTACAATTTCTAATAATGTTCTTCATATTTGAAGAAATAATTGCGTTTTGTGAACATGCCAGATATACATGGCTAAAGTTTGAATTCAAAATATTCAACTCTTCCAAGTTGTAGGAAAAATTTCGTCAGCATATTGGGTAATCATGGTCCGATTCCTAAAACAATTCGAATAAATATGAAATTATATGTGAATCATAGCAGAATGTATTGGGAAGTAAAAGGTAATGAGTACAATACCTTACATAAAATATTCAAAACTTCGATGAAAATTTTTCGAGAATATATTACAACAAGCAATTTTTTTTCTCGTGCTGACTGGATCTGAAGAATGAAGGCTTTAATTTGTATATCATCATCTGGTAGACTTTCACTAATAATAAATATTTGATGTATTAAATGAATCATCAAAAATAAAAAAAAATATATTAACCTTTGACAATCCAGCCCGATTTCACCAACAGCTTTAACCTTGGGGTATTCCAGACACCGTCTTATGTCCAATTCCATCTCTAAGTTAAGATGATGAGAAAACAAGGGGAAAGTTCTATGGTCCCGTAAACAACTGGATGATCCAGGCATTTACAAAAATTTTCTAGCCATATGTATCCAAACAGAATTTATATAATTATTTAAAAGCTTAATCTATGGGTATTTACGAAAATGAACTGGAGCAAAATGACTTTGAATGGCATAAATCATGTCGATATCATCTTCATATATAGCACGATTGTGATGCATGTAGAACCACATACTTTGATTAGGACAATTTAATCTGAATGAAAAAGAAATATCAGCGTAGAGTCAGGGCAAAAATACTAATATATTTACTTATCAAACAAAATGGGTGTGGGTGTA